TCTTTGCTGTATTTTAAAATCATTCTTCTGTTTATGACTGAGACACTGAGTCACCAACCAGTTCAGCCCTGGTGACAGTAAGACACGCATATTCTTCCACAACCCTACCCAACCATGGCATCATCTCTACTTTTCATGCCTACCTCTCAGTCACGAAGCCATAGACAGGAAATCCGTTTATTTCTGTGAGGATCTCACTTATATTACTATTTTCAATCCTGCCTCCATCCAGAAAGAACTAGTTATGAGAGAAAAGCAATATAATATAGACATTTAAAGGTCTTACAGAGAGCTGTGCATGCACATGAATCTACCCACACAGAATCTTTACCTTCACCCCTGAACTTTAGATCCCTCAGTTGCTTTGCTCCATGAAATTCAGGCTTCGGTTCCACAGCAGCTGTTCAATGGAGCTGGAGATCTGGGGAGAGGATCTGGAAGCCATTGTATCAGGGTTGTATAATGCCTAGTTTTTCTAATTTTTTTTTTCTTTTTTGAGATATGATACTGAGAACGGAACTCAGGGTCTCTCTGCCACTGAGCTATATGTCTCCAGTCCCTTTTCTTTTTTGAGAAATCTGCCATTCTCCTGCATCAGCCTCCCAAATAGCAGGGATTGCAGGTGTGGGTTGCCACACCCAGATCTAGTTTTTCTCATCTTCATCCTGTGACTAGGTACAAATCGACTTATTACGCTTACAGGAATAATTTGCCTGAATACAGTTAGGCCTCTTAGCACCTAGATCTCCTGACTGGGGAATTCCATTTACGCTCTCGACTACCTCTAACTGAAAATATATCTTTCTTGTTCTTTTCTTTTTTAGATATCCAATATATCAGTTCAGGTGATCAGTGTCTCAGGGAAGCTGCCAGGGAGACGCCCACCAAGAAAGCCAGTTGGCAAAGCCAAACCCAACAAGCAAGCCAAGAAGACAGCGCCTTTTTGGAATGTCCAAAATAAAATCATTCTCTTCACAGTATTTTTATTCGTCCTAGCAGTCATAGCCTGGACACTTCTGTGGCTGTACATCAGTAAGTGAAAGTCTGTATTCCTCTAGGATTAAGCTTGTGGTATGAGTTCTGCTCAGCCAAGCAGGCCTAACCTGCCCTCGGGGTTTCTGATGGAATTTTCCTCTTTCCTAAACTGACACACTATTTCCAAAGCTGATGTGGAGAATTTTTAAGGAGAAAGGAACCAGAACTGAAACCCATTTCTTCTTTTACCACCACCTCTTTCCTCCCATGGACAAGCAAGAGGAGAGATGGGAGATAGGATGGGAAAGGCTGAGGAGGAAGCTCAGGAGATTTCGAGTAGTTAAAAAATACAATGCATTTATTGCTTTTAAAAAATGAATGGAATGCAAGCTGTTTCATTTCCTTGTTCCACCCACTGTCTGTTTCTAGGCAACCTTAAATTTGCAGCTCCCTGAGCTCCATTTTATACACACATCCTTTTCTCCCTATTGTGTTTTTGTCAATCTGATCCTTTTGGACAGATGTGGCAACAGCTCTTTCTTCTATTTACTCATGTAACTCAGTGATTATAGCATGTATTGACTTGTCTTAAAGTTCTCATTCTATAGTTGATAGAAGATTCATAAAATGAATATGCATAATGACATAAAATGAAATGCATGTATTTGACCTCTGCCCCTGGTATCTGGCTCTGAGTTTCTAACACTCTTGTAATTTTCTGAGTGTTAGGTAGGATCAGAGCATCTTTTTTACATATATATAATATTTGATCTTAGTCCCCACTTCCTAACACAGAGCTTCTAAGGGTCTTTATTGTGTTGATGAGATGACTCATGGCTGAAAAGCCCTTAGAAAGCCAGAGGAACCAAAAGTGTGAGTAGGGGGCTATAGTTTTCTGTCCCCTCAAAGATGGGACAGGGAGAGGGACTGGAGATGGAGTCACTAATGGTCAATGATTTACTCAATCATGACTACAGCATGCAACCTCCATAACAACACCAGGCAGTGCAGAGAGCAGCTGGATTGGTAAAAGTCCTCTTGCTGGGAGAGAGGCGTGCCCCAGTTCCACAGAGACAGAAGCACCTATGCTGTACCTGTTGACCTGACCACTTATTTACATTTAAAAAATAATATCCTGTATAACAAACCAACAATAGTAAATAGAGTTTCCTCCCCTGATTTCTGAGAGTCATTATAGCAAATTATCACAACTGAGGGGGTCATGGGAAACCCTAACTTGTAGAAGCTGTGTTGGCACCTAAAGTGATGTCAGTCTTGTGGGAATGAGCCCATAACCTGTGGGGTCTGACACTCTTGTTGGATAGCTAGTGTCGGAATTAAATGAATTATTGGATGCCCAGTTGATGTTTGCACAGAACTGGAGCATTGATAGGTGTGTGTGTGTGTATGTGTGTGTGTGTGGAGGAAACAACACCATATTTGGAGTTGGAAAGTGATAATGTGAATTAAAAAAAAAAAAAACAGATTTCTTACTTGTACTTTCAAGGATTCTAAAATCTGGGTGGCAAAATTTATAGGCAAAAAATTAGTAAATAGTTTCTTGAATTGTTTAGGTCACTTATAAATCGATCACCTACAATTTGCTTGGCACAGATGCACTCAAATAAGCTTCAGAAAGTTCCTAGATGCATTTTTTTCCTACTTTCAAAAATCTCACAGTTCAGGGCAGGTGTGGTGGTGCGCGCCTGTAATCCTGGTGGCTCAGGAGGCTGAGGCAAGAGGATCTCAAGTTCAAAGCAAGCCTCAGCAACTTAGTGAGGTCCTAAGCTACTCTATGAGACCCTATTTCTAAATAAAATAGAAAATAAGGCTGGGGATGTGGCTCAGTGGTCAAGTGCCCCTGAGTTCAATGCCTAGTACCAAACCAAACAACAACAAAACAAAAACAAAAACAAACAAACAAACAAACAAACAAAAAAAAACAACTCACAGCTCAGTACTGGAGAGAAGTTGTGAATTGATTTTTTTTAATTGATAATTTTGTGATCATAGAAGAGAGGCACCCAGCTTGCCTAGGGGTGGAGTCCAGGTTCCTAAAAACTCATTTGATACATCTTTTAAATGCCCACTGTCTTGGCCCTTTTGGTAGGCATGCAGGACAGACTGGTAAACAAGATACAATTTCTGTCCTCAAGGGGTTTACAGATTGTGGGGGAAGTCAAGTCAATGGGCCATCAAGACAAAACCAAAAAACCCCAACTGAGAACAAGCCAACTTATTTCTAATCATTTGCCTGCCATGCCTCAACTGATACATTTGCATTATCCTAGAATTTTTGTATAAAATTTTGGAACATCCTTGTGCAGTAGTAGTTTATTGATTGTGTGAAAATTAGAGAAGGGCATTTCATGGAGAGAGATCAGCATGAACAAATGGAAACAAATATGGATAAGTAAGGACTCTTCAATATGAAACAGGTTAGTTTTGAGACATGAAAGTTGGGCGTAGACGGTAGCCTTGAGAAGTGAGGTGGATAGCTCATCAGGAAGAATGTGGAAGGATTTAGAAGTTGTGCTGAGCTAGAGTTTGGTACATGTAATTGTGTTCAATGCTAATATGATTTCTCTTGCAATGTTGCTGTTCTGACCCTTGAGTATTTATTGACATGAGAAGGACATGTGAGCTTCTAGAAAGAATTCATAGGTTTCATTCAAATTTAAAGAATCTGCAACTAGAAAAAAGAAAAAAGAACTTCTAAGAAGCATGTTCTTGATAAAAATAAAATGAACCCAAAAACATTTTTTTGCTTTTTGTGGGACACCAACTGAAACAAGATGATCGCCCAAGGTCAATAACCCAAAAGAACAAATCTGAGGCAGGATTTCAGGTTTCCTGCCCTTGCCCTGTGCTTGGATACCCCTCCACAGGCTCACTACTCTGCTTGGGTCCAAAGTGACCCCGGGTGGGTCCTACAAGGAAGGTTGCTCGCTGCCACTCTGTAGATTTCATCTTCTTTTTAATTCAGCCATCATTTGCTTAGCATTGTGGTGTGGTGGGCCTTGTGCTAACAAGGATGTTCTCTTTCTCTCTTCTTCTACCCAGCACCTCCCTCCCCACCACCCTTCCAAAAGCAAACTTTTGTTGGACACCAAGGCCAAGCCAGGCACTGACTGCATGACAGGGGCAGAGGAAAATACATAGGTTACTGTGCATTCCCTCAGAGCTCACAAAGGGAGGCAGGCAAGCAGGCAGCAGCTCTGCTGCAGTGTGAATTATGCCATAGGAAAGAAAAGTGCCAGGGCCAGGGAGCCTGCAAGGTTGACCAAGAGGAGCAAAACCTGGGAAGCAAAGAGAAAAGGAAAAAAGGAGAGGCGCTCATGGCCCCCAGCCTCTGCTCTTTATTAGCTGTCCTAAAGCAACACAGAGGCAACAGCCTTGCCTTTGCCCCTCCTGCCTGCAGTTTCTGGCCTGGCAGAATACCAGGTTCCACAGTCCTCACTGGGCAGAAGATTGGAGCAGGAGTGACCTGCCACACTGGGCTGAAGGCCACACTGGGTGGCTTGTGGGAAGGATGAATTTCCATGTATTGGATAGAGCTGAAGACTGGCCCAGCACCTAGAATGTCAGGCCACACAAGTCACTTGAGGGACTAACGAGAGAGCTCCAGAGCTCAGTGACTGGAGTTCTTTCCCTTCTTTTCACCGAAGAGCTTAATGGTGTCAACTTTTTACCTCCCTACATTCCCCAGACTTGGGGTACATGAAAATTTTCTATGTTCTTTTCAATACTTTAGAGACTCCAAGATGTATAGATTTCAATCTTTAAGTCATTAAGTATTTTCCAGAAGCAGATTCTAAAAATGGAGCATTCTAAGAGGTATGTTGATTTGCTGCTGATAGAAGAGGTGTCATTAAGTACATTTAGAGCATCACAGGCAATGAGCCAGTAATGTATGCAGCTTCCTAAAATGAGGTCATTTCGAAGCCTCATACTGACATCCATCAAATGATGCCTGTGGCCACACTGATTGGAAAGCCTCCTAATTGCCTTCTCTCCTCTCCCAGGTAAGACAGAAAGCAAAGATGCTTTTTATTTTGTTGGGATGTTTCGTATCACCAACATTGAGTTTCTTCCTGAGTACCGGCAGAAGGAGTCCAGGGAATTTCTTTCTGTGGCGGGGACCGTCCAGCAAGTGGTGAGGTGCTAGGGGTGGGGAAGGCAGTGGAGTGGGTGGGTTGAGGGATAGGGGAGGGGTCATCAGTGTCACAGGTGAGCTGGGTTTAGGGAAGTAGAGGACAGGGGGTGAAGGAAGCTGTCAGAGGGAAACATGGGCATTTTTTCTATAAAATAGAATCATTTCCCCCTGCTTAATATAAAAAGAAGTGGCTCTTTCAATTTTTATTTTTCTCATGTGCAAAATGAAGAAATTGGATCAGGTAAATTTTTAAAATGCCTTCCATACCTGAGGTTATGCATGTACTAATTAATGCTATCATTTACACATTTATGCCACCATGGTGCATTAGTAATCCCTTCACTTTAAAAAAACAACAAACAAACAAACAGACAAAAAACCAAAACCAAAAACAAAACTGCCAGAGACAGTGGTGCAGGCTTGGAATCCCAGTGGCTTAGGAGGCTGAAGCAGGAGGATCGCAAGTTCAAGCCAGCCTCAGCAACTTAGCGAAGCCCTAAGCAACTCAACAAGATCTTATTTCTAAAAAATATTTTTTTAAAAAAGACTGGGTATGTGGTTCAGTGGTTAAGCCCCTGATGGGTTCAATCCCTGGTACCCAAACCAAACTAAACCAAACAAACAAACAAACAAAAAACCTTTCTCATTATAGAATTAATAAATATTTATTGTAAAAACCTGAAAGATCCAGAAAAGTATAAAAAAGAACATTAAAACCTTTAATGTCATCACTAGAGATAAAGCCCCTTTTTATTCTGGACTACATAGACATAGAGGATAATGCATACTGGAATTTTAGTGACAATTCAGTTTTACAATTTGACTTTTTTTCTCTTAACATTACTTTGCATGTTTCTGTGTTATTAAATATTCTTTTTAAAACACAAATTCTAATTGCCTCTGAGTTACCAAATCCTTTTTTATTGGGTGTTTAAGCTGTTTCCATTTTTTGCAACAACGGAAAATACAGTATTTTTTATAACACATAAATTGTGTGCATCTCTAATTACTTTCTTAGGTGATTTCTTTAAAGTGTAATTCCTTGTTCAATAGAAATATATCTATTCAGGGCTTATGGCACACATTGCCAAGTAGAAAGTTTCTGCCAATTTTATTTCTACAAAATGGAGGGGGTAGCCCAGCAGAGGCAATGCACAGCCACCGTGTAGTGTAGGATGAGGAAGGGAGAGAGAGAGACAGCAAGCAGTCACAGTGGCCCTTATTTACTGACTGCCTTCTGGACACTAGGTACTTTACAAATTGCTTCATCTCTGATACTTGTGCACCAATTATTCCTCAAATTATCCCAAGGAGGCAGGCATTTTGATCGCTCCTTTACAGAGGAAAAAACAAACAAAACAAAGAGCAACGGTGGCCCAGCAGATTTAGGTAATATGTTGCATAGTGACTTTAAACTTCAGAGCTCTTATTTTTACCATTGTGCCATATAATTTTTTGAGGTACTTTTTTCCAACCTTGGGCGACTAAGTAGGTGGTTTTGCTATTATGTAGGAGAGGCAACAGAGGAGAAAACTTGGGAGAAGAGAATGAGCTTGGTTTTAGAAATGCTAAGAGAGCAAAAAAGGCACAGTGTTTTAAAGGGGCTGCATATTTCCAAAAGAGAGACTGTTTTGAAGGGGAATGGTGTGCTTCGCCCTCTAGTGGCTAATATGAAAATGTGTCCTTGAAAAATAATCAAATACTGAAAAGAGGTTTCATCAAATCTATGAAAAATGTGCTTAAATGAGTTTGGTTTGTTAACTCTGGAGACAATAATTGGAGTGGGCAAAGCATGGATGTTAAACTTGACTAGATTCTTTAAAGAGAGAAATAAATGGGCATAACCGATTATTCTTAAACAGCAGAATAAAAGTAGGTAATCCAAGGATTGCTGCAGGACGTAGGGATTTATCTTGATTAATTTTGATAATGTCTGAGTTTGAGGCTTGCTTTTCTCCTTGCTGGCTGTCAGAGTGTGGCCCTGCAACACACAGAGTACTGTGATAGGAAGCCAAGCTTGAAAGAATTAGGATACTTTCATTTTATTTTTCAGGTAAACTTTGTTTACACAACATCTGCCTTCTCCAAATTTTATAAGCAGTCTGTGGTTGCAGATGTCAGGTAATTTATGTCTTCTGTTTGGGGATTTCTACCTTCAATGTTTTAAGTTCCCCTCAACTCTGTGGAAGGATTGGGATTTTACTGTTCTCAAGCAACTTCTCAGGGGCAATTGTATGTTCTTACCATGATCACAACTAAGGACCCAGCCTCTGCCCTGCTCCTTATCTACCAAATTTCACATTCCCTCAGAGCTGGAATCCCTATGTCAGTGTCTCCGGGCAAAATAGCCGTGAACATGGCTACAATATTAAGTGGATGGTGGGGGCAAGAATAAAGCATGGGCCCTATTTCTGAAAATATTTTCAGTGAAAAATGATTATTAGAGATTTTTTTTTGTACCAGGGATTGAACTCAGGGCCCTGAGAAAAAAATTTTAAAAGATTTTATGTGCAATAATTTTTAGGAGTAATTGTGAGACATATACTATATCCCATCTCCCACCACTTACAAAATATCTACAGGGATTCACAGTCCACTCTGACACACAAAGGAACTGAGGAATCTTGGAGTGAAGCAGCTCATTTTCCTTAAATTTTCATTTACCAAGTTATTTAAATTCTCTTATGTTTATTTTATAAAATATCCACTCTTTATCCAATTAGAAACTTAAGCTCTGGGGTCAGATTGAAAATCAAATTGGGCTTAATTTCTCTACTACTACTAACTAGCTGTGTGGTTGTGAATGTATTTGGCTTCAATTTCCTCATCTGTCAAACTGGAAAAACACTAAGACTTTTTTCATAAGATTAAATGAGATAAAGCCGATTTGGCACTGTATCAAACGTGGCCAGGTACCAAACATGTTAAAACTGTTATTTTTAATGACAGCAAATACTGATTCATATCCACGGAAATAGTATAGTAATGGTTCTAGATTTGAATTCTAACATAATAATTAGAATACATAATGTGATGCTTTCTCTTTCTAATCCCCATAATAGGAGCCAATGACTACCTAAAGAAGGGAGTTAGGTTCAGTTGAAGGATGTGCTTATTGTCTTTGAATCTGTCAGTTGGGTCTCTTTCCTAAGAAAGTCTACTTCCTAAGAGATATCCTTGAACATCTCTCTTTTTCCCCTGTAGCAGCAACAACAAAGGTGGCCTCCTTGTCCACTTTTGGGTTGTGTTTGTCATGCCACATGCCAAGGGCCACATCTTCTGTGAGGACTGTGTGGCAGCCATCTTGAAGGACTCCATCCAGACGAGCATTATAAACCGAACTTCTGTGGGGAGCTTGCAGGGGCTGGCTGTGGACATGGACTCTGTGGTACTAAATGGTGATTGTTGGGTAATTTGTGTTTAAGCATTGCTTCCCATAGCATTCCTTAGGACTATTATCATAGCCAGAGATGTAATGAAGTAGTCTCTTCCACAATCCCAGTGGCACAGGATTAGCCAAAGGCATCAGAGCTATGTTGGTTAAAGAAGTTGCCAAATATTATGTATAGTACAACAATTCAACAATAGAACTGGGAACAAAACATATAGCAATTGAGTTTCCAAAGTATACTTCATACACACACACACACACACACACACACACATATGTATACACACATATACAAATATATGTATGCTAGGCATATGATAAGTGGCTGATAAATGAAAAGTTTGTTACATAAAAAAATCTCTAGTGGATAATTCTGCACTGCATTTACTATTTCAGTCATAAGATTAATTATTATTTGGTTGCTTTCTTACCTTTAAAAAATGTTTAAGACTTATACTAAATTAGTCCAAATATACAGAAGTAAAGAGAATAGAAAAATGAATTCTCATACATCCTTAGCTTCAACAACTATCAGTTCTTGGCTACCCTATTTAATCTAAAATACGTATTTACAATTTATCCATCCCCTACTAGATTATTTTCAAGCACAATCCTAAATGGGCTTGAATGTTATCAAGAAGTACTGAAAATAAATTTTCCTGAACAAAATTCTAGTAAAACAAAGTTCTGGGACTAATAGTCTCTTTCTATTCTCTTTTTCAATGCAGCTGGGCTTCGGTCAGATTATTCTTCAACCATAGGATCTGGTAAATTTTTTCATGTGGTATCCCCTTGCCCCCCGGATTAGTATCTTTTTTGACCATAATTTTCCTTTTCAAATGATGGTGTTTGTTAGTACTTTTTAAATTGCAAGTGACAGAAGTATATTTCAACTGGATTAAACAGAAAAGTAACTTGACTGGCTTACGTAACTGGGACAAATGTGGAATATATTGACTTTAGGCATGGTTTGGTCCCGATTACAATAAAACACCAGGACTCCATCTCTGCCTTCCTCTGTGGAGGCTTCTTTAATAAGCATGTTCTTCATTGTAGTAGCAAAAATGAGATCACCAGTAGATCAAGCTTATAATTTATCATTTTCTCAATGGTGGTGGAAAATTCCTTCACACTTATTTTCTTGCAGTTCCTGCAAGAAGTCCTGGGGTTGAAGCTCATTATCTAGATTGGCTGACATGCCCATTCCTGAAGCAATTTCTTTGATTGGCCAGTCTGGGTCACGTACCCATCTCTGGAGCTAGGGGTGAGTTTAACCCCAACCAAACTGTACAGGCAATGCAGAGACAGTTTCTCAGAGCAAAATCTGGGTGGTGTTACCAGAAGAGAGGAGAGTGGACTCTGCTGATAAGGACAGCAGATGTCCTCCACATGACCTCTTTTGCTCTCTGCTCTTCTATAAAGATTTCTAGAAAAGTCATTCCTAAAAAAACAAGCGAAAAGAAAGAAAGAGAGAAAGACAGAAAAGGAAAAGAAAGAAGGAAAGTACTGTCTCCACAGACAAAGGCTGCTCTCAGGACTTGTATGCAGATCATCTGTCTCTCCGCTACCCTCTGGAGATTTCTGCCACCTCAGGGAGGCTCATGTGTCATTTCAAACTGGTGGCCATAGTGGGCTGTCTGATTCGTCTCTCGATTGAGTCTATCCAACTCGAAGCTGACAACTGTGTCACCGACTCCCTGACCATTTATGACTCTCTCTTGCCAATTCGGAGCACCATCTTGTACAGGTATCACGCAGGCTGTCTCTATCCCTCTCTCTCTCTCCCTCCAACTCCTCCCTTCCTCTCCCTCTCACCCCCGCCTCTTTAATGCAGGTACTCTTGTTGGCAGCCAAAAAGAGTTTCCACAATCTTGGTTTCTATGGGCTCCCCTGGAAATTTTACAAAGAATATTTTTGTGAAGACTCATGAAGTCAAAGACTATCTGTTTAGTATTCCTGATACTTTAGTAGTATCCTTGCTAGAGTCTATCAGACTCAATGTTTTTTACTTGTAGCACACGAGACTCTCAAAATCAGTACAGCAAGAACTTCAGTCAATATCTAAAATATAAGATATTTGTTTAATTTTATTTTTATTATAATAACAGTGAAGTCTATTGTTTCAGTCAAGTATGACAATAAATATTCTATGATTACATAGCTAAATAAATTTTTTTCTTATTCCAGATCTTCATTGTAGAAAAATGAGATCAGAGAAAATAATATCAAGTACTCCATGATCTCATTACCCAGATCAAATTTCTGTTACATTTTAGCATAAATCCTTTAGTTAATATATGTTTATAATTATATATCCATGTACTTACCCGTATCCTAATATTTTTCACTTAATAGTAGATACCTGCTTAAGGGTACTTAATATTTGAAAGACTAATAATGACAAGCTTTATTAACAAATTATTATTCATTACTCACTGGGTACATGATTATCATTATTTTAAAAAATATATGTCACAGTGCTTTATGTATGTATTAGTATTTATATTTGGTAATGAATGTTTGCACTAGAAGTTCAAACTCTATGCAAGAATAAGTTTGCCACTGGTTCTCATTCCTCAATCATTGTTAGTTTCTTTTCACCTTCCAAATATTTTTGGTTGTTATCTCTTCCACTCCTCAGCACAGTGCTATGGGGAATATACTATTATTATTGCTACTACTATTTCATGGAAGGAAAAATGGTACACACATGGGTCTAGTTGCTTGATTTCCTGGCATCTTTCATCCAGCTAGTTGATGGAGCTGTTTTGAATCCATTTTCCCTGGGGCAGAGCCCATGACCATAGCCATTATATATATGGCCTCTATACTAAGTTGTTCTCAAGGACAGCTCAGGGAGGGCCATCTAGGAGAGTTCTTTGGTAGTAGTTTGTAGACAAACATTTCTGTATCTTTTTCAGCTTGGTTCCATCTGTAGTGTCCTGTGGCCACTGGTTAATGAAGACCCGCCTGGTGGACTAATTCACAAAAACCTTGTGAATGACTCTGGAAATGTGTGCAGTTACTGTTGGGTGGAGTCCCACACTTCCAATAGCCTGCTATTCATGTGTTTTTGTTTTGTTATCTGGTTTCAGAATTTGTGAACCCACAAAAACACTGATGTCATTTGTTTCTACAAACAATCTCATGTTGGTGACCCTGAAGTCTCCTTATATACGGAGGCTATCAGGAATCCGGGCATATTTTGAGGTCATTCCAGAACAAAGTAAGTGTTTTCTAATTAAAAAAAAAAAAGTTGCTTTTGGGAACATTTGTTATGATGCTGTCTTATCCTTCCTGAGGCTGTTATAATGCTGGTTGAATTAGTCAGGAACCCTGAACTGGGGCCCAGTCAGAAGAGGACAGAGTGATCTGTCAGCTTAGCATTAAGGTGTTAATTAGGCAACTCAAAAAAAGGACACAAGAAAACTGAAAGATATCATAGAGGTAACACACTCAGGAAGCAATCACCTCCTCTATGGCTGAAATAGCAAAGGAAAGATGTTGAAAGTATTACCATTAAGAGCTTGGAAAAAGCCCGAGTGTGGAATGAAACTCTGGTTTTCTTAGGAGGGATAGCTGCTGCAGCTGCTGGTGCTGCTGCTACCTCCAATTCCAGAAGTATGTTCTTAAAGAAAGTAATAGCAGCCTACAGATCTGTAGTCAAAATGTAGGATTTGGCAACCAACATGGAATTTGGAATTTGACAACAAGTATTTTAACTAAATCTGTGGGGTGCTATTTCTTTAAAAAAAAAAAAAGTTCAAAAAATATACCATACAATATATATGGTTTTGGGGGAAGGAAGATGGCGGCGAGGGGAGTGAATTGCCCCCGTGTGCTGCTTCACTGTGTGGGAGTATGACAAGTCAGGACGGCTAAAGGATATCTTGTTAGGAATTTCCAGCAATAGTGGGGTGCTCCGGAACCTGGAGGAAGGATTTCCATCGCACGAGGATCGGCTACGGGGACTCAAACGCGAGAGGTTTGTCGCACGGAGGGTAACACTGCTTATTCAGCAAACCGCCCCTCCGCTAGAGTCTGCAGCGCACGCTGGGAAACGAGGAGATAGCGACGCAGGGATACAGCGCTGCAGTTTCTGCCAGCCGTGCAAGCACCGTACTCAGGGCTGAATTCTGGGTTCGAGACGGGGGAAGGAAGCGGTCCATCTCGGTTCTCCACACCGGTCAGACCACAGAGGAGGCCAGCAGCCACCATGTTGGAAAGCTGACGTCACCATCCCTGTTTTCGACTGACCGCAGCTCATTCAGCCATAGAACAGGTAATTTCAGGCTGCAATTCGCCTGCGGCTTGCAGACAGATTGCTAGGGTTCAGTGCCTGGGTGCTTCTTAGAACCTGATCTTATTGGAGCGAACACCGAGCGTGGGGCGGCCGAGTTGCGGCTCCCGGAACCGTCCCGGAACCGCCCTGGCCCAGGGCTGCGGAGCCTGCGGAGGCTGCTTCTTGGACCCTGCTCCTATCAGAGCATACACCAAGCACTAAGCAGCCGAATTCCGGCTCCAGGAACTGAGCCCGCGGGGACTGCTTCTTGGAGCCTACACTTATAGGAGCTTACACTGAGCACGGAGCGGCCGAGTTCCGGCTCCTGGAACTTCCCTGGCCCGGGGCTAGGAACCCGAGGAAACTGCTTCTCGGTCCGGGTCCTGCTGAGGGCCGGTCCGGACTCACCCGTTGCTTTGGTTGCCCGGCAAGGGGAACGAAATGCTGCCATTCGCATAGGATACCAACATGGCAGAGATCTGATGTCATCAGAAAGCGGCGGAGGAGAGAACTTCATCAATACCAGCGGTGACAGAAACAGTTGGTCTCCTGGTAGGGGGGGTGAGGCACAGACACCCGAGTCTCCTCAATTTGTCGTCGAGCCAGAGGGGAGGAGCCGGGCCGCCCCCAGCGCCCGGAGCAGGCCCAGCGGCTCGCCAGCGTGGTGACCGCGTGACCCCAATTGGAGAGGTGGCGGAGGGGAGCCGCCACCCGCACCCGCAAGGTGGGCAGACCCGCGACCCAGTGGTACATGGGCGTGGTAGGAGGGGCAGGGCAGAGCCGCCGTTCGCGCTTGCAAGGTAAACAGACCTGTGAGAGCCTGGCGGGTCAGGCCCAGTGGCCTGCCAGTGTGGTACACACGTCACCCCAACTGGAGTAGGGGCAGAGCAGATCCTTCTCCCACGCCCGGATCAGGCCCTGCCGGTGTGGTGGTCACGTGACGCCAATTGGAGTGGGGGCGGAGCGGAACCGCCACCCATGCCCGCAGGGTGAGCAGACCTGTGACCAACCTGCAGATCAGGCCCAGGGATCCGCAGGCGTGGTAGGAGGGGCAGGGCAGATCCGCCGCCCGCGCCTCCAAGGTAGGCAGACCTGCAACAGACCGGCGGATCAGGCCCAGGAGCCTGCCGGCGTGGTACACACACCACCCTAATTGGAGTAGGGGCAGAGCAGAGTCGCCACCCGTGCCAGGAACAGGCCCAGCGTCCTGCAGGCGGGGTAGTCACGACACCCCAATTGGAGTAGAGGCAGAGCAGAGCCTCCACCCGTGCCCGAAAGGTGGGCAGATCTGCGACCAACCAGCGGGACAGGCCCAGTGGCCTGCTGGTACGACAGACACGTCACCCCATTTGGAGTAGGGGCAGAGTAGAGCCGCCGCCCGCGCCTGCAGGGTAGGCAAACCTGCAACCGACTGGCGGATCAGGCCCGGTGGCCTGCCGGCGTGGTACATTCGTCACCCCAATTGGAGTAGGGGCAGAACAGAGCCGCCACCAGCGCCCAGAACAGGCCCAGTGACCTGCCGGTGTGGTAGCCACGACACCCCAATTGGAATAAGGAGAGAGCAGAGCCGCCGCCCGCGCCTGCAGGAAAGATACGCAAGCAGTATGAAAAGACAAGGAAAGAAAGGACCACAAGCAATGCAGGTCAACGCAACTTTAGAAGAGGTAACAGCTGCAGCAGATGGAATGTCAGATAAAGAATTCAGGATATACATGCTTCAGATGATCTGGAGTATCAAGGAAGACATTAAACAGCAAAATCAGACAATGAAAGATCACTTCGACAATGAATTACGCAAACAAATCCAGGAAGCAAAGGATCAACTATACAGGGAGATAGAGGTTATAAAAAACAAACAAACAGAAATCCTAGAAATGCAGGAAGCAATAAACCAACTTAAAAACTCAATGGAGAATACTACCAGCAGAGTAGAACACTTAGAAGATAGAACATCAGACAATGAAGACAAAGTATTTCAACTGGAAAAGAACATAGACAGCTCAGCAAGACTGTTAAGAAACCATGAGCAGAACATCCAAGAAATATGGGATAACATTAAGAGACCAAACTTAAGAGTCATTGGGATACAGGAAGGGACAGAGCTCCAAACCAAAGGAATGAGCAGTCTATTCAATGAAATAATACGAGAAAACTTCCCAGACTTGAAGAATGAGACAGAATCCCAAATCCTAGAAGCCTACAGGATGCCGAATGTGCAAAATCATAAGAGATCCACACCTAGACACATTATAATGAAGATGCCCAACATACAGAATAAGGAGAGAATTTTAAAAGCTACAAGAGAAAGGAAGCAGATTACATTTAGGGGTAAGCCAATCAGGATAACAGCTGATCTTTCAACACAGACTCTGAAAGCTAGAAGATCCTGGAATAACATATTTCAAACACTGAAAGAAAATGGGTTCCAACCAAGAATTGTGTATCCAGCGAAATTAAGCTTCAGGATGGAAGATGAAATTAAAACCTTCCACGATAAACAAAAGTTTAAAGAATTCACAGCCAGAAAACCATCTCTTCAAAACATCCTCGCCAAAGCATTACAGGAAGAGGAAATGGAAAATAACAATGAAAACCAACAGTGGGAGGTAGGACAGTAAAGGGGGGGAAAATAATCAAAGAGGAAAACAAACCATGTTTAGTAACATAAATAAACAAATATGGCTGGAAGAACAACACATATCTCAATAATAACCCTAAATGTTAATGGCTTAAACTCACCAATTAAGAGACACAGGCTAGCAGAATGGATCACAAAACAAGACCCAACAATATGCTGCCTACAGGAGACGCATTTGATAGGAAAAGACATACATAGGCTGAAGGTGAAATGTTGGGAAAAATCATATCACTCATATGGACTTCGGAAACAAGCAGGCGTGTCCATACTCATATCAAATAAAATAGATTTCAAGCCAAAGTTAATCAAAAGGGATAAAGAGGGACACTACATACTGCTTAAGGGAACCATACACCAACAAGACATAACAATCATAAATATTTATGCCCCAAACAATGGTGCAGCTATGTTCGTCAAACAAACTCTTCTCAAGTTCAAGAGTCTAATAGACCACCATACCATAATCATGGGAGACTTCAACACACCTCTCTCGCCACTGGACAGATCTTCCAAACAAAAGTTGAATAAGGAAACTATAGAACTCAATAACACTATTAATAACCTAGACCTAATTGACATATATAGAGTATACCACCCAACATCAAGCAGTTACACTTTTTTCTCAGCAGCACATGGATCCTTCTCAAAAATAGATCATATATTATGTCACAGGGCAACTCTTAGACAATATAAAGGAATAGAGATAATACCATGCATTTTATCTGATCATAATGGAATGAAACTGAAAATCAACGATAAAAGAAGGAAGGAAAAAGCATACATCACTTGGAGAATGAACAATAGGTTACTGAATGATCAATGGGTTATAGAAGATATCAAGGAGGAAATTAAAAAATTCTTAGAGGTAAATGAAAACACAGACACAACATATCGGAATCTATGGGACACATTGAAAGCAGTTCTAAGAGGAAAATTCATTGCTTGGAGTTCATTCCTTAAAAAAAGAAAAAACCAACAAATAAATGATCTCATACTTCATCTCAAAATCCTTGAAAAAGAAGAGCAAAGCAACAGCAAAAGAAGTAGAAGGCAAGAAATAATTAAAATCAGAGCTGAAATTAATGAAATTGAAACAAAAGAAACAATTGAAAAAATTGACAAAACTAAAAGTTGGTTCTTTGAAAAAATAAACAAAATCGACTGACCCTTAGCGATGCTAGCGAAGAGAAGAAGAGAGAGAACTCAAATTACTAGCATACGGGATGAAAAAGGCAATATCACAACAGACACTTCAGAAATACAGAAGATAATCAAAAACTATGTTGAATCCTTATACTCCAATAAATTAGAAGATAGTGAAGGCATCGATAAATTTCTTAAGTCATATGATCTGCCCAGATTGAGTCAGGAGGATATAGAAAACCTAAACAGACCAATATCAATTGAGGAAATAGAAGAAACCATCAAAAGACTACCAACTAAGAAAAGCCCAGGACCGGATGGGTATACAGCAGAATTTTACAAAACCTTTAATGAAGAACTAATACCAATACTTTTCAAGCTACTTCAGGAAATAGAAAAGGAGGGAGAACTTCCAAATTCATTCTATGAGGCCAACATCACCCTGATACCTAAACCAGACAAAGACACTTCAAAGAAAGAAAACTACAGACCAATATCTCTAATGAACCTAGATGCAAAAATCCTCAATAAAATTCTGGCGAATCGGATACAAAAACATATCAAAAAAAATTGTGCACCATGATCAAGTAGGATTCATCCATGGGATGCAAGGCTGGTTCAATATACGGAAATCAATAAATGTTATTCACCACATCAATAGACTTAAAAATAAGAACCATATGATCATCTCGATAGATGCAGAAAAAGCATTCGACAAAGTACAGCATCCCTTTATGTTCAAAACTCTAGAAAAACTAGGGATAACAGGAACATACCTCAATATTGTAAAAGCAATCTATGCCAAGCCTCAGGCTAGCATCATTCTGAATGGAGAAAAACTGAAGGCATTCCCTCTAAAATCTGGAACAAGAGAGGGATGCCCTCTCTCTCCACTTCTGTTCAACATAGTTCTCGAAACACTGGCCAGAGCAATTAGACAGACGAAAGAAATTAAAGGCATAAAAATAGGAAAAGAAGAACTTAAATTATCACTATTTGCAGATGATATGATTCTATACCTAGCAGACCCAAAAGGCTCTACAAAGAAACTATTAGAGCTAATAAATGAATTCAGCAAAGTGGCAGGATATAAAATCAACACGCATAAATCAAAGGCATTCCTGTATATCAGCGACAAATCCTCTGAAATGGAAATGAGGACAACCACTCCATTCAAAATATCTTCAAAAAAAATAAAATACTTGGGAATCAACCTAACAAAAGAGGTGAAAGACTTATACAATGAAAACTACAGAACCCTAAAGAGAGAAATAGAAGAAGATCTTAGAAGATGGAAAAATATACCCTGTTCATGGATAGGCAGAACTAACATCATCAAAATGGCGATATTACCAAAAGTTCTCTATAGGTTTAATGCAATGCCAATCAAAATCCCAACGGCATTTCTTGTAGAAATAGAGAAAGCAATCATGAAATTCATATGGAAATATAAAAGACCCAGAATAGCAAAAACAATGCTAAGCAGGAAGTGGGAATCAAGCGGTATAGCGATACCAGACTTCAAACTATACTACAGAGCAATAGTAACAAAAACAGCATGGTACTGGTACCAAAACAGGCGGGTGGACCAATGGTACAGAATAGAGGACACAGAAACCAATCCACAAAACTACAACTATCTTATATTTGATAAAGGGGCTAAAAGCATGCAATGGAGGAAGGATAGCATCTTCAACAAATGGTGCTGGGAAAACTGGAAATCCATATGCAACAAAATGAAACTGAATCCCTTTCTCTCGCCATGCACAAAAGTGAATTCAAAATGGATCAAGGAGCTTGATATCAAATCAGAGACGTGCCGTCTGATAGAAGAAAAAGTTGGCTACGATCTACAGTCGGTGGGGTCGGGCTCCAAATTCCTCAATAGGACACCCATAGCACAAAAGTTAATAACTAGAATCAACAAATGGGACTTACTCAAACTAAAAAGTTTTTTCTCAGCAAAAGAATAAGAGAGGTAAATAGGGAGCCTACACCCTGGGAACAAATCTTTACTCCTCACACTTCAGATAGAGCCCTAATATCCAGAGTATACAAAGAACTCAAAAAATTAGACAATAAGAGAACAAACAACCCAATCAACAAATGGGCCAAGGACCTGAACAGACACTTCTCAGAGGAGGACATACAGTCAATCAACAAGTACATGAAACAATGCTCAACATCTCTAGCTGTCAGAGAAATGCAAATCAAAACCACCCTAAGATACCATCTCACTCCAGTAAGATTGGCAGCCATTATGAAGTCAAACAACAACAAGTGCTGGCGAGGATGTGGGGAAAAGGGTACACTTGTACATTGCTGGTGGGACTGCAGATTGGTGCAGCCAATTTGGAAAGCAGTATGGAGATTCCTTGGAAAGCTGGGAATGGAGCCACCATTTGACCCAGCTATTCCCCTTCTTGGTCTATTCCCTAAAGACCTAAAAAGAGCATGCTACAGGGACACTGCTACATCGATGTTCATAGCAGCACAGTTCACAATAGCAAGACTGTGGAACCAACCTAGATGCCCTTCAATAGACGAATGGATAAAAAAAATGTGGCATTTATACACAATGGAGTATTACTCTGCATTAAAAAATGACAAAATCATAGAATTTACAGGGAAATGGATGGCATTAGAGCAGATTATGCTAAGTGAAGCTAGCCAATCCCTAAAAAACAAATGCCAAATGTCTTCTTTGATATAAGGAGAGTAACTAAGATCAGAGTAGGGACAAAGAGCAGGAGAAGAAGATTAACATTTAACAGGGATGAGAGGTGGGAGGGAAAGGGAGAGAGAAGGGAAATTGCATGGTAATGGAAGGAGACCCTCAGGGTTATACAGTAGAGGGGGTAGAGAGAGAGGAGGGGAGGGGAGGGGAGAGGTGGGGAGGGGGGAGGGGGGAGGATGGGAAAGGCAGCGGAGCACAACAGACACTAGTATGGCAATATGTAAATCAATGGATGTGTAACTGATGTGATTCTGCAATCTGTGTATGGGGTGAAGATGGGAGTTCATAACCCACTTGAATCAAAGTGTGGAATATGATATGTCAAGAAATTTGTAATGTTTTGAACAACCCACAATAAAAAATTAAAAAAATATATACCATAGTTTTAATCAAAGAATTGTGCATTTGTAATTAGATAAATTAATGTAGTATGTTTTCCCATTGCCTCACAGCTGCAAATCACTGTGTGTGGACATCTTTTTCAGAGTGTGAAAACACAGTGTTGGTCAGAGAAACCACTGGCTTTGAAGGGAAAATTTCAAGTCCATACTACCCGAGCTACTATCCTCCAAAATGCAAGTGTACCTGGAAATTTCAGGTATCCTAGTTTGCCTGTATATTAGAAAAATATCCCTATCCTATTTTTAGTAGAATTTCATTTCCTTTATTTTCTTTTTAAATTACAGAATAATATCACTTAATTTTATAAAATTTAACTGCACTGAAATATATTATCTAGAAAACTAAATTTTCCTGTAATTTCAGCCCACTTTTTATACAAAGTACATACTATTAACAAATGTGGGCTATTTTTCCAATTTATTTTGTTTTCATTTTCATTAAAAATGTCCAGACCTGCTTGTAGGATCAAACAATTATTTTATTACAACAGAGATTGTGGAGCAATTATTAATTACTTCATCAGAATAGTAATTAATAAAAATAAAAAATTAGATTAGGCAATATATAGTTCACTTGTGTAAGCAAAACAAACAGCAAATTTATATGAAGTATATATAACTCCCCTCTTGTGCTAGGTGGGGCATTTCTTCCCCCCACCCCCACAATATTTTTTAAATCTTAAAAAAAAAAACTATTTTTCTTTTTTATTTTTGTAGTATCATGGAGACAGGGCAAAGTTTTGTTACCTTTGCTCAGTCAGTGTATATAAAATCATTATTATATAGCACAGCAATTAGATGTAAGTGGTAAATATATGTGGTTTGCATTTGTCAATATATTATTGAATGACTTCTCTGGGTCAAGTTCTCAGGCTACTTTAAACTTTGAGGACCTATGAAACTGGATAAAAAATTTTTAAAAAGTTCTGCTCTTATGGAAACTACCTTTCAGTTAGGGAAGATAGGTAAACAACAAACTAGTCATATACACGGTGAGCAGCCATGTCTGGGTTCAGATCTGTGGATTCAACCAACGGCAGAGAGAATCCACATCTTTATTGACCATGGACAGACTTTATCTTTGTCATTATTCTCTACTATTATAGAATAGTATAATAGTTATTTATATAGTGTTTACATAGTATTAGATATTATAAGTAATCTGGAGATGATTTAAAGTACATTGGAGGATTTGGCTAGGTTATATGCAGATACTATACCTGTTACTTAAAATGCTTATTACCTGTCAATTTGCATTTTTATGTGTGTGAATAAACAAACAAATGATAAGGCTGGAAAAAAATTTGAGTTGTGTTCTCATGAGCCCTGGGCTTTTGGTGAACATGAGACAGTCCTATTCCTTGTGTGTCCCCCACATTGGTTTCCTAGAGCTTGAGAGACTGTGAATAGAGTGACCCTCAAAGAATGCTGGGCTAGTTTGGATCTCTGGTCTGCTTTTTCTCACCTTGGGAAAATTACTTATCTTTGATTAGTTATGTCGGTTTATTTATTTTTTCTTTTTCTTTAAAATGGAAATCAACCTTCTTTGCCTAACAGAGTCGTTGTGGTGTTCAATTGAGATCAACAAAGTGCCTGATTCACTCCCTCTCAAATGTGGGAGGTGAAGGGCGGCTTCCTGCATTTAAATGTACTTCAGAAACAAAGAGACACACATGCACATGCACAGACATGCATACACACACATGAAAGAGCAACACAAAATAATGGCATGACTAAAAACTCTGTCATGGTAATAAATGTCAATGGGTAAAGAAAAAGACAGTAGGATTGAATTGCAAAGTACTACCTAAAAACTTAACTTCGTCATTTTCAAAAGATAAAAAAAATGACTCAAAAAAGCTGATCAGAAAGGATGGGCAAGATTGTACCAGGTATGCATAAGTAAAAAGAAAACAGTTTTCATTCTCAGTACCTGGCAACACTGAAACCAGGGCCACAACATTTCCTGGTTTGCAAGTAAGGAGAAGGGCAACTTATAAGATAAAAAGGTGATCCACAAAATCTAATTATGATGATTATTTATGCAGTGAATGATATAGCATTAATACACACAAGCCAAGAAGAATAGGAAAGACAAAGAGAAGTGGGCAAGGCTTAAGTAAGAGATTTTAATTCACTTTCCTTGCATGATTCAGACATAGTGTACAACAGTAAACAGGGCCAGGAAGGCTATTAAGTCATACCAGTGAGTTTGGAAATAAAAATAAGCAGAGGGACCACGGAACATTCATAATTTGATCACAATCAAATCCTTAAGAAATTTAAAAAAATTTAAAAAACAGTATAAACCAAAATCTTTCTTCTAATTAAGATGGAATTAGAAAACTTGAAAATGAGTAAGCCAAAATTCAACTCTCTAGAAATATAAAAATCCTCTCTTCCATAATTCCTGGGTCAAAGTGAAAGTGAAAACTAAAACGTTGGCATATCAGACATAAGGTGGATGTACACCACACAGTACAATAAAAAGGCCAGTTGTGTCGTGGCACAGTATGTGCATGTTTGCTCACAAGCAGGCTGCTGGCTCCCTTGACCTTTTCAGAAAATACCCAGATGATTCAGTGACAGTCTTTAGGAATACCCAGGTAATATGAAGAGGAAGCTGATTCATCTCTCTTTTATCTACAGGATCTGAATGAAACTTTAAATAAGCCACATCATTGTTTTCATCAACAGAGGACATTCTTTAAACTCAGTAACTGGTGAATGTCTGCAAAATTAAGCTCATCCAACTGGAGCAGGCTGAAACCCAGAGACACTGCCTATGGTGTCCCACCTCATGGGCCCAGAAGCTGAGTCTTGAGCACCTGGTGGCTATCCTCTTTGTTCTCCACCTGCACTTCTTCCCATCCTGGTTGTTCAGGGGAGCTGGTGTACCACACCAGGGGCCACAGGGCACAGGAATAGAACACCCCTGAAACAATAAGTACCGAGCCAGCAAGGAAATGTTAGCCTGAGATTTCGTCCTTTGCCTAAAGCATTTTTTGACTTGATGTTGTTTTTCACAGACCCCTCTGTCAACTCTCGGCATAGCCCTGAGATTCCATAACTATTCAATCACCAAGAAGAGTATGAAAGGCTGCGAGCATGGATGGTGGGAAATCAACGAGCACATGTAAGTGATTTTCGTATGTGAGGAATCTGATGAATCCTTGGTGGCCTCTGTCCTAGAGAGGGTTTGTCTGTCTTTAAAGAGTTTCCACTTTACTGTTGACAGAGGGCAACTGAGAGACAGAGAAATCAAGAAACTTGCACAAGGACTCTCACTCCTGAGTGACTGAATCAGGATTCAGGGCAAAGTTGATCTAAAGATATGGCTTCTGCCTCACCTCCACTCTGTGGATTTTCCATGTGTATAGTGCTTTACAAAAGTATTTGGCAGATAAAATATTCAAATTCTAGAGCTACTGGGGAAAATAATAAATAGGGGTTCTGGTGGTACAAAAGTTAGCCAATTCCTTTTGTTCGTAGAGGCCTGATTGACCTGGCATGGTCTGAAGGCTAGCAAATGGGTTGAGGCTAACCAGAAAAAAATCTCAGAGAAATGTAGGTGGTTTGGCTTCCTGAACCAACCTAGTAGACGCCACTGTCACTGTCCCCTTCCCTTGGGCTGGTGATTGAACCCAGGGCCTGTGCAAGCTAAGCATATGCTCTCCCTGAGGTACATGCCTGGCTCCTTACTCTCACTCTGATTTATTCCTTGCTTGTTAGTGTTGTTTATTTGCTTCTGAAACTATAATAGGTATTTAATAGCCATTTAATTGAATTAGCATTCAAAATACAGGACACCCTGCTTTGGCAGTAGAAAGGCTTCTCATTTCACTTTTCAGAGAAGCATCCTGTGAGGTTGAAGGCTTTGCCTGCTATTTTTTTGCTCATTATTATTTCATAAATGAAACCTTCCCTAAGTGCCTTTCCTTAATAACCTTCTTTCATTTCCTTTAGACAAACTGTGAAATAGTCATCTATCCTGTCTTCAGAGGAGTAGGCCTTAGTAGATTAAAAATTGTTCTTGTATCCATTCTTAAAATGTAGCCAGTATTCTTTTTGGGAGTGTAACTGAATCAAGGGTTTGTTCTGTAGAAGACAGGAGACCTGGCTTCAAATTCCAGCCCTGTCATTTAGTAGCTATATTAAGTAGGGCAAATTACCATCTTTGATTTTCAGTTTGTAAATAAGATGATAATTCTCAATAAGGGTTTGTGTTTGAGCAAGCATTCAAGGACATACTGCATACAACAGACCAAAAATATGATTTATGTTAATATAAATAACGAGATTTCTTTGGAAATTATATTAATGAATAAGCACTATAGAATGTGCCCCAAGGCTTCACAGGTACTGCTTTTTGGTGCTTAATAAATATAGAAATCTTTACACATATTTTGTATGATAAACCTGTGACTAAACTGTGCTTTGAATAAGAAATATTATTATTTTTTTTTCTCCCAAGTCACAGCAGAAACAGTCCAGGATGTGTGACTGCAGGTAGGAGCAGGGTCTTCTCCCAAGCAATACCAGGAAAGCACTCTGCCCCAATGCTTCTCCTGAAAGGCCAGTTCTTCCTGTAGTCTGTAGGCTGGCTGAAATCCTATCAGATTCATTTCATGTTAGTTGTACCCTCAGGATTTAAAATGCCAGCCCTTTCCTTATCCTTTCTTCTCACTGGAAAGGGAAGGCTCTAATTGAACTAATGAGACCCCTTGCTGAGAAGTTAGCCTAAGGGAATTGGGGCTGTAAAGAGAAAGGTGGAAAGAGCTATAAGGAATGGGGAAAGACTAAGGATTTCCTCAAATAGTTCAGAGAACCTAACCTCAAAGAAATAGTGGTCACCCTACAAGTTGGATGCCATTAGAGAGGAAAAGCAGAGCAAAGCCCAAGGAGAAGGCCACTGGATGTTCTAGAAAGTGTCAGAGTATAACCTCAGGCCAACTGTGTTCAAATCCTGGTTCTACTTACTTGTTTTTGAACTTCAACAAATTATTTCACTTATGTCTGTTCCTGACTTGTTATATGTCTGGATACATAAATTGACTCTTGTTGGGTTTCTCCAATCTCTCACTTTTTGAGCTCTAAGTCTCTAAACCTTCATCATGATCCATTGCATAGGATCTCCCTTTAAGCTCTAGCCCAAATATGGAGGCCAACATCCTTCATCTTAATTCCCTTTTAAGATGCCTGAGTAGGACTCATCTTTGGAAGAAAACCCTAGATGTTAGTGGAGAACACACACAAAACACATCATGTCTTTAGACATTTAGAGTGTGCCAATCTCAAGATGATCAATTAGAGTAGATTCTGGTCCCCAAAGCTTGGCTTGGCTTTCAGGAACCTCTCAGACCTGGCTCCTACTTGACCAGGTGGCCACTACACCTGCTATCTCTTCCTTATGTAACAGGAACTGGCTTATCAGTCCATCAGTTCCTGAACTTCAGCCAACTGCAAGAGGCTCTTCCTGAATGACATGAGAATGCTTTCCTCCCTAAAATCACAGATTATCTGTGCTTTAGAATGCCAGTGTCTGATTCAAAGGGCTTTCGAGGTTCCCGAGTGATTTGAGGGCCTAGAGTGATTGGCATTCACAAGTTCCAGGGGACAGTGCCACCTCCAAATCTTGAGGCTGCTCCCTGTCTCCCATGGAGACCCTTAGAGGTTTCACACTGGAAAAAGCCTTGCCCAAACAGGGCAGTGGACTTCTCACAGGCCTTCTGTATAATAATGCTCCTACTCCATTGCTCACAGAGCTCATGCAGCAAGAATTACTAACCAGAGGGATGTTTTCCCAAAAGAATTTTGGGAACCCTGGTGGCATTAAGTAATGAGAGGTAAGAAAAAAATCAAGTGAGAGAAATATTGTGTAGAGACATTACTTCTTGGAAATTCTACCAAGGACAAACCCAGAGGTGCATATCATATTTTGATTTAGATGGAAATAACATAGTCGTTTGCTTCAAGTGTTGATGAAGTTCATTGCATATTTTCAGCCTGAACTCAGAGATTCTACTCTGCTCTGTCCAGAGGTCTGTGGGCAAGACCTTCTTGTTTCATGCTTTATTTTTGTTTTTCACTGAAAGGAGATGGGCCTAGAAGAATTAAATCCATAGTTTGTTTGTGAGTGTTGGTGAGGAAAGGAACAGATTGGTAGTACTCTTACTGCTCTATTTAGCAGAAGATAAAATTGGGGAGAAGTTACTAGATTGTGGCCACATAGCATAGGATGGATTCGATGCTACCATTAGTGCATTTCTGCTTACAAAATCCAAATGACCACAGTACAGATGAATTTACTGTCAACAGGAAGGCAGTTGATGAAACCTCAAGCTGTGTGTCCTCTCCAACTCCTGCCTCCTCAGGTACTGTGGCACCTACATGGATCACCACACGATTTTCCGAGTGCCCAGCCCTCTGGTTCACATTCAGTTCCAGTGCAGTTCAAGGCTTTCGGACAAGCCACTGTTGGTAGAATACGGCAGTTACAACATCAGTCAACGTAAGCCTGGTTATCAACAAGATCCTTAGAAAACCTCAATAAGTCATCACATGGTGAGCTGTGGGCATGGTGGCACGTGCCTGTGATTCCAGCAACTTACGAGGCTAAGGCAGGAGGATTATAAGTTCAAGTCCAGCTTCAGTAATCAGAGAGGTCCTAAGGAGCTCAGTGAGACCCTGTCTCAAAAAAAAAGGGCTGGATGTGGCTCAGTGGGTAAGTACCCCTGGGTTCAATCCCCAGTACCCAAATAAAAAAAGGGGGAAAAAGTTATTGTATGGTCACTATTCCCCCTGACTCACCCGCTCCACCACATGCCATTGAGACATAGGTGGACCTATAATACACTCTCCCACTTATTATAAGCTTTATAACTTATAACCTCAAATATTTCAGGAATGAGTATAGCTTCTTTTTGTTATTTCCTTTTATATATGTATTTTAAAAAACAAATTATATGTATATATACATATATATACACACATAAATTATATTTTACTGCCTTTATTTTAAGTTGTAGAGAAATCATTTAATATTTTTGACATTACTGATTCATAGCTGAAATATAACTTCTTACATTATTCCTGAAATATAGGACAAGTCCTTTTTTGGCTTGTTATTTTTCTGATTTTTGTGTTCATATCAACATATAGAGGATCTGAGACCAGCAGTTTTGATTCAGTTTGGTCTATGGTGCACAAGGGTAGCTGTTTGATTGAAAGGATTCAAATAACAGCACTCAGAAGGTAGAACTGCTGGAACAGTGATCAGGAAGTGGCTAATAGAAAAGAAAACATTCGAGAGAAGTATTGGAGCTGGAGTGTAGATAAGGACATGTTCAAGAAATTCTAGACCCATTTAAAATGGGGAAGTATAAAAGTTATTCTTTGAGGAACTTATGAAGATATGACATAAGCGAAAGGAACTTAGACCTTGTTGTTCTCTGACAATCCCCAATATCCTGCTTTTGCATTTGGAATATTATGCTCAGAATACTACAATCTCCAGCAGGGTCTCAAGAAGAGCCAGTCATTTCATTTCTAACTGTCTTTTCAAACCATGACTATTCCCCCTGACTCACCCGCTCCACCACATGCCATTGAGACATAGGTGGACCTATAATACACTCTCCCACTGTTCTTTTACACAAGGGAGGAAGGATTTATTATTTCAGCAATATTCATATATTAGCTTAGGATGTGATTTAAGCCAACAGAGGGAGTGGATCTTTGATGAGCAGCCTGATTGAAAAGGAAAGAATAGTGGATAGTGAAGTAGGAGGCAGGAGTCTTGGCTTTGAGGCCTGGCACTAATCTCTCTAGGTCAACTTGAGTAGATCAGTGGTTACTCTTGTATTTTGGAACAGAGATCACCTGAAAATGCAATTAAAGAGGCAGAATAATGCTTTTGATCACAGACAATTTGGAGAAAGCAGCATCCCATTTATAATCCCCCAGAAAGTCTAAAGTCTGCACATTAAGAATGCTGGCCTCTAATATGTCTTCCAGCTTTCCCATGCTTCAAGTCTGTATTAATGCTGTGGAGCTGAGTCAAGGCAAAGGGTTTTTTTTGTTTTGTTTTGTTTTGTTTTGTGGTGCTGGAGATTGAACCCAGGCCTTTTTGCATGCAAGGAAAAAGACTGAGCTATCTCCCCAGCCCGAGGTTTGATTTTGAAGGTGACTTGGATGCAGTGGTTACTCAGACCTCCTGTTTAATTAATTTTCTTTTTTTTGTTCACTTGGGTTCTGCTTTTTAGCTTGTCATTACCCACATCCTTATTTAGATGGACATATTATATAATTACTCCTGCTACCTTGTCAAATCCCTAATCACTTAAAGCTTCATGTTTCTTTGCTAATGTGGTTTGGGCATTTTTCGGGACCCACATGACATTTTCTTTTTTCTTTCTTTCTTTTTTTTTATTGCTTATAGCTTGTCCTGTTGGATCTTTTAGATGCTCCTCTGGTTTGTGTGTCCCTCAGGCCCAGCGCTGTGATGGAGTAAATGACTGCTTTGATGAAAGTGATGAACTTTTCTGTGGTGGGTATTCAGGCTTTGAATATGACTTTCTTAGACGTAGCTTGTCAGGGCCATTGTTGCTGCTAGTGTCCACCTACAGTCTTTGTAGTGTAGATAGTGTTATCTATCACTACCTAACAAACTATGCCCAAACTCAGTGACTTAAAACAGTCATTCCTTGTCCTCCTCCTTCTTTTTTTTCCTTCACCTCCTCCTCCTTCTTCTTTTCTGTTGTTTTCTTTTTCTTTTTGCCCCCCCATTTTACAGTGTTGGGGATCAAATCCAGGGCCTCATGCAAGCTGGGCAAGATTCTACCACTGAGCCACATCCCCAGCCCCCATCATGTATTCCTCATCATATACCCATATGTTGTCTTGGATATGCCTGATCTAGGCTGAGCTCAGTTGGGTGGCTTTGCTTCAAGCACTGGGTCATCCTGAGCTTGGTTCTTCACAGGTCAGGATCAGGTCTATTCTTTCTGACTCTTTCTTTCATTGAGCCATGGATAGCATTGATAGTGACAAAAGCAAAGAAGGAGCAAGCAGAAACATATAGTTTCTCTGAAGGCTTGGCCTTGGGATTGGCACCCCATCACTAGTATCATCGTTCATGGCTCAAATCTGGTCACATAGCTGAGATCAAAGTCAAGGCTCAGGGAATTTCCTCTGCACATTTTGGGGTCATGGCAAGGATGGATTTGCATTAATATGACCACAGGGAGTAAAGATCTGTGATTAATAGCTTAATTCACCACAATTGTTTTTTGTTTGTTTGTTTTGTACATTATTAAAAAAAAAAAAAACACGTTATTTTCCACTGGTACTTGACAGTTAATAGCACCTGATACATTCTGAATTTTTATAAAACAAATTACATAATTCTTAGTATATAAAAATGACTCCAAAAATATTTGAATGTCTGTTATGGTATATGGAAAGGTAAATTATTAGGATTTTTATTCTACATTTAGACAATACATTTTCAAGGTTAACCTTAAAATCTTAGAAAACAACATTTTCTGTGAAAGTGCATTAGAGGAAACTGGTTCAATAAATCCAGTAAACATAATTTCAGCAGTAGAGACTAAACTACTACCAAAAAATCATGAAAACTCTTCTGAAAGATTTCAAAACAAAATTATTCAGAATCTCTTCCAAATCTATTTTTCTGGAATCATTTATTCAGTTTAATTTTAGGTAGAATTTAGGGTTACCTAAAACTCTCAAACAACTTCTTCTTCTTCTCCATCTCCTTCTCCTTCTCCTTCTCCATCTTCTTCTTCTTCTTCATACAACAATCCTGTTTGAAGTCACAGATCTTTTATCTTGAGAGCAGCTCAGAATCTGCAAAAAACTAAACTCAGAATTCCTCTTTATGGAGCACAGGGTTTGTTTATGAATGATAGTTTTTTTGTTGTTGTTGTCTTTAACCTACACAGTTTCTATTGATATTACATTGGTAATAACTAAGGGAGGGTAATCTGTCCCATAATAATTCCATTGGCAAAGACAGGCAAACCCTCCAATGCCAATCCTGATAGACCTTCCTAGGCTCTCCCCGATCCAAATAGGGATCCCCATACTCCAACCACCCTAACTCTCCAATGCCCCCCTCGACGTTCTCCATACAGATCCTTAGGTTTACCTTTTCTTTATTTCCTGTGTCTTCTAAAAGCTATTCATTCTTGAGGTTGCCTTTATATTCTTTCTTTTTAGAATCAATAATATGTTTAAAAAAGTATTTGATACATAACTGGTGCCCCGTCCCTTAAACATACAATCAAACAGAAGCCCGATTAAAAGGAATGACTTTTCCCAGCAGGGCTTCTTCCACAACTCAAGGGGAGATGTGTGGTCTATAGTCAGAAATGTCTAAGGAACCACAATTTCTGAAAGTGCTTGCTAATATACCATGCCTGCCTTCGATCTAAAGAAAATATTCCAAAAAGGGAAAATATTTTTTTCCTATTTTCAGATTTTTTTCTGCATTTCCTAATTGAGGAAATTGATCTCTAAGGATAAAAATCATCTTAAGAAGATTTTCCTTACACACAGACCACAAGTCTATTTTTTCTCTAAGATCTCACATTCATGAATTCATTCAACAAAACCTCATTGAACTCCTCCTATGTGATCAGGGGCCTGGGGTACAGATATGAATAAGATAATCTCAGTACACTTCCACTTCCATTAGGAGGGGAGACAAGTTCAATTTAGATAACAGCTTCCAATATTCATTTTTCTGAAAATAGATTACTTCAGATGCATTTAATTGTAATTAAATAAACAAACCATCAGAGTTCAACACATCTACACAATTGCAAAAATCAGATCTGACAAACTCAAGTGCTAGGATTTGCTCCAAAGTTTAAACATCAGCTTTTCCTCATGAAGGTGCTGCTGTTGAGGAAAAATCACTCTCTAGTTTGTCATCTTAATATTTTGTCCCTGTAGAAGGGCACTCCTGGTCATGGGAGAAGGCAGATGATGTCCCAGGCTCATAAGCCTTGTGTCTTTTCTCATTCCAGTGCCTGTTAAACCTGCCTGCAACACCAGCTCCTCCAGGCAGCACGGCCCTCTGGTCTGTGATGGCTTCAAGGACTGTGAGAATGGCCAGGATGAGCAGAACTGCACTCGGAGTGAGAAGGGTCCCCGTGCTCTGTTGTGCTTCCTAAATTAGAACCAAAATGCCTTTGCTGAGTCAGGGCAATCTAGTCCCAGTGTCCCCAAAACTTTCCCAGATTTGGCACTGAAAATCCCTTGTCTGGGGAAGCTCCTCAGTCCTAGAAAAAAATGAGTGACTAAAGTTGGTGACTTTAACAGGAGTGGACTTGTGCTGTGTGTGTGTGTGTGTGTGTGTGTGTTACTGTGTGAATACTGGCAGATTCTCATTGCTTACCTGATTTTTTTTTTTTTTGGTACCAGTGATTGAACCTAGAGACGCTTAACCAACCAGCCACATCTCCAGCTCTTTTTTAAAAATATTTTTATTTTGAGGCAGGGTCTCACTAAGTTGCTTAGGGCCTCACTAAGTTGCTGAGTCTGGCTTTAAACTTGTGATCCTCCTGCCTCAGCCTACCAAACCACTGGGATTACAGGTGCACACCACTGTACTCAGTTACTTCCTTGCTTTTAATGCTACTTAAGTTGCAGGATACCGAGGATCCGATGTAGAGGAACTTGCCAGAGACCATGAAGGGACAGAAATGCAAATTGTAATTACTACAGAAATGCAAACCTCCTGAGTTATGAACAAATGTGTGGGAATTCACACCATCTGTCTATTTTGCTTTTCTTGGATGACATAAAAAGACGAATGTGGTAGTGATTTATGCCCAAAGACTTTCCTTGGAGAATAAGACACAATAACAAAGAGGCTGTGGCCTAAAAAAGCCACTTATATGGCCAACTCCTTTGCATCTCACTCACCTACAGGGGAAGAAGGCCAGGTAATTGGATTGACTCTCAGCTGAAGTGCTTGCCTGCCTGCCTTCTTCAGTGGCTCTGAAAGGTCACTGTGGGTTTGTTCCATTTCTCTGCTAGTTTTTCCCAGAGCAGCAAATAGCGATTTTGTGGCTAATCCATCCTTTGCAAAGATCAGTGTCATTTACTCAGATGTTTCTGGCTAGAAAAAAACTGCTTTTTCTTTCATTCGTTTTTAGGCATTCCGTGCACCAACAGAACTTTTAAGTGTGGCAATAATATTTGCTTTAGGAAACAGAATGCAAAATGTGATGGGATCGTGGATTGTTCAGATGGAAGTGATGAAGTCGGTTGCAGTGAGTAGAAAAGCTGTTCCTTTTGATTCCTATCTTCCCACCTGGTTTGCCCATTTTCCATTTTTATTCTCTTCCTCATGGAATTCCCCTGGCGGATGTTACCCACAGACCAGGAAATAATAGTAAATCTTGGTGAGCTGAGTCTGAAATTATTTCTCCATCTTCTTTCTTGATACTAAGCATCAATATACTAGATGTTTCCAAAGAGAGCTTTCAATTTCTAGTAACACTAATGAAGGAAGAAGGTCTTAAGTAAAATAGCCTGTGACAAATGAAAAAGTGGGCTTCTGGAGGATTTTTGCTTATATCTTACTTTGTGAACAATATCAATTGTTGGTTCTTTGTTTATTCAAAACCTACTAACTGTTCTGTGCCATATGTTCTTTTTAGTCATGTGGCTTCTAATTGGCCATGTGGCAACAGGTTAATTATATATCATTATCGACACTATTTACACAAAAAGTAAATTACACTAAAAGTAATTGCTCTGATAACTAGTTTGTCTTAGGCTTTAATTTATCTTTGTTTTACAAATTTTTCTTTTAGATTGGCACAGCTTCAAACACATTATCAATTCTGTTATATCAGAACTTACCTTTTTCGTCTCCATCTAGCCACCTAACACCAGGGCTGTTGTTTGTATCAGTACAGCTGTTACTATGGATCCCTCTGCCTCCGCATGCATTACTGTATGGAGACTTCCTGTTAGGGCTTGTTTTCTGGAAGGAAGGAGTAGTCGGCTGGTGCTGGTTTCAGACAGACCCATTAAATTCCTTTCTAGATAAGCAGGCGATTTTAAATTGCTTACTTGGTGACTCAGTTCCCAACCCAGCACTGAACCTGACCTAATTTCCAGTTTTTCTTCAAGTCTGCCTTAAATCACATGACCCTTCCTCTCTACCAAAGGCTGTAGCAGGCGTTCGTCCACTGTCCACCGAGTCGTCGGGGGCACTGACTCCCAGGAGGGGGCTTGGCCATGGCAGGTCAGCCTCCACTTTGTTGGATCTGCCTACTGTGGCGCCTCCGTCATCTCCAGGGAGTGGCTTCTCTCTGCGGCCCACTGTTTCCATGGAAACAGGTAGGGTATCCCAAACCTTACTCTTGAGTGGCACATTCTGACAACAGATCATACATCTGCCCTGAATTGTGAGAAGAAGCCCCTACAGGGGAAAACAAAACAAAACAAACAAACAAACAAACAAACAAAAAAAACAATCAATTCAATCAGGCTACCTTTTTGTTTGTTTTGGTGGGATGGGGGCACTGGTTATGTGTCAAATAGTTTTTATTTATTTTAGGTATCATTGAGATAAAGAAAGAACACAAAGGAAACATCAAGAATGAATAGTTTTTACTAGACTGAGGAAATAAATAAAATTAGGTCAGATGGGAAGACCTAATAGGCTGTGTGGAGAATGTGGAGGAGTGGCTGGAGTATGGGGATCCCTGTTTGCATTGGGGGTGATCCTGGGAAGGTCTGTTAGGGTTGGCATTGGAGGGGCTCTGTCTACCTTTGCCAGTGGGATTATTATGAGACAGAAGATCTTCCAGCTAAGGGTGAAAGAGAAGCTTAAAATGTGATCTAACTTGAAATTTAAACTTATTTAAATCTACTAGACCTTAGGTTCAAAACTAATTTCATATTCTGAATGTTAAGAGATTTCAACTAAGTTATACAATTTGAGTATTTACTCTTCCAATGAATTACAGGAATCGTGTTAATTACTGAAATAGCTTCACCTCTGATCATTAATCTTAAATGCTGTGAAACTGCTGTGTCCTTATTTTTTTCCAAGAGTTTTCATTTTCTTTTCACTTTGAACTTCTCTTTGGCTGCCTCAGGGTGAGATCAAAGCCACACATGGAGATACAGTCCCCTTTGTGACTCTGTGCAGGGTGGGGGGCAGGGTCAACATTAGAATTCTGGAAGGACTGATCATGGTGGAGTTTGGTATCCCTTTGACTGTCATACTTAAGCAGCTACAGCAGCTATGAGGCTTTTGGTAGCTTGCAGCAAGAAGGAATTTCATTAAATTTCTGCTTAAAACAATTTTTTACATTGACTTTTTATTTGTTCTTTTTAGTTATAAATGACAGTAGACTGTAGTTTGATATATTATACATACATGGAATATAACTTCCCATTCTTCTCGTTGTACATGATATGGAGTTACACTGGTAAACACTTCATTTTCTAATCTGCCTTGGAATTAATATTATTTGAATTGGTAGAAGGGTCCCCAGATCACCATATTTACTGGCCCTGTTTGTCTCCATCAGATGCCATTGTTAGCATGAATAGGAAGAATTTAACCAATTAACTCTAGTTATAAATGTTCTTGACCTGTGTGTGACTTGTGAAATACTAGTGGCAAGAAAATTTCCTTCAGGACCTCCTTTCCTCAGCCTCATCTCTCTGTAGAGTGCTTGTTTCTAAACTGTGTAGGACTCTTCAGACTGCTAACTTGGTGGTTCATTCCTTCTCTACCAGGTTGTCAGACCCCACACCGTGGACAGCTCACCTTGGGATGTATGTGCAGGGGAATGCCAAGTTTATTTCCCCATTGAGAAGGATCGTGGTCCACGAGTACTACAACAGTCAGACCTTCGACTATGATATTGCTTTGCTACAGCTCAGTGTCGCCTGGCCTGAGACCCTGAAACAGCTCATTCAGCCAATCTGTATTCCTCATGTTGGCCAGAAAGTGCGCAGTGGGGAGAAGTGCTGGGTTACCGGCTGGGGGCGAAGGCATGAGGCAGGTCTGTGTGTGAATGAATGGGCTTGGCCTTCCACATGGATGAGAGTAACTTGTGCTGATGCTGTGCTTTGGGGTTCCCAGAGAGGATTTGTATATATCATCTTCTTTGGGCCTCCTAACAACTCTGAAAGTTTGGATTGGAGGAGACTATTTTCATCCCTGTCTTATGATTCTTTCCATCTGCTCCAGAAGAAGCAGGGAGACGGAGGGAACCTTTAAACAAAAGCAGAATTGACTAGATAGCATGGGCTCTTTTCAAACTCTGAAGAGGTGCTGGGATTTCCACTAGACAAGAATAGTTCCTCCTTGGCTTCTCTTTTATTCCAAGATGTGATTCATTTTTATAAAGGAGAGGACTTTTATGTATGCACACTCCACTGTCAACTCAGACAGCTATGTAGAAGATTATGCAGGTATGTCCTGCACCAGGATTCTTGGCCAAGCTAAGCTTCCCTTAGCTAATCCAGGCTTGGGCATTACACCAACCTATAATTGGTCCACTCAGAGGGGATACCTTTTTTTGCCTCTCCACCCAGAAAAAAAGCATCATTTTCCAATATGTACCCAAATCAGGGAGTATGCTAGGGAAGGCTGTATGTTCATCCTGCCATGATTTTTCCATGAACTAGGATTCATGGTTGATTCTGAATATACTATGAGGAGAAAAATACAAAGCTTCATGTACATGTCCCCAGAGGTTACTGCTAGAACTTTCCTTTGACCTCCCAGTCATCTGGGATTCCCTTGCAGCCTATCCAAGGGTTTAGGACAGTGTCTGTGCTTCCTGAACTTTCCCTGAATGCTTGCTTTGACACTATCTAAAGATTCACTGTGAGCAGCTTCTCAAATGCTCACTGTCCTCAGTTAGTTATTGAAGTAGTAAGATTCACCTTCGTTTTATTTGCTGAGGTCTCAGAGTCCTGAGAGAGAAGGCAGCTAGGTGTTTGAACACTTACAACTCTGATAGGATACTGTGCTCCATGCTTTAGTTTCAATATCACAAAGGGAATTGTCTACCCATTATTTTATAAACGTGTGCTTGTGTGTGTGTGTGTGTGTGTGTGTGTGTGTGTGAATCATCTTAGCCAAACAGGTTTAAAGGGAAGTGAAAGAGCTATATAGAAACAGTTGTTTTTATGATTCTTCAGAGACTTCTATATGTCAGTTGTGCTCCTTTACTTAAGGAGCTCTCTTGAACAGTAAATATTGGTACTAAGCTTTGTTGACTCACGGTCATTCTAAATGCAGGAAGTATGAGATGAAGGAGTATGGGACGGTGGTTTAGGTGGGGGAGGCAGATCTTGAGTCTAAATCCTGTTGGTATTTGCTAGCTATATGCCACTGGGCAAGTCCTTTTATCTCCCTAGATTCCTTTTCCTCATCAGCAAAATAGGGATAATAGTAGAGTTCATCTCCAAGAATAGCTCTGAGGGTTAAAGGAGATAATCTGAGTTATCATTCAAATGAAACCTTGAAGAGATGTAGTCATTACCATTACCGTGATTTCCAACTCCAATGTGTTTTCCAGATAGTAAAGGCTCCCCTGTTTTGCAGCAAGCAGAGGTAGAGCTCATTGATCAAACCCTCTGTGTTTCCACCTATGGGATCATCACTTCGCGGATGCTCTGTGCAGGAGTGATGTCTGGCAAAAGAGATGCCTGCAAAGTAAGTCCTCCTACCTTTCTCTTGCCCAGCATGTGTTTTCCATAAATGCTTTCACATTTAATCCATGCAACCCTGGGGAATAACTAGGGCAGATATTCCCCTTACCTCATCTGAGGTATTAATTATGACCTAGTTGCCTAAGATCAGGGAAAGGTGCCGAAAGAACTGGTTTTATAGAATCAGTTTGTAATCCCTGCATATCTTCTTCCAGCATTCACTTGGTGAGGTCAGCCTTCATATGTCTGCCACAATTTCCTTATAACTAAAAAGCAAAGCAAAAAATGACACACACATGCAGACTATGTTTCAGAATTGCTACCTATTTCCTTAGGAGCAGGAGCTGTTCAACTTCTGAAACAAACTTCCTTCCTTCCTTCCTTCCTTCCTTCCTTCCTTCCTTCCTTCCTTTCTCTCTCTCTCTCTCTCTTTCTTTCTTTCTTTCTTTCTTTCGATTTCATCTAAAGCATAGGCAGATGGCGGTGAGAAGAGAAGAGGAATAGGAGAGGTGACAAGAATACTCATATGCAGCCCTCCGGGTAGCCGTCTCTAGCAGTGGTTCAGCTGGAAGTCATCTTTCAAGGGAGGGGATATTTCTCTGAGCCTATGATTTCAAATCTATGTCCATGATCACCAAAGATGATTAAGAGAGTAAGGATGACAGCAGGATCAGTTCCCATATCTTTCCACAACTTCAGCCATGATGCCACAAAATTCATTATAATATTGACTTCTATCTTTTGAGATTCTACTTTGTGACAAGCAACCATGGTACATCATTTACTTCAATTTATTCTTTTATTTACATTTTACAGAGGAGGAAACTGGAGACAGAGAGGATAAATAGATGACCCAAGGTCATATAGCTAGCAAGTACAGATATCTGGGCTGGGATTTGAACCCATGGCTCTCTAATGCTAAAGTTGCTGTTTTAGGGTTTCCTGTAGCTGGTCAGTTACAAAGTCCTGTTCCACACAGTCATCAAGCTTATGCACTAAATTTGTATTAGTAGATCTGGTTTTGCATCAATTAAAATAAAGATCCCAGTTTCTTAACCTGTCAGAATTTACCTAATCAGGTGTAAAATTGTGGAGGTGGGATGTAGGGGCACATTTAGACTGCTATCTAAGCAAGTTGTAACTTTCCAACCCTCCCTAAAATAGAAAAATAAAACTCAGACATTATACTAAAGGAATTATACTGTAGGAATTACTTTTAAATCTTTAATTATTTGAGTCCTGACTTTATAAAGTTGAGATATCAGAAGGGACTCTCAAAAGGACGTATTTTGTCTATGAAAACTGTCTGACAGTGGCTCTTAGGGTTGCTGCATTGGATCTGCCGAACAAAACATGCTTTGTGTTTCTTCTGTGGCCATGATCCAACTGCTGAAGTCGCATGGCCCAGAGATAGAAGTCACCCTTCCAAGATAACCATAAGGTGGTTGTGAGGATTAAATGACCCAAAACAGTGCCTGGCATATAGAGAACACTAAATAAATGTTAGCCCTTAATGCTACTGCCACCTATTCTTTGTATGGGACATGTGCAAGAATCTTCTAATGTTATTCTCAGACTTAAAATTAAGTTTTTAAAAAATGAATGTAGTTTTTTTTTTATTATAAGAAGATATCTAAACTTATTCAATGACATTAGCAGTTTCAGGTGTCAACATATATTATATACAAACAGAGATATGATAAATTGTGGTATATATGTGTATTAAGAATTATAATGCACAAAAAAGAGAGAGTACATGTACAATGGCATAATTTGGTGTGAACATACTTTACTGTGCTGTAAAATTGTGCTGTAAATGGGTAATAATGAGTGTAATGCATTCCACTATTGTCATGTATGTAAAATAAAGAAAGAAAAAAATTTATTCTAATTAGGTATATATGATAGCAGAATGTATTTTGATTTATTGTATACAATTGCAACATAACTTTTCATTTCTCTGGTTGTACATGATGTACCATCCCAACATATGCACAGTCATACATGTACCTAGGGTAATGATGTCCATCTCATTCCACTCCCTTTCCTACTCTTATACTCCCTCCCTTCCCCTCCCTTCCTTTTGCCTAATCACAGTACCTACATTTCCCCCCTCCCCCTCCCCCATTATGCATCAGCATCCACTTATTAGGGAGAACATTCAGCCTTTGGTTTGGGGGGATTGGCTTACTTCACTTAGCATGATATTTTCCAACTCCATCCATTTACCTGAAATGCCATAATTTTATTCCCTTTTAATGCTGAGTAATATTCCATTGTGTGATAAATCACAGTTTCTTTATCCATTCATCTGTTGAAGGGCATCTAGGTTGTTTCCACACTTTAGCTACTGTGAATTGAGCTGCTATAAACATGGATGTGGCTGCATCACTGTAGTATGCTGATTTTAAGTCCTTTAGGTATAGACCAAGGAGTGGGATAGCTGGGTCAAATGGTGGTTCCATTCCAGGTTTTCTAAGGAATATCCATACTGCTTTCCAGATTGGTTGCACCAACTTGCAGTCCCACCAGCAATGTATGAGTGTGCCTTTTCCCCCACATCCTTGCCAACACCTATTGTTGCTTGTATTCTTGATAACTGTCATTCTGACTGGTGTAATGAAATCTTAGAGTAGTTTTCATTTCATTTCTCTCATTACTAGAGATGTTGAGCATTTTTTCATATATTTGTTGATTGTATATCTCCCTCTGAGAAGTGTCTGTTCAGCTCCTTAGCCCAAAATATGGAACGCTTTACTAATTTGCATGTCATCCTTGTGCAGGGGCCATAATAATCTTCTCTGTATCACTCCAGTTTTAGTGTATGTGCTGCTGAAGCGAGCACTACACATTATTTCTTGATGGTTCCTAGGCTGCATAGTGACTAGCCAAACAAAACGTATCAAAATGGGACTTCTGAACACAATCTATTAGACACAGTAGCAATGAACTTGATGATTATGAGACAAATGTCTTCATACTTAACATTATTTTTGACTTAGGGAGACTCCGGTGGACCTTTATCTTGTCGAAGACAAAGTGATGGAAAATGGATTTTGACTGGCATTGTTAGCTGGGGTCATGGATGTGGAAGAGCAAACTTTCCTGGAGTTTATACAAGAGTGTCGAACTTTGTTCCCTGGATTCATAAATATGTCCCTTCTCTTTTATAATTGTACTAGTTGTATTTTTATCTGTGATTTATGTGATAGATTCTTTTAAAACAATGAAATAATTATCAATAAAATGTCATGCAATTTTTCAACCGAAAATGTTAGATTGCACACATCTGATATTTACTGAAAGAGAGATATATAGTATGTGTTCCATAAAAATTACCCCAAGCATATAAAATATTCATCCTAAGGCATCAAGACATCATTGATTTAAGGATGAGAGAAATCTAAAGTATTATCACATACAAAGTCTCTAAAATAAAGTAAGAAATGAGGGAGATCTTTAGGTGTCCATACTTTATTTTATGTTCCTGTTCAAGTACAAATGTTTACAAGTATTGAGGTAAACATGATTTGCTGAAATAAGGAATTCCTGTAAAAAACTCCACACTTGATCATTAGCAATCCCATGAAATAAATGCACAGAAAAATATATCCTTTATAAATACAAATATAAACAAAGCTGTTATTGACAGAATAAGTACCTATATTATTGCTATCCAATTCAGTTTTGTCTAACCATATCATAACAGACCTATTCCAGCCATGGCACATGGCATTGTTGTGTACAAACAAAACTGATGGTTAGAAAACTTTACAAAATGACGGAATAAAGTATTGTGGTAGTTGGGTTGAAAGTACTTATATGAGATTCAAAGAGATTGTGGGAATTTTGGTCAATAGTGAAAAGCCAAAGGGATTTTTGGATGTTGGTTGTACATGTGGAAGTTTTCAAAAGTATCATCATCTGGCTTGTGGTTATTTCATAAAACTCAATGGTCAAGACCCTCATTGTTATAAAAAATTACATATAAGAGGTTGTGAGGGGAATGGGAAAATAAACAAGGAGAGAAATGAATTACAGTAGATGGGGTAGAGAGAGAAGATGGGAGGAGAGGGGAGGGGGGATAGTAGAGGATAGGAAAGGTAGCAGAATACAACAGTTACTAATATGGCATTATGTAAAAATGTGGATGTGTAACCGATGTGATTCTGCAATCTGTATTTGGGGTAAAATTGGGAGTTCATAACCAACTTGAATCTAATGTATGAAATATGATATGTCAAGAGCTTTGTAATGTTTTGAATAACCAATAAAAAAGACTTTCTTTCTTTTACTTTCAAAGCCTTATAATACCTTGTATAGTCTTAAGTCTATAGTACACTCTCAATACATACTTGATTTGATTTATTTTGATCTAGAGTGTTCCATATTTTATCTCATAATAATCTTTCCACTAATAGAGACCAGAGTTAATAGTAGCACCAAACAGATGAAACAGCAGAAAAAAAAGAAGAATGATATGATTTGTTTATCCTGGGATAAGTTCAAAGGAGGAATAACAATCCTACAGTGAAAGGGAGTTTGAGAACCTCAGCAAATCTTAATGCAACAGCTAAAGGAGAGAGAGCAAAATGTGTCATCCCCAAATCAGGTAAAAGACTGAAATATGAGTATGATTTCTCTGAAACAATGAATATTTCCCAGTTCACATAACATATTTTTATTTGTCAAAGAACTATTTTACTGAGATTATGGATAAAGCATCTTAATGGTACCTCTCTGAATAAGTCCCTAAGGCTTCAGTAAACTGGCTATGGGATAGTGCAATTCCTAGGCTCAAGTGTGCCACTAAATCCACAGTGGGGGACTTAGCTATTGAATCCACTGCATAGATAGCAATTAAGCTTACATTTCCCATACCGTAGGTTTATTTTTCCTGGTATGGCTGTTACCTGCATATAAGGCAAGTTGTACTTTTTACTTTATGATCATTTCTAAGGTACAGAATTGCTATTCACAAAATAATCAAAAACTTGTCTAAATCTGTGATCTCGATCAGGGTGTGGAGGAGGGCCAGCATGATCTATCATAATCTATCAGATTCATCAGGGGGAGTTTTTCAAATCAGGGATATTCACTACTAATATGGGCACTTACTGGTGCAATGTAAGTGTATGTGTTCCTCACAGTGTGTGTGTGTGTGTGTGTGTGTGTGTGTGTGTTGGTGGGAAGGTTGAGAAACACTAACCTAATTTACTTGAATAGTTCATGCCAAAATAAGTGTCATTAGAACCTGAAAGATATGGGACTATCCACTTCATTCTTGCAAAGATGTGGACTGAGGCAGAACTCAAGACTGATTTTGTTTGCAGAGTGGAATGGCCCCCATAAACAAAGACAGGAACATTTTGTGCCATATTATAGGGGAGAATATGTAGGTACCAAAGCCCTCCTTTCCAGTGCCTTGAAAATTATAAAATGCACCATCATAAAACAACCAATTATTTCTCAGTTGTCTTTGGCTTGATTGGTCTGAGTGATTGATCCAATTGTCCATGTTCAGGGTAATACTATTTGCCATCTTCAATATATGGGTGTGGACTATTGTGTTTGCAGGAGGTATAGATCTATTTAAAAGAAATGAGATGCCTTGGAGCATTGATATTATTATTTTGATGTTATTTTATTTTTTGTTATATATATTAACTATCTGGGAAATTATTCCTTCCAAAAGGAGATAAAGAAAGAAGGCAGAGTACTATGACAAGAAAAACAAAACTGAAAATCTTACATTGGTCATCAAATCTTGACAAGTATGCTTTTTAATTTCATTTAAATTTGAAACTTGAATACCTAAAGCAATTAAATCAACATTAATTGCAAACTATATTAAAGATAAATATTTGTGAAGTAAGAATACATTTTAAAAATCTGGCCCATAGAAATAATTTCTGGAAAAATTGCGAAAACAATCTTGGTTCTTCATTAACAAATGCTTAACTTTCACCAAGAATTCTTTAATCTAAACCCAGTTGTATCTTCTTTCTAGCTCATTCTGAATCTTTAGTTGGAGTCAAGCTGGCAGGATGGAAAAAATCCTTAGGGAGAGTTGTAACACTCATCTGCATTGTAGGTCAGTTGTCTGAGATTAAGAAATTGGCATTTACCAGAAACAGGATCTGGTTTCAAATAATAGCTTAAGTAGTTCATGTAATATTGGGAGGTGTCAGCAAGTGTTAGGTGACAGGAAAATATCCAGGACAGGAAGATAAATCAATATTGAAAGAAAATATATTGAATCAAGGGTTAGTGCTGGGTGCTAAGGATTGGCTGTTAGTGGGTATTATTAATTAAAAAATACTTAAAGTCATGAAAAGTAAGAGAGAATTTATAGAGACTGCTATTTTTAGGTGCAAGAATAAATGCTTTACTTTAATAATTTCACTTAATCATCTAAACTCCACTAGGTAAGGATCATTTTACAATAAGGAAAGATGCTGATAGATACTAAACAACCTGCCCAAGTACACATAGATAGTGGAAGTGTAATTTGATCCTTGTTTTGCTTGCCTTCAAAACCTGTACCCCAGAATACAAGCAACAATAAATGTTGGCGAAGATGTGGAGAAAAAGGTACACACGTACATTGCCAGGGGTTTGCAAATTGGTGCAACCACTATAAAACGTAGTATGGAGATTCCTCAGAAACTTGGAATGGAATCAACCACCATTTGACCCAGTTATCCCACTCCTTGGTTTATACCCAAAGATATATTCTACTATTGTTAGTCCCTGGGTACCTCAGTTTCCCACTTAACTTTTCCATCTAAAAAGCCTATTCAAAAACCCTGACTGAACTATACAGATTTAATGCAATGACAATCAAAATCCCAGTGACATTCCTCATAGAAATATCAAAAGCAGTCATGAAATTCATCTGGAAAAATAAGAGACCCAGAATAGCTAAAGTGATTCTTAGCAAGAAGAGTCAAGCAGGTGGCATCACTATACCAGACCTTAAACTATATACTATACTTAAAGTAAAAAAAACAGCATGGTATTGGCACCAAAATAGACTTGTAGACCAATGGTATAGAATAGAGGACACAGAGACAAATCCACATAATTACAGTTATCTTATATTAGACAAAGGCGCCAAAAACATATATTGGAGAAAAGATAGCCTCTTCAACAAACGGTGCTGGGGAAACTGGAAATCCATATGCAACAAAATGAAATTAAACCCCTATTTCTCACCATGCACAAAACTCAACTCAGAGTGGATCAAGGACCTAAGAATTTAACCAGAGAATCTGTGCCTAATAGAAGAAAAAGTGGGCCCAATTCTCGATCATGTCAGATTAGGCCCCTACTTCCTTAATAAGACTCCTAAAATTAAAATCAAGAATCAATAAATGGGATGGATTCTAACTAAATAGCTTCTTCCCCCCCAAAAAAAAAAATCAATAAATGGGCCAAGGAACTGATCAGACATTTCTCAGAAGAAGATACAATCTATCAACAAATATATGAAAAAATGTTCAACATCTCTAGCAATTAGAGAAATGCAAATCAAAACTACTCTAAGATTTTGTCTTAATCCAGTCAGAATGGCAGCTATTAAGAATACAAACAACAATAATTGTTGGTGAGGATGTGGGGGAAAAGGTACACTCACACATTGCTGGTGGGACTCCAAATTGGTACAGCCAATATGGAAAGCAGTATTGAGACTCCTTAGAAAACTTGGAATGGAACCACTATTTGACCCAGCTATTCTACTCCTTGGTCTATACCCAAAGGACTTGTCAGCATACTACAGTGATGCAGCCACATCAATGTGCATAGCAGCTCAATTCACAATAGCTAAACTGTGGAACCAACAATGGAGTATTACTCAGCATTAAAAGAGAATAAAATCATGGCATTTGCAGGTAAATAGATGGAGTTGGAGAATATAATGCTAAGTGAAGTTAGCCAATCCCAAAACACCAAAGGCCGAATGTTTTCTCTGATATAAGGATGCTGATGCATAATGGGGATGGGGAGAAGCCTGAGAGGAATAGACAAACTCTAGAAAGGGGAAAGGGGAGGAAAGGGAAGGGAGGGGGCATGGGGGTAGGAAAGGCAGTGGAATGAGATGGACATTATTACTCTAAGTATGTGTATGAAGACACGAATGGTGTGACTTTACATTGTGTACAAATAGAGATATGAAAAATTGTACTATATATGTGTAATATGAATTGAAATGCATTCTGCTGTCTTATATAACAAACTAGAATAAATTTAAAAAAAGAAAAAAAACCTAGCTGAACATGCAGACTTCACCCAATCACCAAAGGACTCAAAATCAGCATACTATACTATAGTGATGCAGACACATTAATGCTCATAGCAGCTCAATTCATAACTATGAAACTAACCTGGGTGCCCTTCAACAGATGAATGAATAAAGAAAATGTGGTATATATATATAAAAGGAAATATTACTCAACCTTAAATAAGAATGAAGAATGAAATTATGGCATTTGCTAGTAAATGAACGGAGCTAGAGAATATCATGCTAAGTGAAAGAAGCCAATGCCAAAGAATCAAAGGCCAAATGTTTTCTCTGATATGCAGATATTAATTCACAATAAAGAGAGGGGACTAAGGAAGAATAGAGGTACTTTGAATTAGACTGAGGGGAGTAAAAGAAGGGGATGGGGCATGAAGGTAGGAAGGATAGTATAATGAATTGGACACTATTATCCTATGTGCATATATGATTACACGACTGGTTCTACATCATGTACAACCAAAAGAATGAGAAGTTATACTCCATTAAGGTATGATGTGTCAAAATGCATTCTAATGTCATTAGAATAACTAATTAGAACAAACTTTTAAAAAGATGTTAATAATGGAGAGATTATATATATATATATATATATATATATATATATATATATATATATATATAAAGACCTGTACTCCTCTCAAACCTATAGGGAGTCTGAGTCTAGGTTAGGGAATATGTAAACCTTGCTTCCTTAGTGCTAAAAAGGCATCAAGAGATGAGGCTTGTGACAGGAGCAGCTGCTTTCTGATGCTCTGAGGTGTGAAGGAGACTTTTCTGTAAGCTTGGATGGAGAAACCAGGTTTGGAGACAGCTACAATACATCTGACATCAGGCAGTCTTCCACTGACACTGAACTTCTCTAATCAATGAAGGGAACCATGAGGAAAGTTGTTGGGCCCCCGGTAAAGGATGGGGTTTGGGTTTGAGAACTCTTGGTGCTTCTAGTCAGGTCTGCATCTTTTTGTGACTACAGATCTTGTCAGAACCCTTTTCTCCCCCTATAGTGGCTCCAGTTCTTATCAGGCTCCGGGTCTTTTTAAGTCTAGGGGTGCTAACAACTGTCTGCTATTGCTAGTCCCTGGGTGCCTCAGTTTTCTCCTTAACTTTTCCTTCTAAAAAGCCTATTCAAAAACCCTGTCTGAAAAATTCAGACTGCTTCCTTAGTATCTGCCTGTTAAAGCAGACAACCAAGTCAGAGAAGGTTAGTCTGAATTCCCTGTAGCTAGCAGGCCCCACTTCAGCAGGCAGGTAGAGTCCAAAGTCCAGAGGCTCTGGCAGTAGGTGCCAGACCACTAAAAACAGGACATGGAGGCAAAGTGTCTGAACATAGGCATTAAGAGTGCCAGACTTTTGAACACAAATAAATATCTTCTGACATAGATGGTTTCTGATTCCCTGTGTGGGGGTAGCATGGAGGAGGAAGCCAAGTGGGTCTGACAGAAGTTGAGAGGTGGGGTCTTTGGACAAACACCAAATGCTCAGCAAACATAATTCCAGCTGGAAGTCTTGCACTATACCTTGGGTGTGGAGGAGGTTGTGCATACATTTGTACATGTGTGCTTTTGCTTATTTCACAGGCTTGGGGGGCGCGTCTGTGGCTTCCCACATCAAAGATAAAGAATACTCTCCAACATTTTTGAGTGCTTGCTGTGTGCAGTCGCCATTCTGAAGATTTTTTGAGTGTTTTACTTACATTCACTCATTCATTCCTTTAGGCAGGAACTAATATGTCACTTTCCAAATAAGGACACTCTGGCACTGGGATCTCCTTGTTAGGAGCCCTCTGAGTTGGAAATAACTCAGCCGACTGGTTTTGGAGTCAGTAGTCCTCACTACCACTCTTTCTACAATGTTTCTATGCCTGACTCTGAACTTGTAGGAGGAAGTGTGTGCATTATTCATCTTCCTATATTCTCAACCTAGCACCACGTAGGTGCTTCAATAGTTGTTTCTTAATTCAATGAATGAACTTTTGCTAGGCAGCCAGGGCTGGTGTAAGCCCCAGCAACAGCCACTCCTAGGGGGAGAAGACAACTTTTTTCGCCCAACTGCGCTCCCAGTCCATCGGTTCCTAATCATTGGCTCTAAAACGAATATGCACCAACAGGGAAAGGTGCAGCAGACAGCGCCCTGAACAAACCAGAAAAACTGCCCTCCTCTGCTCGGGAGCCCACAGCAGGGCACAGTCCCAGAGCTGCTCTGCCCTGCAGTAGCGAGGAAAGCCTCCCGAGGCCCCAGTCCCGCCACTCTCCGGCCTCGCCCCTCCCCTTCCCTCCCCTTCCCTGCCCTCCCGCTGCCTGAGGTCTGGCGGGCGCTCCCCGCCTGCTGGGTGGAGTGTGAACCCGGGAGGCCACCGCGGACTCTGCACCCGCAGGTGTGTCGGTCTGGCCTCCCAGGGGAGCCGCTCAGCTCTTCTCAGCCGGCCCATGGAAGGGGCCAAGCCCTCATCCTCAGAAGAAGACCTGGAGCTCTCGGTGCTCCAGGAGCAGCGGGACGAGCAGACGCCTCTCAATGGAGCCCTCCAGGTCCTGGCTGCTTCGGCCGACGACACCACCCCAGACCAGGTAAGGTCCCCTTAATGCGCCGGCGGCGTGATCGCGGGACAGTAGCCTGGCAACCGCCCAGTGTCACGGTTCCAGAGAGCTCTCCGGGCGTCCCCGACGAGGAACAGGAGTGACGCGCACTGGAATATTCTGAATGGGGCGCCACGGCACCAATGGCTTTTGGTCTGAGCGCGCCGCCCGCCCTGCGACCCTCAGGCCCCCTGACACCTGTGACCCTTCAAACTCCGCGGGCCTTTGCGACCCAGATGGCAGTTTACGAATTCTCTCTTCAAGGAGAGAATTTCCAGAGATATAAGTGGTTTTAAAAAGTTATGCGACTTTTAATTTAGTTTTTACCCCTTCTTTTTTCAATTAGGGAGAATGAGTTATAGGTGTTTTTTTGTTTTTTTGTTTTACCCCCAGATTCTCTTCCGTCTCCCTCCTAACTCCTTCCAGGGCTCCCATCTCACCATTTCCCCCTCTCCCTCCCAAATCTCCTCACATTCCCATCCAGGCTTACCATCCCCCACACACTGTGTATTTTCTCCCAGCTCAGCCGGCCTTTTGATTCCACAAGAAGACAGATAAGAGGGAGGGGGAAGGGGCAAAGCAGCAAGAGCAAGAAGGGCTGGGGCTGGCCTGGAGATGGGGTGGGGATGAAATAATTTTAGTTATAGGGAAATAATTTCAAAGTTCTTGTCCCAAAGGACTAGACTAGCCTCATTTGGTTTTGCCTTTTTTAATCTCCTGGTGATTCAACCTTAGTAGTAATGGGAACATTATTCATTCACATCAAATACTCGCAAAGCATCAGTTTGAATTCTGAATCTTCTGATTAACCCCTGAGATTGGCTTGTGGTTTACAGCATGCAGGGAATTCCCCATATATATAGCTTAAAACTGAACTTCCTAGGCTCCACTCTTCCACCTCCACCCCTGAGGCTACCCAACTGTTGAATTTAGGGATACGCAGGAAATTCAGAAGTTGAAAGCATTGCTATAGTGCCGCACTGATTCCTGGAAGTTCTGTGCACTGAACGACTGCTTTTATAGGTACCCTGGAGAGGAAGTTGGTAGCTTGTGTTTAAATGAAATGGGACCACAAAAGAATGAAGTTTGGAAAAGATGGCTTAATTTTAGCCTAAGTGGCCACAAGGGTGGACTTGGTATATGAATCCTTGAGGGCAGGGTCTAGGCATGGGAATTGGGAATACTTGCCTTATGTTGGTTAGACCCAGCTTACCCTAAAGATTTCATGGTTTGAGATTGCTCTGATGGCAACTTCACCAATAGAAGATATGTAGCAGGACTGTCAAATGATGGTAATATAATGTTTCCATGCTTCTGGAGACCTGGAGTGCCTGTGGACAACTATTGAGGAGTAGAACCTGCCTGATCCATGTAGGCCATCAGCACTTACAAATTGTTTAGCACTTACCTTGTAGAGATTGCCCTTTCATGTTTTAATGGCTTCCTTGTTAGTCAGGTATATACAGATATCCTAGACCTCCTTGTAATTTAGCTTTGTAGGTCACCAAATAGGAACACCACATTGACTGACAGAATGGAGTGCAGGTGAAGTGTTATATGGGAACTTGGAAGGCATTCTAGAAATTACTTAAACAGCTAAAACTTTAGAAACGACAGAAAAAAAAAAACCTAGAGTGTTTTAGTTAGTCAGGTTCTATAGAATAAAATTAATTGAAGTGTATTTCAACTAGAAAAGTCAATTCATGTGGGGTCATTAAATGTTGGCTAGCACAAGTGAAAAGTTCACACACTTAAGATTTTGTGCGTAGGCGCTTACATTCTGTATTAAGGTTTCCAGTTTTAAACTGTAGCTGAAATCATGTATTTTCATTAAGCAGATGTTCTACAACTCTTATGTACAAAATACTTGTGATACATGAATGCATTTGATTATCACAATGAAACTTAAGAAGCAGGTGTCAGTATTTTGATTTGACAGATAAAGGAACTGAGAGAAGAAATGGAGATTCAGAGAGGTTACCAAAATGCTCAGGCTCACTCAGTGGTGTTTCTGACATTTCTGAGGTTTTTGAGGTGTCAAGATATATGTTGTTTCTATCACATTTATTTATCCTGAATTTAAATGTATAAATATAACATGATTTATACTCATTTATAGTTGCCAAAATTATAAATTATAGTGTTACTCATTTCTATAAATTAGATCCCTCATAATTAAGTAATTTAAGTAAAATATGAGGAGCTGAGTGGTATATCTGATGGATGAGGGAATTGCAGGTGGATGGGTGGGTGGATTCGGGAGTAAAAAACAGTTCAGGAATCCCTGGGAGGATGACATTCTATATCATGGGTATCTTTCTACTTGGAAGAGCAGGGCTAGGGGACTATACAGAGGCAGTATACTTTCTCTTAGTCTGGTGCTTGGGGAAAAGGAATATTAGCCATTGAACTTCACTTTGTTGTCTCTATAAACATGTCAGTATCATTGGGACAGAAGTGAAAAATAGATTGTAGGTAACAGAGTGACACTGGTTTTCTTGCGTAGCTCACTAGAGGAGTTCTGACTGAGAAGTCTCAGACATTATTAGTGAGGTAGCATCATTAGAATAATAATAAGCCAGTACATTGATAGTCTTGAGGCAAGCAAGTCATACTTACTTGGGTTAGCTGACAGTCCCATTACTATAATCTGTTCATTCAAGGACAAGAATCAAATGACTCTTTTGTGTTCAGATTTAAAAAAGTAGATTAAATGCCACAATGAAGATTAAAAGTACAATTTTCTACCAGGTATGGTGTCATACACTGTAATCCCAGTGACTCCGGAGGCTGAGACAGAAGGATCATGAGTTCAAAGCCAGTCTCAGCAAAAGCAAGACGCTAAGCAACTCGGTTGAGACCCTGTCTCTAAATAAAATACAAAAAAGGGCTGGGGATGTGGCTCAGTGGCTGAGTGCCCCTGAGTTCAATCCCCAGTATCTCCCCACCTAAATAAGCACAATTTTTCTATGTACTAAGAAAAAAATTTCCCTGATTTATATAGCTGCTTCTGATTGAGCAAAAAAGAAGAGCTTTTTGGATCAAAGAGATAGGTAGTCCTGCTATTCTCCAGAATCCAGTGCCACATATTTAGACTTTTACAGGAAGAGGGATGTGAATATCTGGGAGAGTGTTCAGAGGAAAGATGCCCAAATTTTGGAGTCATATAATGCAAATAGAATGCAAGGTGTCATTTGTAAGCATCTCGGGAAGGCACCTGTGGAGAATCTGCCTGTGACCTCTCATGACCTAGAATTTGGTGAGGAGAGAATGAAAAGCCAGAGAAGGAGGCAGCATGACCTTGGGATCCCGTTTTCACGGCAGAGACTGAGCATATGTAGGATGGTACCTACTGTATCACACGTTCTTCTGCAAACTTCCCAGGGGCACTTCTAACAGATGTTGATCCCTGGGTCGATTCTAATGTGCAAACAGTCAAGAAGCACTGCACTCTATTGTTTGGTTGGAAGTGGCTGATACACCATTGTTTTTTAATGACTTCTAGTTTGTGAAGATCACTCATGCAGGGGAGAGTGGTCCCCCTATCAGGGCTGTGGAGAGGACAAGGAAGAGTGCTAGGCTGTAGGAAGGCAGCTTTGGGCTGGGCAGGAATAGGAGTTTCCTACAGAGGAGGGCTGTGTAATTTTTAGCTAAGTTCCTCCAGGAAGGCAGAGTATTTGGTCTTTTAAACTGCCAGAGTCCCAATTTATGACCTCTAAGGAACAGCACAGTGAAGGCAAATGTGGGTGTCAAGAATGATTAGCACTCATTTTTAGCTCATTTGAGGTCATTTCCTGTTGTGCTAATCTTTATGGCCTGGTTGTCTCTTGTTTAAAAAAAAAAAAAAAAAAAAAAAAAACACAGCTTGGGACAATTCTGGAGCTCTGTAACTAGGAAGATATGTTTCTGTCCCAAGAGGTCAAGGATTCCTTATTCCAGGACTTCTTGGCCCCGTGTGCCTTTTTGAGCCCTTTCTTTGGTGGCTTTGGAGAAATTCTTCAGACTTGAGTCAGGGTGAGAGGTGGCCCTATCCCTGGACTCCACAAACACTTAGCTAAAGAACTATTCCTCTGTCCAGATTCCCAGGGCCTTCATTGCCCTCATCCTCCTAGGACACACTGGGTTCAAGAACCAGTGCTTAGGAGCTCTGCCATTTGACCCTTCTTCTAGAATTTCTCAAAGTACATTCTTAAATTTTTTGCACATATTTATTAAGTGCCTGTTACCTGTAGGAGGTATACTGTGGAACATAAGAATGGGGAAGTTCAAGAACTTCCCCTCCCTCTTTGTGGTTTACCTAGGAAGATAAGGGCATCCTGGTTGCATTTGAACATGAAACCACACAGCACAATCAGCGGCAGCATCAGATGAGGTATGGGGACAGCACGTGTACTGGGAAGTGTTCCTAATAGTGGGTAGGAAGTTTCAGACCAGGGGTGGGGGCGGGTCTCAATTCTGTTAAAACAGTTGATTCACTATGGAAGGTTTAAAATGACAGTCCAGTCTGCTTGGTGCCTGGGTATGTGTCAGTGAAAATCTTCCCCATGTGATTCTAATGTGCAGCCAGGCTGGGAGACCTCTCAGTAAGGACGCTTGCTATGTAGTCCTTCCTAATGAGGACCAACGGTTTCCTTTCTGATGGCCATCATCAACATAAGGATGAGTGAATATAAACAAGTGTCAGTTCAGGCGTAAGCCTCCTGGAGTGCCTGCTGCTGCTTTGTAGAACTCTGAGAGGGGATTGCTCCCCTTGGTTGGGTACTGTGTGACCAAAATACCTGACAAGAACAACTCAGGGAGGAAAGATTTATTTTGGCTCATGGTTTTAGAGGTTTTAGTTCTTGATCAACTTGCTCCAAGGCAGAAACATCATGGCGGAAGGCAGCAGGAAGGAGAGACAGAGAGAAAGAAAATTTAGTCCCTAGGGGCATGCCCCCAGTGACCTACTTTCTCTAACTGTGGCCCATCGGCCTGTAGTTAATACCAACTCTCAGAAGTCCATTCAGCTATCAATGGGTTAATCCACTGATGAGGTCAGAGCCCTCCTGATTCAATTGCTTCCTAAAAGCTCCACCTCTGAACATTGCTGCATTGCAGACTAAGCCTTCAGCACATGAGACTTTGGGGAACATTCCAGATCCAAATCATAAATAAAAGCTTAATATTGGTCTAGCATATGTTTTGTGTATTTTATCTCTAGTTTTCAGATTTGTGAGCTAAATTTAGTATTTACATACAAAATATTATCTGACTTAAGGTTCCACTTAGGATTTTTCCGTGGAAACTGGGTTTTATATTTAGACTTTTGAACTTTTTAAAAAAATATTATAAATAGTAACTCATGTTAATTGTACAAATCAATGGATTTCATGGTGACATTTTCATATGTGTATACATTGTGCTCTAATAATATCCACCCTCCCTATTACCTTCTCTGGACCTCACCACTCCCACTCCTACCACTCCATCTCCTTACCCTTCCCTAATAGTCCCTTTTCTACTTTCCTATTTTCAGATCATTGTTTTTTTTGTTTGGTTTTTCTTTGTTATAGTTTCCATATTGAGGGAAAACATGAGATACTTGTCTTTCTGGGTCTGGATTATTTTGCTTAATGTGATGACCTCCAGTTCCATCGATTGTCTCAAAAAGGGATATGATTTCATCCCTTTTTATGGCTGAATAATATTCCATTGTTTGCATGTACCATATTATCTTTATCTACTCATCTGTTGCTGAGCACCTAGGTTTATACTGTAACTTACTATTGTGAATAGTGCCACAATAAAGATACATATGCAGGTGTCTCTTTTGTATGCTGACTTCATTTCTTTTGGGTGTATACCCAGGAGTAGGTTTAGCTGAATCATATGGTTCTAGTTTTAATTTTTTGAGGAACTTCCATACTGTTTTCCATAATGGTCTCTCTCTTACTCTGTGTAGAAATCAACTCAAAATGGACTGAAGAACTAATGTAAGACCTGAAACATTGAAACTACCAAGGGAAAACAAGATCCAGGCACAGGCAGGAGTTTCCTGAATAGAACTTCAATAATTCAGGAAATAAAAAGCAAAAATTAACAAATGGGATGACATCAAATAAAAAGCTTCCACACAGACACAATCAACAGAATGGAGAGACAACCTCTGGAATGGGAGAAAATCTTTGTCAGCTAATCATCTGACAGAAGATTAATATCCAAAATATATAAAGAATTAAAATAATTTAACATCCAAAAACAAGTAATCCGATTTCAAAAAGTGGGCAAATGATCTTAACAGACACTTCTCAAAAGAAGTACAAGAGGCCAGTAAATACATGAAAATATATTGCAACATCTTCAGGCATTGGGAAAATACAAATCAAAACTGCCTTGAGATTCCACCTCATGCCTGTCAGAATGATCACTATTAAAATAACGAATAGCAAATGCTGACAAAGATGTGGAGAAAAAGGAATCCTATATGTTGTTGGTAGGAACATGAACTAGACTTTTGATCTTTTCCTGGTATAATATGCAAGTATCATACTCTGTTGTGAAGTTGGGCAGCGGCAGCTCTCTGTCGGCCACACGATCACAATCATGATGGTGAATAACTGATACTTGACAGAGTCCTGTGTGCTCAGCTAGGTTAGATGTATTAGATGTGTTTTTTGATTTACAGTGTTTTCAATTTATGATAGGTTTGGTGGGGTGTATGCTCATCATCAATGGAGAAGCGTCTGTATTTTAAGGTGGAGGACACTGGGGCCTGCAGGTTTCATGGGCTTGCTCAAAGTAACAGCTCCCCGCCTGTAAGTGATGTTCCTCAGATTGAAATCTAAGTGCGTGAAATGCAGAAACACATTTTTCTCCTGTCTATGTTCCGTCATTTCCCATGGTGTCCATGTAGAAATTACCTCATGGTGCAGTTCCGGGAAACAGAAGAGTCACAGAACCATTTAGGGGCAGATAGAGGGGCAGAGGGGCCCCTCTAGGGCAGCGGGGCATGCTCATGATCTGAGGCTCCACTCAGCCATGCTAGGAGGCTGCACACAAAGGGGAGGGTGCCAGAGTGTTGCAGTGACACTCCCCAGGGATTAATCTTGCCTAATCTCCTTGAACTGCATGTTTGAAACAGGCCAATGCATACCTTGAAGGGTTGTTAGGATTAAGTGTAATGACACAGGTGCTCAGTAAACCAAAGCAGCTGTGATTATTTTCTCTGACCCTACATTCTGCCTTACACATTGCAGATTATTTCCTCTGTACCTTTTCTGTCTGATCCTTATTTTCCTTCACAGACCTTTTTTTAAAAAAAATTCTTTAAATTTTTATTTATTTATTTTTGTGTAGCATCTGGACCACAGTAGTAACCTTTTAGTTTTTTCTTGGTGTATCCAATTCAATGATACATGATTTTCCTCTTAATTTTCAACTCAGCTCTGGGTTCCAAAACCTTCAACAGGTCACCAGAGCATACCAAATCGAATACAATTTGTTCTGGCAGCAATCAAATCCTCTGGCGTAGCCTCCAGCCCTTCACTCTCTCTAATTTAATCCCAAGCCTTGGAATATGTTGGCCAATTCCATTACGAATCAACACCACAGTTGTTCTTCCTTGCCTTTGGAATGCCTTCGAAAGTCCATCTTTCTCATGGACAAATATTGCAACATTCTTATATGGGGAAGCTTAAAAATGATTTCATAGAAATAGGGAGTAGAATAATGATTATCAGAGCTTGAGAAAGGTGCAGGGGAGAGAGGGTGGTTATCAGGTGCAGGAGGAATGCAGTTGGACCAGAGGAATAACTTTCTAATGTTCTGTATGACACAGTAGGGTAACTACAATTGATAACAATTTATTGTATATTTCAAAATAGTTAGCAGAGAGAATTTCCAGTATTCCCAACATACCCACCCAAAGAAGTGATAAATGTTTGATATGATGAATATGTCATTTACTCTGATTTGATCATTACATATTGTACACAGGTTCTGAACTATCTCATTGAACCCCATCAATATTTATAATTATTATGGATCAACTAAAAATATATTTTAAAAAACTGTAAAAAAAAATTCACCTTTCAAAATCCTGCCTATCCTCCGTGTCTCAGAGCCCCCAGAGTATTTTCTTGCTAACTTCTTTGTGAGGTTCCATTCTGCCTCCTATATATCTTTTCATAAACTTGATTCAGTAGAGTGTAGGTCCTGAGGTCAGGATCCTTCTGCCTTCATTTCTGTGTCGCTGACCCTCACAGGTATTGGAGAATATTTGTTTGAAATCAGATGACTGCCTTACAGTCTCACTTTGCTTTCTAGGCCAAGAAGGAAAATCCCTGGAGCTCCTGCAATAAGAATTTGGTCGGCAAGTGTAAACTGTGGATGGTCATCACCTCCATCTTCCTGGGTCTCATTATAGTGATCATCATTGGTTTATGTCTTAGTGGAGGTAAGAGGATTTCAACGTGACCAAGTTGACACATTTTTGCTTAATGCTTGTGACCTAATCTGAAATGGAAACTGTATTCATTGCTATTTCACTACTTATGACATGAGTTGAAAATTGGTTTGGATTGAGTTGGTGGAAGATATGCATGCTTTTGTTTTTTATTATATTTTGTTGTTTGTTTTATAAACTCCAGAAGGAGTTTGGAGAGCAGTGTTTTGCTTTGAATTCTGACCATTAGATCTTGAAGATGTTTCTTATGTTTTTAATTTACACTAATTTACATGTTATTGCATCTCAGTATCTGCTTGTTTAAAAGTTCTTTTTGTTCTTATAATGTGTCCAATAAAAATAATTATCAAGTTCACTGGGTATATTCGATATATTTTTATAATGATAAAATATTGAGTAATGAATCTGAGTTTTAAAAGAACTATGGATCTATATGTCTATGAGCTGTCATTTTAACTTATTTTATAAATAACTTTATATTTGTTTTATGTCTGTATAAAAGAAAAATTATATCTTGTGAATGATATGCTTTACATATTTTTTCTTATTTTATTATTTATTTTGAATTAAAAAATAATACATGTTCAGTTACTGATAAAACCCATTCATATTAATAATAGTTTGTTATATTTTCTTCTAGTCTTTTTATTACTTGCATTTTTAAAATAATTTAAGATCAAGTTTTTTAAAGTTCATGGCATACCTTTAGAATTTTAATAGTATATTAAGATAATTTTGGCAAGTCATTAGAAATTTTCTGTTAGCATCATGTTTTTTAAATGGTTCATGATATAGTCTTCTACACCATTTTAAAGCCTGTGAGGGCATTACCAAATTGTTATGGTTAATGATATTATTAAAATTTTTATGATGCATAAATATGTCCAATGGGCAATTAATTCTTTTTCAAAATAGGAAAGAAGACAATAGTTTTGTTTTTTTATACATGGGGTGACAGTTCTGAGGGGCACATCTAGACCTGGAATCTACCTTTGTGGGATCTGGCCTCTGTCAGCATTTGGGTGGAGTCAAGCTATGGAATGAGAGCAAAAATGGAGAGAGAGCTCTTGAGTCTCTTCCCAGGGGCTTGTTAGGAATTTTCCTCAGGAGGTACATTTGCCATTCAACCTTCTGTTGTCCCCTTAATCTTCTGCCCAAGGTTTCATAGTCCCTGAAGGAATAATAAAACTTTGATGACATCAGCCAACTTCCCGCTTCTGAGTTTCTCAGGCAGGCACCTTGTCTACTTAGATATCTAAGGCATTCTTTAGGTGAGATGGATGATTCTTGGAGGCTTTAAGTTGGAAGAGTTAATAAGAGGTGCCAAATCTCCTCTGTCATGCTGAGGACCATAGTCTGGGTGTAATCTTTGGCCTTCTCTCTTCACATGGGCTCCCACGTGTGGATGTTGAAACTGAGGTTGAGTCACTCAGTCCTGTCCTATCCCAACTAGTTGGGGCAACCTTGGAAGTTTACTAATTTTATCCAGTAGCATCTGTGTCCTAAAACAAGGCAGATCTTGGTGATTTAATATTTAGGATTCTAAAACATAGCATCCAAAAATTTGTCTCCTATTCTTAAAATTGTCTGATCTCTTCAACTCATAAAGAATAATCTGCAAAGATAGATATTACATTTCCCTCAATTTTTCTGGAGACATGAAAGATCATAGGATAGTATTCAGAGAAGAATGTTTGAACACTTGTAATGCGAACTTTCTTTTTAGTTTGATTGTAAATTTGTCTTTTAACATATGTTAATGCTATGAGAGTTTTACTTGCCATCTCAACCTTCAGGTGTTCAGGCCTGCAGAGAGAGTCATGGCAGACTAAAAAAAATCCGTTATCGAAAAGGCTTTGAATTAACAACAGGAACAACAATAAACAATAAACCTTTTCAGTTACCCATAAAACCCATTCATATTAGTAATATTTTGTTATATTTTCTTGAAGTCTTTTGCTTTCTTGCATTTAAAAAATAATTTGAGATCATTTTTTTAAAAAATAGTCTTGTAACCTACTTTTAGGATTTCAAGATTATATTGAGGTCACTTTGCCACTCAGTCAAAATTCAGGAAAGAAATTTTAGTGGGGAGAGGATAGATGCAATAGATTAAAAAGTGATGGAACAGAGGCTCCCCTCTGTGATAGTCCCAGCCTACCCTAAAAAGCAGCTCTCTGGGAGTTCTGGGATGATAATCTGAAATACTCAGCTGCTGTCTAATTGCCAATCCATGGATATGAATCAAATACTTGCAGAACTCCCCGGTACTGGGAGGAATATGTTGTCTGGTAAAGGGTCAGTGTTGGGAAGGTAGAGGGTTGTGCCTCTGGCTGTCTGGATTCATTAAGAGACTGAGATTCCTCTGCAACTCTGTTTGTCACTGGCCTCCTGCTTTTCCTCCTCCAAACCCCTTAATCTCCTGTCTCTAGGCTCTGTAATCCCCCAACAGACTGGCAGGCAGAGCTGGTGATAACTGTGCTGACACAGAACACGGCATTAAATGCACCCCAGAACAGAAGGGTAACTAGTTGGGGAGGGGACAGTGGGGTACATAGGGCACAGTGTCTAGTGGGGAGGTGACCTTAAGAAATTAAGTAAGCAATAAGACCTAGTCAGTCTTATTACTGTTGCTGATCATCTACAGACTGTGCACCCCTATTGCTTACACTGGGCTGGGCTTCCCACTCCCGCCATTGGGATGGCAGATTCAGGGTCATGGCTTAACTCAGGCATCTGTTGTGTACACACTGGGGAAAAGAGGCCAGTGCTCCTCCATACTGAGCTGATGCTGACATTTTTTTTAAACAGCCAATTTTATGGGCAGAGCCCAGGGAATCCTGTTGAGCGTGTAGGCCTATTTTAGACCAGCATGATAGGAAAAAATATTAATGGACTCTCTCCTCCCCCCAGGTATTAAAATTTCTTTGTGTCAAGGGTAAAGTTTAAAAAAAAAAAAGCCTTCCTCTTTTTCTCAAAATAATTTTGTTTCTGGATAACTTGGAGAACAGTTAAGCATCCTCAAGTGGTGGGGGCTGGGGGGTGGAGAGTTCTCCTTTCTTTACTAATTTACCCCAGTTAGGCAGAGAGAGACCCTGAGCAACTTTTTACTAATACAAAACTTAGATGGATGTTTAAAAATAGGATAACAAGTTACAGCACTCTTGGAGCCTTCAGGTAATCCCTCCCAGCATGACAGATTCCTATCTGATCCTTTCAATCTCTTAATTTGTAGGCCCTTCCATGGGAAGAAATGCTGTGGTACTGAGTTGTAAGCAGGGACTTTCTAAGTGACTCTGTGTTGAATGGATTCATTTTACCTTTCAGTTGAGAATAAGAGCTGTATATTTTGCTATCACGTGGTCCTGGCCTGTTGACTGACTGTCTTCGCCGGGCAGTTCCCCCTGGAGTCTGGTGACTCATGAGGAAATCCTAGGCAGACAGCTTTAGCAAGCTCTGAGATGCAAATGTTCTTTGGGGCGGGAACATGATAGCATCTCTGTAGACCCACGACCTTGACGACCTTGACATTTCTTTGCTTTTTCATCTGTCTTTTCTTCAAATCTCTGTTTTTTTTTTTTTTCACCTTATCAAAACCGAATTCTTTGCCTGTTATCTTCACAGAATACGCCTGGCTTCTCTCCCAAAGACCTGTAGATATTTCCACCTTGTCAGGTTCCTTTCTACTCTTTATCTCTTCTTCAAAGCAATCTTCTACAGGCTTCTTACTACTGGGTTTAAATGTATATATATATATTTTTCTCTCTTCTTGCACTAGTGAACTTCTAGAAAGAGATTCTCTGTAGTTGAACACCGTCTCCTGCTTACTCCTAAACCTCTTCTATCTGTTGGTCCCAAATTGTTCTTCCCAAGGTCACTAGCAGTTGTCTGAACACAAAATCCAACCTTTTCATTGTCTTCTGTCCTGGATGAAGCCTTCAGTTCTGGCAACTACATTGTATTCCTCTGAATCTACAGAACACCTGGACTTTAGTTCGTTTTTGCTATTTTTGCTTTTGATCTCTCTGCCTTATGGGTCCATGAGGTTTATCTTCAACTGTTTTTGATTTTCATACTTTTTATTCTTTCTCTTGGAAATCCCAGGACATCACCCATCTCCCCTTTAGGAGGAAACTCCTAGGTGTACATCTGCACAATTTTCTTCAGTTTTGGAGATATTTTTACTAGAGATCTCTACCTAGATGTAACTACCATCGCCTCAATCATTATCCATATGAAACTACTAGTTGTTCCTTTCTCAGTGTCTGGTGCTATAATAAAATACCATGAACTTGTAAACAATAGAAGTTTATGGCTCACAGTTCTGGAGGGTGAGGAGTCATCTAAAGTGAAGGTGTCAGTGGATAGATATGGTGTCTGGTGAGAGCCCACTTTTTAGGTGGCACCTTCCAGCTGTGTACCTTCTGGTGGAAGGGATGGGACAGTGCTGGGGGGGGGGCGTCATTTATAGGGGTACTAATCACTCGTGATGATCACATTGGTGATTAGGTTTCAATATTTAAATTTTGAGGGGACACAAACATTCAGACAAGAGCATGTGCTCCTCCCCAGTTCGCCTGTTAGTTGTAAGGTGAATCAGGAGACCAGGTTTCCTTCAGCTGTGCTTCCACCAAGGTGTGTAACTTTAGGCCAAGTCTTCAATCCTCTGGATCCACTCTCACATTCATAAAGCAGAATGATCTCCGAACCCGAGTCTATAGATCTACCTATACCCTATGACATTCTAGCTCATTGACCTGAACAAAATATGCATTTTCTGTAAGCCCCAAAGTCTTCATTTAAAATTAAAAATAATAATATTTAACTCATTGGATTGATGTGAGGATTACATGAGGTAATGTCTTTAAAATGTATAGCAGAGTGTTTGCACTTAATGCTTAATACACTAGCTATTTTTCGTGTGGCATATATACACAATAGAATATTACTCAGCAATAAAAGAGAATAGAATCATGACATTTTCAGGTAAATGATGGTGTTGGAGAAGATAATGCCAAGTGAAGTTAGTCAATCCCAAAAAAACAAATGCCAAATGTTTTCTCTGATATAAGGAGGCTGATTCATAGTGGGATAGGGAGGGGGAGCATGATAAGAATAGATGAACTCTAGATAAGGCAAAGATGTGGGAGAGGAAGGGAAGGGGCAGGGGGTTAGAAATGAAGGTGGAATGTGATGGACATTAACATCCAAAGTACATGTATGAAGACAAGAATTGGTGTGAATATACTTTGTATACAACCAGAGATATGAAAAATTGTGCTCTATATGTGTAATATAAATTGTAATGCATTCTGCTGTCATAACAAATTAGAATAAAAAAATTTAAAAAATGATATTTAATCTGTGGGATTGATGTGAAGATTACATGAGGTAATATCTATAAAATGTATAGCAGAGTGTTTGCACTTAATTCTTAATACAGTAGCTATTTTTCTTCCAGGTATCTAGGCTGGATATCTTGGAACCATTTTTTTTCATATCTTCTGCTACATGTCTAGGCAATGACCAAATCTTATTTGTCATTCCTTGATAGTATCATGCTAGCAATTGTCCTGCATCCTGCCAGGCACTCTGCTGGATATTTTATTGGCATTAGTTCTCATCTTTACCATCACCTGCAATGCAGGGGTTGATATTTTTGTTGAAAAAACAGCTTTAGAGATTTAAGTGAATTGTTCACTGGACTAATAAATAATGGGGCTGGGGTTCAAATAGAGTCTGGCCACCTGTAAAGCCAACTCCTTCCTTGCTTTTCTCCCTCCTTTCTGACTTCCTGCTTTCCTGCCTTTTCCCACCACTCTCAGTCAAAATCAGTGCCTACTGGCCTCTCTGCTTCCAGTCTCTCCCAGTTCCATTTCATCCCACCAGTGACCACCACATTAACCTCCTGCAAATGCTAGTCTCTACTTTCTTCCTGGGAGACTTCTAACAACCCTCTATTACTCCCTGATGTCATCAGATATTTAAGGCCTCCCCTCCAGCTTCATGTTTTATATTCCACTGAAGAGCTGACATGCTTCTCCCACATACTTGTGTATGTTTTTATGAGTTTTTTAAACCTATTTTCTCTACATGGAGAGTACTGTCCAGCTTAAGTCTCATTAGTGACATTAAAAACTCTACTGACTGGGTAAGTCTGTTGTTGTTGTTAGTATTTGAATTTTGACAAACACAACTATTTAGCCAGGTCCTGATGCCGATTCATTATTTAGGTGCTACAAGTTAAGTATATGTCCTAAGAGCTAATATTGGAGACCTCTTTTTGAACTTGGCTTCTCTTTTTCATGTCCCCGAGTTTGGCAGTTATTAGAATCTCTGATCTATCCTCCAGTGTCACCTAGTTCCTTTCTGAGGCACTGATGTCTGCTACAGAAATCTATTTGGTGGGTATAGAGCTATCTACTGCATGAGGAAATATTTATAACAGTGAAAGCTGAAAACACCAAATGTCATATTTAAGAAAGTGCATGACCCTATTTTGAACATTATGAAGCCATTAAAATAGTCTTTGCAAGGACTTTCATGCACATGGGGAATGACTTTGCCTATGTTAGCAACAACAGAAGAACCAAGATAAATGAGCAACCATAGCACACACAACAAAAAGCAGGATGTAAATGACCTACTCATTAAAACTTCAAATATACAATAGAAAATGTGGGGATTAGATAACTAGTTTTTTTTTTTTTTTTTTGCCTTTTTACAAAAATTTCCTATTATTTGCAAATTTTCCATTACGAGGGCCCAACTTTTATTGTCAAGTAAAATAAAACATGGTTTATAATAAATAAAGATGTGGGGATAATTCTGTTTGGAGTTGCCAAAATTCATTCCTGGATTCAGTGATTTTTTTTTTTTTTTTTTTAGGATTTCACAGGACTCAGCATATAGTTGAACTAATGACTATGATTTAGTATAGCAACATGGTACCTTGAATTAAAAAGATTTATTACAGTGAACTCTAGAGGAAGCTAGGTGCAAGCCCGAAAGATTTCTCTCCCAGTTGTGTTGCACGGGACCTGCTTACTTAGAGCAATAGGTTATGTATGCATGTGAAGTGTGGTCTACTTAGACCGCCTGGGTCTCCTTAGACATTCAGTGCCCAGAGTTTTCACTGAGAGTTGATCACGTAGGCAGTCACCGCTAAGCATGTGCAAAATCTCCAGACTCCAGAAAGAAAAGAGATGTCAGCCACATTGTTCATACAAACATTTGAGGCACAGTGGGCCGCTCTTAGCCAGGATGTAGGAACCTTCCCCCAATCCGAATTCCCAGACACCAGCCAGGAGCCAACTCTGAGCATTCCTTGGCAGGTGAGCCACCCCCAGGCCTGCTGTGTTAACTCTTCACATCCCTTGCTCCTGAGGCATCACAGTTTTTAATTCCATCAGGGAGCAAGTCCCAGGATTCTTGCTTTTACCTGCTCTCTCATAAACACTGAACTTCTTCCAAGGCAGCTTTTCCAAGTCCAGTAAAAGAGACTCATTTTGTTATGTTTGAAGCATGGGGTTTGAGGGGAGCATTTATGAGCACTTGGTTCTTCCCACCCACGCCTTTCTCAGGGGCAGAGTGGTGGTCCCTTGTGTGGGGCCAGCTGGTGAGGCTGGCATGGATTCCGTGCATAGCATAATGACTACCTGAGTGCCAACTTCTGACTCCTGATTTTGTGTGTGTGTGTGTGTGTTTTTCCTTCGGCTCTACTTAAAAATCAATTAGTTAGCCTTCATTATGACGCAGGCAACACAGAGCTCATTGTCCCAGAAACTTAACTCCTGTTGGCCCCGGGGCTCAGTTTGGCTTTGCTTCTGCAAATAGAGTGCGTCAACCTTCCTCTCCTGTGGGACCCTAGCTAGAGCGATGACTTCATGGGCACTGTCTGCTGGGAAGACTTTAAGACTTGGGCTCACACGCTCATTTTCTAGTGTCTCCTCCATTCTTGTGCCTGATATCACTTCCTCTTGATCTCTGATAACACAGCACTGGATGAGGGTTCAATGAAGTTGGTTGCTATGACTTCCTGTGTCCTAGCACCCCCTGCCATCTCCCAGCACCAGCCTACATCTCTGTACCTAATGAAGTTTACATTCTTTCCACTTCTTTCCGCTGGCTCTTCCTCCAGTCTGTATTTGATGGTCTCTTAAACCTCTTTGGGCATAAAACAAATCAACCTTTTATTGTAACAGAAGCAAGCTCCTGTTTTTTTATTCTTCAGAGAAAGCATTTCTGGTGTTTAGCTTTATCCTTTGTAAGTATTCATTGTTATGTTTAAGTGTAGCAGGCAACAGAATCAGTGTTTATTATTTTAGTCATGTATTTACTTCTCTTTTTTAAAATTTTCATCCCCTCCTCTCTTTAGTAACTTATATTGATGAAGATGAAAATGAAATATTTGAGTTATCATCAAACAAAACATTCTTCATCATGCTCAAGATTCCAGAAGAGTGCATTACAGAAGAGGAATTGCCTCACCTGCTCACTAAAAGGGTAATTATGCCTTACACATTACTCACTGAATTCTTAACATTAGAGTCTGAACTCTGCTAGCATAGCTGGCATAGAACTTTAGAGTAAGGAGCTATAATTCTTTGAATTTTGGTAGAAAAGGATGCTTAGAAATGCATTTTATGTGGTGCAAAGCTAGAGGGCACAGCTCTAGCCTCCAGCTGCATCTTGGAGAACAGAGGAGAACAGCTCAAGTCCTGTATTTGATCCAACTTGTAGTGTTCATTGAAGATCTATACTGTGCTCACAACATATCACGTGCCAGGGCCACATGGTCTGTGCCCTCAATGGGCTCACAGTCTAAGCAGAGGAAGTGATTAAATTGATACAAAATCCTGAGGTATGTTCTGTTATTGAGATATGCACAGTGTGCTTTAGCACCACAAAAGAGGGGCAGGTATACAACCAGAGGCGAGGTTAGAGGTGTGTAAGCCTCTTAGAGGAGGTGATTCTTAGGATGAGTTTTGAAATACAAGGTAAGAATGTTCTAGGTAGAAGAGCTCAGGACCTTGAGAATCTGCACAGTGGTTACTGTGTCTGCTGTGTGCAGAGGACTCTGGGAGAAGCTGAGGAGGAAGGTAGGGGTCAGATCATGAACTTTTCCTGGTCTTTTGTAAGGCACTGAAAGATGTTAATCAGCAGACTGACTTGGTCAGATTTTCATTCTAGTCTTTCTGTGTGATGAGGGAGAAAGATTCCAGGAAGAGAACAGTGAGAAGGTCTTGTAGCCAGTCAGCTGAGAAATGAGGGAGGTTTGAGTTAGGGCTGTGTGAGTAGGAATGAGGAGGATTCTAGAGAGATCTAAGAGGTATCCTCACTTAACAAGACTGAATGGATTAGATAGGAGTGGGGGGAGCTGATTCCTATCTCCTGGTTGGGAGGTTGGGTAGATGGATGGCGGCTTCATTTATGGGGTAGGAACCAGGGTTGGTTGGGGCATTCTCGGCCATCCTGTCAAAGACCCACAGTTCACAATCTGACCCACAGTTTTTTAAAAAAATGTTAATTGGCTTTATTTTTAATTCTAGAATTGGGAAAGATTTCATTCCATAAAAACTAGAATAAGTGCTTTAGTGGTCTGAGCAAAAGTGGTAGGTTTTATAGGCTGACAAGGGCTTGAAGAAACCAAAAACAAAAATGGATCTATCATTTCAAAATTACTTTCCTGATAAGGTGAGGACACAGAGGTAGAACAATAGGAAAATATCTGATTGGTTAGCATCAGATTACTTCAAGTTACCCTTTTTGTATGTGGGTTAGGATTAATGCTAAAGTGGAGGGAACTTCATTATTATGTTAATTGAAACTGGTCTGTTTGGGAAATTTAATTATCTCTCTAATCTGGATTTCACAGAGGTCAGATACTAACAGTCTAGTTTCGGCTTGGTGACCTGAATGACACACTATTTTGATTTTAGCCTGGTATATGCAGGAGCTTAGCTCAAAACAATGGCGTCCTGTAACTTTATTTAAGAATTCCCCTCTTTTGTCAGGGTTACACCTAAATGAGAGTGTGATAAAAACTGAGGGCATGAGCACTCTCAGCTGTCCTCATTTTGGGCTCTGGTCTCAACACACCATCTATTGATTGTGGTAATCTCATGATCACAGACGTCTTTAAATTTTTGTCATTCCAGCCAAAGAGAAAGCATTTGATGTTCAATAGATGACTGTATGCAAATATTTTAAACTTTTGAGATGATGTAAAACATCAGAAGGACTGCTATTATGACTATCAGAAAGATAATCCATGAGTTTGAAGTATGCTCCTTAGCCAGGGTCCACATAAACCAAACCAATTAAAATCAAGTAGATCAAAGAATGAGACAGGGGAGGAATCTACCTATCTGTCTAAATCAAGTAGCCTATTGTTCAGTTTTGCAATTGGATCTCTTTGATATCCAATGTGTATCTATGTGTATTAGGAAGTATAAGTAATTGTACAGATTCCTGTTTGCTCAGGCAGTAGCATCAATTCTGTCACCTAGCATCCCAGGATGGGTTACATTATAGCAGAGAGTGCCAACTCTAAGAGAGACCACTAGGACAATTTGAACAAATGGTTGCATTAGGGATGTTGCTAAAGTTACCCATTTGATAGACAAAGAATCTTTTAGGACCTGGGTTTGTGTTTGATATGGCAGATCCAACATTGTCAAGTTACTCATAAAGCTACTGATTATGAAATTCAGACCATAACATTATCCTGCAAAGTGAAAGAGATTGGCATGAACAAGGAGAAATTAAGAGGGTCTTGAAATATCTTCGGAAAACTTGCCTACAGCATGATATCAACTTCTACTCCCACTTTGCAGTCTGATTGTCTCTGATTGGGAACATCGGATGTTTTGGTGAACTCTGTGTGGCCGTGTTAGTCTACTTTGTGTTACGATAGCCAGATACTTGAGATAATCAACTTAAAAGAAGGCAAGGTTTATTCTGGTCCACAGTTTCAGAGGTTTTAGCCCATTGCTTTTGGGCCTGTGGCTACACAGTATACCATTATAAGGAGTGTGTGGCAGAAAGGCGGGGGCAGGGGAAAGGGAGGGAGAGAAAAGGGGCACCCAAGTCCCCCTCAAGAACATGCCCTCAATTACCTAACTTCCTTCCACTAGGTCCCACCTTAAAGGTACCTCCGCCTCTCTGTAGTGCTATAGGCAGTGATTAAAGCCTTTAACACCTGGGCCTTGGGGGACATACCATAGCAGTGGCCTATATATCAGACACAAGACTTGTCCCTTGAAATTTATATCAAGTTGCCCAGCGCCAAACTACCAAGTTTCATTTTGTTCTTAGTTGGAGAGTGATAGCTAAATCCTACAGAAACCTAGGAAAATTCAGAATCCAGTCCAGTTTACAAGTAGATCATAAAAAGCAATGAGCAGAGCTACAGTCAAATAACAGGTCTGTAATGATTTTCTCCTGAAATGTAACTTTTTTTCTATATAATCACCCTCAATGTCTTTTTAATCAAAGACAATTGTGGTAGGACCAATTTGTTTGCAGAATGGGTCTAGTCTAATTGTTTGTATAAATATATCTAGAATAACCATAGAGGCTCTTTTACAATTGGTTTTATTGTACATTTGACGAGGAATATCTGATTGGACTTTTAAAAACCTCTAGGTTAGGAAGCCCAATCAAGGAAGACTTCAGACTATCTGTACAGACTATCTGTACCTAACAGTAGCACATAGTATCTTGAGGTTCCTGGGCTTGTCAGCGAGTGACAGCTTTTACTCACTCACTGTAAGTCTGGGGACCTTTCAAGCCAGGCATTCCAAGCACATTCCTAAATATGACATCCTGGTCAAAGCCAGTATTTCCAATTGTATCCTGTCATAAAGAGATTAGATTTTTATTGAACTTATAAAATAACCATGTTCTCATAAATGTAAGAATATTCACAAATAGTTTCAATATTTGTTCATAAAATGAATCTTTGCCAGGTTGCAATAAACTTATAGATAACCTAAAAGAAAAAGTTTCCTTAAGTCTGAATTTTTACTAGTTACCTTTAAAACTGCAACTTTCTCCAGTGACTTCTTGGCCAGTCACTACAAATGAAAACTCACAGGCTCTCTCACAACACAAACTAACCCTGGCACCCTAAGAGCCAAAGGAGGTCCATGACAAAAAGAGCAGAATCCGGTCTGAGAGGAAGGTAGAGGGCACCCCCAGGACACCAGTGGCACCTTTTTGCATTCCTCAAGGGGTTTCCAGAGTTATCAACAGTCTCCTCCTGGTCCCATTTTATAGTTGCTAGATCTGTCAAAGGACAAAATTGCAACAATTTAGTTTAAGATCTCAATTGGCTGTATTTTCACTTCTTGTATTAGGCCATATTTTATTCCATAAAACAGAATAAGTGTCTTCTGGAAGTGTTTTGATTAAAAAAATCCAATCAAGACCAACCTGCCCTCTATGATTCTGCTCTACCATGGCCAGATGGAATGGAGAGAGTCCTCTTTATCTGTTTTCCATTTGATTCCTGCAGAAGCTTCTAAAGAGGCAACTCCATCTAGATTGTGTCAGAACAACTGCATGAGATTGAATTGCTTCTTTTATCACAGGAGTTTGTGTGTGTAATGATTATTCCAGGTTTCTTTTTCTCCTTCTCTTCCATGTTAATATCTGTTATCTGTGATTCCCTTTTGTCTTTTCTTCCCACTTTCTTCCCAGAGCAGTTATTGAGTGAATAGCTTTTTGCTACTTTCCCCTGGCTTCCTATTTTCATGGAGTGGCTTTGCATTTGCCTAACAGAAATAAAATGTCAGCAACCACATGATACAGACTGGACTCTGCGTCAAAGGAACTAGATGTTACCTTTGCACTTTAGATCTGAATCTTCTGAACAGAGCCAAAAAAAAAAAAAAAAAAAAAATCAGTAAATTCTCCAGATATTTTTAGCTCATCATCATGCATTGGCAAGGAAACAGGGCTTGGCACTCAGAGCGGAGGCAAATATAGACTGCTTTGAGCCAGTTCCCTCTGAAAAATGAAAATCACCACACTTGCAGTGTCTCAAAGGGTATAAAATGAAATTGCACAAAAAGAACTCCAAAAAACTTTCTTTCTAGATTTATCTGATTTACAGATGACAGAAGTAACATATAGGGAGGTAAAAGACTCCTGCCCCCACTTTCCAACCAAAAGACTCAGGAACAAAAAATAGGAACTTTAAGATATTACTGACTTATTGTCAGGTCTATAACTATCTCTTCCATTAGGCCAAATTCCAGAAGTTCCTAAATATGGATGGTAAACGGAAATGAGTATTTGTATAGGAAAAATGAACTTTTTCTCTATGCTCCCATTCAGTGCAGAACACTTCTCTGGGAGCTTTTTCCCACACCAAACTATCCTCCACTATCTACCTGAAATTAGGATAGGCCCCACATATTAAGTACTCAATCTCAAGACTTCCCTTATTTCAGATGCCAATCACGCATCCAGGTTGTCATCTGGGCTTCTGATCAACTGGCTATAACTCAGAGGTTCCCACTACTCCTCCTTTCTAGAAAAACTTACAGAACTCAGCGAGTTCAGTTTACTGGTTTTTATAAAGAATACAGATTAAAAGCCAGAGGAGGGCAGCTATGTGGGAAGAGGTGCGGAGCCCTCCTCTCCTGCAGGCCACCCTCCCAGAATGTGGATGTTTAACTGCCCAAAAGTTCTCCAACCCTGGGTTTTAGGGATTTTTATGGAGTCTTTGACCCACAGGCATAATGGATTATTTAATCACTCTTTAGCCCTCTGTCCATATGGTGGGGAAGGTACTGAGAGTTCCAAGCTTTTACCCTGGCTTGGTGTTTCCGGTGACCTGCCTCCAATCAGATGCTCACCAAGAGTCACCTCACTAGAACAGAAGATGCTCCTACCACCCAGGAGATTCCAAGGTGTTTAGGAGCTGAGACTGAAGAACAAAGATTAGAATAAGAGATGGACCAGCATCCCTATTACCAGGTCATCATGGGGTTTTAGGAACTCTGTGCCAGGAACTGGGGACAGATGCCACACTTGCATTTTTTATTATGCCCCAGTATGTTGGAAAGTGATGCCATTGCCCTTGCTTTTCTTAACAGTTTTTCTGGGCCTTCTAATATCCCATTGCCGGTTTTCTTCCCTCAAAGTTGGGGCTGTTATGCTGCTTAAGGCCACCTGCTGCTCATGTGGTGCACTGCATCCTCCTGGGCGTGGTTGGGACTAGCAATGGTGCTCTAATAACCTAGAGAAGGCACCCAGGGGTGATTCCTCTTAGCCATGGAGTCAGACTCTCCTAATTAGCTCACTGGTCTCCTAGTTCTGTTGGTACCAAGCCTCTTAGGAACAGAGTGGGGGACACTTGAATAAGGGCTGGGGAAGCCTCTATTCCATTTCTTTGGGCCCAGATTGGACAGTGTAACTAACAACTCCTCAAATGTAAATATGCCCTAAATATAGAAGGAGACTGTATCAGCAAAAAGAATCTTAGTGTGAACACTAGCAGTAGATGGCTAGAACAGTTAAAAATTTTTGCAGTGGTGCACACCTGTAATTCTAGCAACTTGGGAGGCTGAGACAAGTTGGAGGTCAGCCTCAGCAACTTAGTAAAACTATCTCAAAATAAAAAAAAGTGAAAGGACTGGGGATGTAGCTTAGTGGTAAAGAGCCCCTAGGTTCAATTCCCAGTACAAAAAAAAATTGTAGGAGTCTACTGTGTACAAAGCATAGTACTAGACCCTAGAAATTAGCATAGGAAGGAGATGGTGGGGAGAGAGAACAGAGAAAACTAGAAGAAATGGTAGACATAACCCTTCTCATAGGAAACTCAAACCAAAAGGAAGAAACATTATAATTGTTTGATATTGCTAATATTTTTAGTGCTTTATAGCATCCTCACTCTCCTCCTGTCTTTCATTCTATTTAGCATCCCTGCTAAAGCTGCTTTCCTAGTTCCCGAGTTTTCTGATGACTGGCTCAACAGCCACCTCCTGTGAGCTCCAGAACCATAAGACAGTCATTCCCCCAGTGTCACTAGGGCATCGTTTCTTCCCACCCTGATATTCAGGAGCCACTCTCCCACATTGATTAAGCCTCTCTGGGTAGTAAGGTCAAATGTGACAAAGCTGAGATTTTGTGTCTGCCCATACGATTGAATTTTGCCTTTACCATTCGGTAGCAGAGTGAGAAGGTACTATTGGTTTCTTAATATCTTGGAAGGCTGGTTTCTTAACCTGCAAAAAGGGGAGATGTATTAATGTCTAAGTCAGGTTCTTATAAATAATTTGGTAATAATTTGAAGAAGATTTACATGGCAAAGCTTTATTGTCTTCTGTTCCTGAGATGTCTCTGGGATGTGACCATTAGACAGTATTAGCAAGATTAGAAAGGTACAAATAGTCAATGTTTGCAATAGCTAAATTATGGAATCAACCCAGATGCCCATCATTAGGTGAATGGATTAAGAAATTGTGTTGAGCTCTGCACACAATGGAGCTCTAGTCAGCCATAAAAAGAATGAAATTATGGCATTTTCCCATAAAGGGACAGAAATAGAGAATATCATGCTAAGCCAAACTCAGAAAATCAAAGATTGAATGTTTTCTCTCATATGCAGAAGCTGGAGTAAAATAAAGGAAAGCGGGATGGAAGAGTAAGATTACACAAGGAACCAATCAAAGACAAATTAATAGATGAGCGAAAGGAACCAATCAAAGACAAATTAATAGATGAGCGAAAGGAAGTCTAGTGAGAGAAAAGAAGGGGGGGTGGAAGGAAAAGGGGGAGGGAAAAGGGAGGATCATGAGTTGAAATCCATTTCCATGCGTGTATGAGTTTGTTGAGATGAATCCAACTGCTATGTATAACCATTAAGCTCTAATTTAAAAAAATTAAAAACAACACACTGCAAATGTTCTAATCTGTGCTTAATGAGCGACTGAGTTGTCACCGTGTGAATTAGATGGGAGAGTGCTGTCAAGCACAGCCTCCTTGTGATCTCACTGGAATTGGATAGGAGACTGGTGAGCTCCTGATTGGGCACAGCTGCTTTGTGTCTTCTGATGCTTGTTATTGGATAAAGTAACAGGTACTGAGCCTTCACGGTGCAGCTGGGCAAGCCTTGTTCAGCCCAGTTGTACCACTAGATGCTGGCGAGATTTCCCAAACAATGCCTGTGCTAAAATCAGGCTGGGAGGAGAGGGTCTGGTGGTGCTCTTAGATACTTGGCTGTAGTCTCACTCCAACCCCAGGGGCAGGTGCCTGCCAGGAGTGTAGCCAGACTTCAGTACAGTCCTGATTTATGTTAGAACTAATCTGCTAGAGACCAAGGTGTTTAACCTTCCAGTGTAAATTTAGAAGGAATGCAAGGTACATGGGTTCAGCTGCATGTTCTCCTAATTGTGAGGTTAGGATTAGTATCTCCGATACATGATGAAAAGACTAATCAAAGCCTGGGAAAAGATTCTGTAACATACTATCAACAGCACATATCCATAACATAAAACTAACCACTTTAGGGAGACAAGAAAAAGATAGGAAAAGAAACTGACTAATGAGCCATTCAGAGTGAAACACAGGAAAACAGACTCACTATAAGAAAATCAGAATACACAATATGAAACAACAATTTTTTATTCCTTAAATTGGAAAAATTTAAAAGTTTGGAAAGAATGTGGGAAAGGAATCATGTATACATTGCAGGGAGAAGAGTAAAACGAAAGCAATTTGGCAAGATTTATTTCGATTCAGCAATTCCATTTCTTGGTATATAGCCCAGAGAAACTATTACATGTGCAGCTGGGCATGCCTTACATGTACAAAGAGAGATGAACAGAAACGTTTAAGGACAATTGCTTGAGCATACTTTGTAATAAGGGAAAAAATCAGAAGCAATGCACATGACCATCAGTAGAACAGATATATTGGTATAATCCTGTGATGGAATCTACCCAGGAGTTAGACTAAATGCCTTCATTGAGATGTACCTGACAAATAAATCTCAAATGTAATTTTTTTGTGGAAAAAATAAAAGAAGAAAAGAAAAAGCAAGTTTTAAGCTGGGTGTGGTGGTGCACATCTGTAGTTCCAGCTACTCTGGAACTGAAGTAGGAGGATCACTTGAGTTTGAGATCAGACTGGGCAATAGAGAGAGAACACATCTTAAAACAAGCAAACAAACAAACAAACAAACAACAACAACAAAAATCAGGGCTGGGGTGTAACTTAGAGGCAGAGAATTTGCATGAGGCCCTGAGTTCCATACCAACAAAGGGGTGGGAGGAATCAGATCTTAGAAGATTGTGTAGAATATGGTTCCTCTTATTCGAATAAAAGCACAAATTAAATCATATATTCTTATTACATAAGGATGTAAGGAAGTACTAATTTAAAGAAACATGCAAGGAAAAGTTGTTAGGATTCTCTTTAGCACTAGGGGAGAGAGGAGGGAAAAATTGAATAGGGTGTAGAAGTCACTTTAGCCCTATTTTGTTTCCCAAAATAAAGGTCTGAACTCAATAATGACAGTCCCTAATTTACAATGGTTTCTCTTCCGATTTTCTTACTCTATGATGGTGTGCAAGCACGCTCATACACCCATTCTGTACTCTCAGTATAGTATTCAATTAATTCTATGAGACATTCAACACTTTCTTATACAATAGACATGTGTTAGATGATTCTGCCCAACTGCAGGCCAATCTGAGTGTTCTGAGAACAGTGCAGGTAGACAAGGCTAGCTTTGTATTGTATAGGTGTACTAAATGCATTTTTTTACTTTTTATATTTTCAGCTTACAATGGATTTTATCAGGATAGAAGCCCATCATAAATTAAGGGGCATCTCTGTAGCACAATATAAGGCATAAGATCTAGGAGGTGGAACACAGGTCAGAATTTTTTCTCATGTTTGCAGTATTTCATGTATAAAATAAAACCTCCACATCTTTGCCACTCCCCAATTTATCCCTTTGTGCAGGGGGCAATGCTACACCTGTGGCCCATCACAGCCATTGCTCCTTGCAATGTAGCTCTGCAGAAGGGAGAAAGAAGCCCTTGGCCAGTGACATTCCCAGTGCTGAGTGGCCCATGCTGATGCACCCCCAATCCCACCTTGGGATTTTCTCTCTTTCCCATGGTCCTTGGGGACTGTGTGGGCTCTTGCTGTGACCACTGGCCATCCTCATCACTCAGGCCATAGGATGTCATCACTGCTCATGAGAGGAGTTTAGAATTCCAGTGGAGTCACTTGGGCCTGGTCAGCGAGGCTCTTTTAAGTGAGTGCTAACTCCAGCCTTTGTTCGTGATAGGCTAACACCTTCCCTTTCTCAGCCCAGATAGGTTGATTCCTAGGGTGGAATCTCTCATCTAGAGGTAGTTTTGTTTTGTCCAGTGATGCGGAAGATAATCATCAATAATGTTATTTTCTTTCTGTTTGATTAGCTTGAAGATGTGTACAGTAAATCTCCATCTCTGAGTCGTTATTTCACTTCAGTTGAAATAGTGGACTTCAGGTAAGAGTGTGCAGCATAACATTATGATCTCTTTCTCTTGCCTCTCTGGCTCACCCCAGGTACCCTGTACCTACGAGGACTTCCCTGAGCCTCAGAGCAGGAAGGGAACCAATAACAGAATCTTCAAGTGACACAACTTCCTTGGGCATCAACTAGCTCAATTCTTTAATTTTACAAACGAGAAAAAGGAAGCCCAGATTAATTATGTAACTCAACTAGGTCACATGGAGAGGGGAAAAACCAGTCCCAGATAAACCATTTCTACTTAAATGTGGATGCACAAGTAAATTAAGAGTAGAAAGAGAAATAGATCTCAGATAGTGATGTGATGGAAATGATATAATCCATATGCCGGATTTCTCCTTTGAAGAGCACAATACAGGAGTAGATTCTCCTTGTGTAATTTAAAAACATAACTTTTACAGGATAAGTCAACCTATGCCTCTTTTCTCCTGCACTACTACCAATAATTAATCATACCCCCTTCTACAAAATTAGCCACTATTAATAGTTTGTTGTGATTTTTATGCATGTGTATTTATTACATATACTACACATGTGTATACACTTTTTTTATTTTTCAATTTCCCCCTGATCTTTAATATGCTTGGAATGTAGTCAAAAGGGTCTAGGTTCGTAGAGGTCATTTTACTAGGACTTTATATCTTAATGATATTTTAATTATTGGAAATAATTTGAAGAAGATTTAATGGCAAAGCTTTATTGTCTTCTGTTCCTGAGATGTCTCTGGGATGTGACCATCAAAGGATATATTACATATTGAGATCTCCCTCTAAAACCAGACATTTTCCAAACTGTAATATTAGGATACCTGGGAGAGGAAGCATCTAAAGCCAGTGGTAACACCATGGGGTTGGGCCGAAATGGATCTGAAGTATGCAAACCTAGGTGGTGTCAGACTGCCTTCTCTCTTTCTTAATTGTCCCCCAAGTCACATGCTGCTTAATGTTGCCATCCTTGACATTGTTCCCTTTAATCATAAACCACTGGCACTAAATGCCAATAGAAAAGGGAGAGATATATAATCAGACCCAGCATGCTTTCCTCCATCCCCTTGACCCCACTTGCAATTCAAAGATTGAAGCAACGCTGGGAGAGAAAAGACCCTCACACAGCCTTCAGGAATCTAGCTCTATGTTATGGGTCCAGAGGAGCTGGGACCATATAATCAGAGTAAAGATAGACAGTGAGGAAAACCCATCAAAAAAACCGAGTAAAACATGACCTGAAATCTAGCCAAGACTTGGTGTTAGAGAATCTGTCATTGAACATTATCTGGGGTATAACTAATTTGAAAAAAAGAAAGAAAAAAGAAATAAAGTTGTTTGGGGGAAAAAAGCTTAAGTATTTTTGTATTTTAGATTTAAAAATTATCTTTGAAAAGCATGTTTGTTTTTTCTAAAGCCAGGAAAAGTTTCTAAAATGTTGAAATGAGACACAAAAGCCATTGCTTCTAAAAGGACACTATTGCACACGGGCAAGAGACAGCCACTTCCCTGACTTATGCATTCATGTCTCTGGGGTTTCCTGACCTCAGTCAAGGTTGATCCAGCAGGCATCTGGAAAATGTCCTTTGGCTTATCAGCTGCTAGACGCACTCCAGAGGTGGGTGGGCTGCTGGGGCAGAACTCACAGGATTCACTGCTTTCTTGAAAATTCTCCCCTCAAAATGCAGCCTAGTTTAAGTTCACCTAGTTGCCTGACATGGGGGACGAGGATGGGCTAGCCAGGCTGGTTTAGGCAGTCCAAATTTCCATTCAGCTGGTCTTCTGAAATTCCACCTCTGGACCTTTTCATTAGCCCTCTCAAGTCCTTGCCCACGGCATGCAAGGTGGCTTTCTGTCAAGGTGCTGACCACCATTAACCATAATTAAAGGGCAGAGATCAGAGGATAAGTAATGGCGCTTGCAAATTAGGGTAGATGGATTAGAGTTTGCAAGTGCATATTTCAGCCTGACTTGAGTGACACTCTTGAAACTGTCTTCTTCAGAGTTCCAATTCTGTCTTATTAATTTCATCTACAGGGTTTGGCGCTCTACTTGGCTGTAGTAGAGTTTACAGACTGAATTTTCAGCCACTTTATGAAATGTTTCAATTATTGGCTGGTTTAACCTCTGGCCACAAGAGGGAGCTCTCTGCCTGTCCTTAGCAAGGACGGTAGCTGATTCATGCTGGTGGGATTCGAATGTCTTTAAACTTGCACTAGAGTAATAGTCTCAGCTGTGACCACCTACTAATTATTTTATTGCATAATGTAGGTCATCGTGAACCAAACAATGAGAATAACTGTGAAAATCCTAAATGTTGAAGCAGAGTCAAAGAGCAGCATAAGCTACTAATTAACTGAGGATAGACCTATGATTAATTTTATTCTGAAAATGGGAAAAATATGTTCTAGGAAGATGAAAGAATTAGGATTTCCTCTTCATTGGAGTTTCCTCAGGAAATCTTGGTCATCCTGCTTTAGGGGTCTCTGGAACTGAAAAAGGAACAGAAAAAAAATAATCCAACTTTGGGGACAAACACAGGCGGTATGGTTCTCTGCTGGTGCACAAGGCAGCCTAGTGGTTCAGGGGTCCTGCACTCAGCCAGTGGTAGGTAGCTATGGGCCTTACCTTAAACACTTTTATAAGTTTAATAAAGAGCATGTTAAACTGAATAACTCTAACCCTCACTTGGGGGGGTAGCATTGAGAATGGGCAGGTGGAAATACGCAAGGAGCGGAGACCAGGCTTCCTGACTTGCCTCAGAGGGTGGAAGGCTGCTATTGGGACAGAGGACATGCCAGCATATTCTTTAACTGTAGGCCGTGTCTCTCCCTTCAGTGGCCTCTGCCAGTGAACTCTGAGGGATGAGTACTAGGTGGAGGGAGGAGGCTGTGATCACATTTTCTTTTTTTAAAAAATTTGTTCTCATTAGTTATACATGACAGCAGAATGCATTTTGATTCATTGTACACAAATGGAGCACAGCTTTTCATTTCTCTGGTTGTACACAATGTAGAGTACACCATATGAGTAGTCATACATGTGCTTAGGGTAAATGATGTTCATTTCATTCCACAATCTTTCCTGTCCCCATGCCTACTCCCCTCCTCTCCTTCCCCTTTGCCCAATCAAAGTTCCATTCCACCCCCCACACCCCCCCCCCCCCCCCCCCCCCCCCCACCATTATGGTTCAGCATTCACTTATCAGAGAGAACATTCGGCCTTTTGGTTTTGGGGGGTTGGCTTACTTTACTTAGCATGATATTCTCCAACTCCATCGATTTACCTAATCCATTTACCAAATGTCGTAATTTTATTCTCTTTTAATGTTGAATAATATTCCTTTGTGTATATATACCACAGTTTCTTTATCCATTCATCTACTGAAGGGCATCTAGGTTGCTTCCACAGTTTAGCTATTGTGAATCGAGCTGCTGTAAACATTGATGTAGCTGTGCCACTATAGTATGCTGATTTTAAGTCCTTTGGGTATCACACTTTCTGTGATGGGTCTAGGGAAGATTTTTCTAGGATAGTACATTCTCTCAGAACAGTACACCCTTTGCTATTGTTTAGAGGAAGAAGATGAAGAACTAAACACATATTGTTGATAAGGTGGATTTCCCGAATTTCAGTGTGATTCTGCTTGTGTCTTACTGTCTCTGGTTTGGCTTTCAGTGGTGAAAACGCCACAGCAACCTATCACCTGCAGTTTGGGGTTCCGTGGGAAGATGACGACTTTATGAAGTACATGATGAGTGAGGAGCTTGTACTGGGAGTTTTGCTACAGGATTTCTATGATCAGAGTGTACCTCATTGTGAGAGTCTGGGGCTTGATCCAGCATCTCTCTTGCTCTATGGTAAGTAGAAAAGAAGTCAGAATCGGGATGGTAGGTGAACAGTTTGGGGGCAGGTGGTTTGGTTTGGCCATTGTAGTAGCTTTTAGTGTACAAACCACCCATCCATTCACTCCTCCATGCAGCCGGTATTGCTTCTGTGTGGGAATGTTCCACATTGTGGATGGAGGTCAGTCCCTGCCCTCCATAAGCTGACAGCATAGTTGGAAAAAATTACAGAAAAAATAAACCATGAAGAGAACCATGCTGTTGAACACAGGAGCTGTCTGTGTGTTCTGCCAGGGTCTCCATCAGCACCTCCAGCTCAGCCAAGTCCCATCATTTCCCTCTCTGGAACATGATTCAAAACCTTGACCCTTTAGAGATGTTCTTATGGTTAGATTACAAGAAAATAGCCAAACGGTAAGATATTTTCAGTATCCAAAATGTTGCTTCAAAATGTTATTTATCATGATTTATATCAAAACCAAAAAAGCAGACAATAAATGTTATTTATCTTTGGGAAAGTGTCCAGGGTGGTGTGTGTGCACACACACATGAATCTTTTAGTGTATTTGTACTTTTTGGAATATAATGAAGAATTTTAATGGAGAATGACTGGAGAGTGAACATTCTCTGTTCAGAACTGACACACATTTCAATTTTACCTAAAATTTTATTTTCAAACTCAATGAAACCAGAAGGGGGAAAAAAACCATAAATGTTTAAAATAATCTTGTTTTTTAGAAGTAACGACTTGTTCTTCTGTGTTTTCTTTTCAGAGTGAAGTGGTTGAGGCTGGTCTGTGTCAGAAGGTGCTCCTCTGAGTTTTTGGAGAGAAAAGAACTCATTCTCTTTTACAGGAAAGATCCTGTGACAATGACCAGACTGTCCTTCCTCCTGATTCTGCACAGATAGGAAGTCTGACTCCACACCCAGCAAGGCAGCTCCCAAGCGCTGACCCACTTGGGTCAAGTTTTGACAAAGCAGGAAGTCAGATGGGTGGGAGGGTTGGGGGGGGGGGCAGGTCACTTGGTATGTGGGTGATGCAGTTCTTGAGGCTGTGGCTCTCTTTACCCATGTGTGGATACTTTCTCTTTAGCACAAGGGTGGTGTTGTGCTTTGTTTTAGACAGGTTCCTGTCAGCCTGTGTTGGGGCAGGGAGAAGCGAGCATCCAGGCAAGGGAGAACTCAACCAATTGCTCTTTGAAATCTCCAACTCTTCCCACCATTACAGAATATCTGGGTATCTTAGCAAACCAGCCTTAAGCACATCATCCAGTGTTATTTTTACATACACAGTCACAGAAATACGATAGGGATTACTAATTATTTGACATCTCCTTCTTCCTGTGACTCCTAAACACCTTTTTTTGGAAACATGAGTCCCTGTGGGTTTTGAACATGCAACCATCATTTTGCATTGTCACTCCTTTATATTTTTATAAACTTCCATCAAATAACCGTCAAGATTGCTTAACTTCTGCTGTGGATACCACACATGTGCTTTGTATTACCCATGTTACTGGCCTTCTTTCGGGACTCAGTGTCTTGAGGCATTGATGGTGTGTCTTATCTCCAATGGCTGTGAAACAGGAAGAACTATTGTCCCTTTGGCATAAATTGTTGAGAGCTTATGTCTGTCATTTGAGGGCAGGAGGAATGTTAGGGACTGTATCAGTCTTCAATGGATATAGAATTGCCTGTTGTGAAGGTATAGAATATTTGTTTTGGGAGAAAAATACCTTTGTACACATTTTCCAGGAGAAACAGTTGTGTGGTCCTATAAGGAGATATTTTAGCTGCAGTATCTCCGTGTCTTAGCTGCCACAGGTGGAAGTCTGTGAGAGGCAGCTATGTATGGGTGTGTGCCAGAGTGACTTGAGCTTATCATGAGCCAGGATTCTGGATAATGTGAATTTGATTTTTTATTTAACTAGAAGACACATGTATTACAACTCATTGTTTCATTATAAGGATAGTTCCTTAAATTAGTGAATTTTTCTTCTTCCTCTTTATTTTTTACATGTCAAATGTGAATCTTTTAGTGCATTTGTACTTTTTGGAATATAATGAAGAATTTTAATGGAGAATGACTTTAAAAACATTTACAATAAATTATTTTTGCATCTGCATTTTTGTGCTCAGATTTGTCTCATGGGTGTTGTTTCTCCAGGGTCATGCTTTGGACTGGCATTTTCTTGCAGTAAATGGGGTCAGAAGTGATTTTTCATGTTCCCAAGGGCAGCTTCCTCTTCTTTATGAATAAGATGGAGCTGTTTGGAGTGGAGTAGGCAGAATTCTTCTCTGTGTGTTCCATTCAGCACAGGAAGAGGTTTCAATAAGTATCTGCAAAATAATTGGAGGGTTTGAATTTCTGCTTTTTCAGAAGTCACCTAGATATGCATAGAAAGGAGACAGCCAGATCAGCAGAATCCCTTCTGTCTCTGCTGCCACCCAAAATTCTAGCCATGTGTCCAATTATTTTTTGCTTTTCAATTTAATTTTTTTCTCTCTCTATATTTTTAAAGTGATATGTTTTATTGAGGTTCTCCGTGGAGAAAATAATGAGAAAAGAAGCTGTTCATATAATCAGGGAGTCAGAATCTGAAAGAGGAAATAGCAGGGGAAGATACCCAGGTTCCATATCCAGATTTGAAAAATAAAGACAAAATGTAAGTCATGGGTGCTCAGAGAAATTCGTGGTCAGTGTAATTCAGCTGGAGAAGGTTTTGCATAGGAAGAAGGAAGTTCAAGCTGAACCCTGAAGCACTGGTGGGATTTGAATAATTGCCCTCTTTTGCACATGTCTGTATCTTCTTAGGATGCAGTTCACATTCTCTCCTTTTCCTTTTATATGTGGATTCTTGATCTAAACTCCTGCCCTATTCAGAGTATGATCCATGAAAAGAAAAAACGGGAGCAATATCTCAAAGGCTCTCATTCTCTCCCATTACTGTTTTATTGCTTTTTAATAAGGCAATTCACAATGTTGCTGGTAGTTTTATCCATAGACAGATTTTAATGTTTTCTTTATGATTAGAAATCATTGACTTTTAACATCGAAAGGGAGCGCCCTCATCTTACACCTGGGAGACCAAGACCTGGAGAGCCAGGAGGACCAGCCCATCATCCCATCATTCCTTGTGGGCAAAGCCTAGTCCATTCACACACATGGTGACTGGCCACCAACCCTGGTGGGTGCCCCACAGTCAGGTTCAGTGCTGGTTTTGGTTGACATCTGGGATCTATGAGGAGCACAAATGGTCGGAGAAAGATAAATCGAAAGGTGTGGCTATCCGGCTGTAGGAGATTCTATGATGACAACCTCCACACAGTGTTTCCCCAAGCACTTGCTAAAGTGCCCTCTAGAAAGTGGGAGAGATTCATTCAACAATTGGCAGAAGCAGAGCATCATCAGACCAAGTGGATGTTCTGCACTTAAGTGTCTAGGCTTAGAAAAGAACAGTCAGACACATGGAAAAACAGAACCTCCTTTTCTCTGAAGGCCCTCCTGGAGTCATAGAGACTTGTCTCTTCTGTTCTGCCTGTGCCCTTTCATCTCTGAGAAGATGCGAACTACCTGTCATCCTAAAATTGCTTGTCCTAAAAGTGTCAACCTTTGAACTTCTCAACAGATGTCCTGCCCTATCTTTACCCCTTTCCCATTTATGTCTTTTGTCCCAAATAAGTTTTTCAGAGTAAGAGATTATTTATAGAGGCTCATACGAATGTAAATGGAGACCACAGAGCCTGCCTGCTGTTGCTGGATATTGTACCTCTGAATTTTGGCCATGTACTCTTTGAAGCCCAGCGCAGGGGATGAGGGTTTTTCTGGTTATATTTATGACATGGGAGAGTAAATGCTCCACCCCGGGGTCTCTATCAAGAACACAGATTGCTTAACTAAGGAGTTCATCCTCAACCCAATGAGATTGTATACAAATGTGTGTGTGTGTATTTTCCACCAATAGAGTATACAGCTTTCATCAGAAATCTAGAAATCTCTGGAAAATAGGATCAGCATTACATACAGACGTAGCAGGGTTTTTTCAACATTAACTTTTATTAGAAAAAATTGAGATATTCTAGTTACAATCCCTAGCTCTCCTCACCAAAATAAATTAATGGGGAGAAATATAAAGCTTAAAAAAATGGTTAAATATTTATAAAAACCTGTATTGTACCCTCCTGGTTCAACCCATAACCAACCCAGGCACAGGAACCAATGAGTCGAAGGACATGAAGTGTACTAAACTCATATTTCCTTAAATTTTATTTTTAAGTTATTTTTTATTATTTCTGATTGACAAATAACATTGCATATACATCATTGTGGGTATTTCAAAACACATCAAAGTGGTTCTCTAGCACATAATAATTTCCTTTTACAATCCTTCTAATTTCACTATAAGAACAACTTTTTCTTCTTTTTTTTTTGGCTAGGAATTAATGTGGTCCTGATGGGAGACAAATACTGTTTGGGACTGGTAATGCTTTCACAGGATAAGGCTCAAACACATATAGGTTACCATTTTGTACTAAGAATATATCAACCAACCAACATCCATAGTGGTTTCATATCCATGTAAAAAATCCCAGCAAAAACCTATCAGTTTGGTGTTTTTGCCTTGCTGGAAAGTCCCCGTGTGGCCCTGGATAACCAGATGTATCAACGTGCTCTTCTCCATACATCATAAAAGATTTCTGTTTCTCTTTACTCTTTGATATGATTTCTATTTAGGGTTTATGATAGAGGTTCTGCTTACTATATTAAATGTAAATCCTCTCATGTGAGTGAAAAACCTGAGCATCTGGGTAACAGACTCAAGGTCACAGAACAGGAAGAGAAAGAACCAGGATTTGAACCACTGGTTGTCTGTCTTGGGTCCATACTCTTCCCCCAGCCACGTTACACCTTCCACAGTGTTCTCTGCTACCATGAACACGCCCTTTCAAACCTGAGTGAACTCCAGCCAGAGATACAAGTTAGGGTTACCTGGGAAAGAATTTTGCTAAAAGTAGGAGACTAGCAGAAGCTAAGATGTCAGGATGTGGTTGACCCTTAGCTGCAGACCATCAGCTGGCTAAAAGCCCAGCAAGCCTGCATTGATCATCTAGCCTCAAACCACTGGATTTCTCTTCATTGGGCACTTGCCATGTTTTAAATAGCAAAGTTGAGCTTGGGTTAGCTTTGAGAACAAAACAATAATGAAACATATAATGTATCTACTGCTTGTTTCAACAAACCGTTTACTATTTTAACTTCTCTAAAATTAGGACAATGGCCATGAGTAAAACAAAGCAGCAAGTGGAGGACACAGGTGTGAATATAGAAATAGCCTAGTTTGCTAATTTTCTTGGTCTCACTCATCTCATTTGTGGTTTAATATTTTCATATCATTTTATTGGTACTACTCTTATGAGTTATATCAATAACCAAACATATTCCTGTTAAGTTAATCTCAAATATGATCATTTAGGGCAGAGGTCTGCAATTTTTTTTTTCAATCTATAAAGGGACAAAACATTAGTATTTTTGACTTTTCAGGGCCTGTGGTCTATGTCACAACTACTCAAATCTCCTCCATGGTTGAGCAACTGTAGACAATGCAAAGAAATAAGTGTGGCTGTGTCTCAATAAAACATTATTTACAAAAATAGGTGATGGGCCGGATTCGGTTAGTGGGCCACAGTGTGATGAACCTGATTTAGGGATAGACATAATTCTAGAAATACTAAAAAAAGGAGAAGAGAGACAACAAATAATCGAGGCCAAAGGAGACATGCTCATCAGAGAAGGGGTGGATGTGAGTTTTGTTTCCCATGTAGACTTCTCATTCCTATTTTATACATGACATGCTATTTAATAGAGATATTGACTACACAGAAGAGGCTCTTCTGTACAGTATATTGGAGGAGTACTGAGTTGGAAGCCAGGAAATCATGCTCTTAGCTAAAGTTGTGCCACTAACTTAATATACCAATGGGCAAATTATTCTCTCTGAGTCCAAAAAAAGATGAGGGAATTAAAGGATCTCCAAAGGTCTTTCTGCAGTATCACTTTTTGAGACTGATTGTCTTATTAAGGTTTACGGGGTGGGGGGAGGGGGACTGAGATGTAGCTCAGTGGTAGCTTGCTTGCCTAGTATGTAGTTTCAATCCCTAGCTCTCCCCACCAAAATAAATTAATGGGGAGAAATATAAAGCTTAAAAAAAAAAAACATGGTTAAAGATTTATAAAAACCTGTACTGTACCCTCCTAGTTCAACCCATAACCAACCCAGGCAAGGAACCAATGAGTCGAAGGACATTGTATCAAGGACATTCCTCAGAGGAGTATCTCAGGCTGTCATTGGGAGTAGGACTGAGTCACTGCAATGAGTGACTTCCCCCTCGGGTCACTTGATATAATGAGAAAACTTCCTTGTACCTTCAGATAGCAATCATGATGATATTTTGTAAGAATCCAAGAACATTTCGTGGTAAACAGAGCTGCAGGGGAACCACAAATCTCTTTCCACCACACAGTACTTCCAGTTCTTTTTAGAACCAAGGATGATCACTCCTTTCTCAAATAGTGGTGTTCAGGATGACTGGTTGACTCTCAGATGTTGAATGTTGAGCAGGATCTTAGTGGCCCTTGTCTTTAGAAAATTTTGCACAGAAGGGCTTCCTACCTGAGGCTTGCTTCAAGCAGAGATGCCCACTTTCCACTTTTACCTGCTGGCACTAAACTAACACTAGTCCAGCTTCTTCATTGTAAAAGGGAAAACTGTGTCTCAAAAGGGGAGGGAAGTACGTGTGGCTGTTTTAGGGAGGGAGAGGAGATTTTGCTTGGCATGAGAAGCTCATATTCATCTTCTGGGGAAGGGGGGTGCCTAGGAGTGGAGGGCACACGGAGAAGTGAATACTCAGTCTCTGTTCCTCCCAAAGACTCTTTGGGTCTCTCAGCCTTGCAGGAAACATTCTCATAGTACACCTCAGCAGAGGTCCCTGAAGGCCTTCTTCCTTGGTCCTTGTGATGATGGATAAGGACATAGCAGAGCTCCTCCATGTGGGTCTGATTAGCATGGTCCTGCTGGCCAAAGGAGAGTCATCATCAAGATTTGGCCTCATGCTATTCCCTTCACACTTTAGTCTCCACACAGGCCTGATCCTGGGTAAAGTCTCTCTTCTACTACCATTTCCTTTCCATCTCTTGGCCATTTTTCCTAAAAATGGCCTCCACTCCAACCTCTAGACAAGATAGCCCGAGCATTCATATTGCCCAGTATACACAGACTACCCACGTGTATTCTCTGTACCCCATGTTCCAGAATAACCCTTGAACACCTTGTATAATTCCCTAAGTCTTGGGCCCTGGTCAGCCCCTTCTCATAAAAGGCAATGATCTGATGATATCTTAATGTAATTGGGTTCTGATATAATCACTTATAGAGATCATTGCATCTTAAAAAAAGAGAAAGAATTCAAGGAAAGGCCTTACTTATGGTGGGGTTGCAGAAGATAAAAGCAAAGGGAGCCAAGTACAGGGAGAGAGCATGCATTTTGGAGTGATCTTTGGTTCCTGGCTCTGCCATCTTTCAGCTGTCTAACCTTGGGAAGTATCACTTAATCTATTTCCTCATATGTTAAATGATGGAGAAACAATGGTACCATCTTATGAGCTTGTTGTGACAGCTACCTGAGATGATGCCTCTAAAGCACTCAGTACATTGCTTGTCATAAATCAAATGCTCAGTAAATATTAGTTCCTTAAACTAAATTGTGCAACAGAGGGGCTGCTACTTCTGCCACCAGGCCCTGCATATGGCCCTGGGTTCACATTCCTGGCATCTAGAAAGTTCTTCTTCCATGTTATGGTCAGAAGAGGTCTTATTACCTGGATAGGAGTAGGTGTCATTCCTTCATCTAGAGAAAGAAAATAAAACTCAATGAATTTCACATCTCTAGGTGATTTAAGAGGAGTGGGAACTGGAATATCAGCAATCAGAGAACCAAGGGGCAGCTGAGGTGCCCTTATTGGGCTCTTACGATCTGCCGAAGATCCCCGGGGAGTCACAGAGCTATCTGAACAAGAAACAGCCCAAGCTTGCTCAAGCTGAGAGATCAGGTGGAAGAAGACACATTTGGTGAAACAGGGAATCACACTCCCCTTGCTTTCCTCCCTCTGTTCTCCTTACTTAACAAAATCCTTCGCATACCTACTCTGTTAGAAGGAATATGGGGGACAAGCATCAGAAACATTCCTGTCCTCTAGAGGCTCACAGGCTAGCCTAGGAGCACACAGACTGGAGAGACCCAGAATGCAATGAGGAGGGGATTGTTTGTCCTGCGGGCAGCAGGAGATGGTGCTCCTGTGGTGGCTGTGGTCAAAGAAAGTCTTACAGAAGGGGAACTCTTAAGGGGAGCATTCCCATTCCTGAAGTTGCAGGGAATGGGGACACAAGTAAGACTGTTTTTCAAAAGCCAGTTGTTTGTCACCGACTGGCTCTGACCACTCAGCAAAAAGGCAAATGAACACATGTGCCACACTCCCCAACCCCCACTCCCCAAAACGGCAAAAGGGCCATTTCGTAAATAAACAGGTGCCCTCCACGCAGCCTGCACAGGAGGCAGGTGTGACATGCAGCTTGCCATGCGGTGCACAGATTTACATTCCTCAGGGTCTCACATCCCCATGTGCTTATACAGCTATCCAGAACCTCCCCAATGATCATTAAAGAACAGGGTCGTGACTGTAAGCATCAGGGGTCTTATTTATATCACATTTTACTCTGATGAAGATTAGAATTTCTTTGGACCCACCATTCCTGGGGTAAAATGGCTGGGCTGGGAGGGTAAGCTTATTCACTTAAACACTTTGCAAAGCTGGATTTAAGGATTTGGTGTGTGAATAAACTACATTCCCCTCTGCTCAGGAAAGCAAAGGCATCTTAAATGTAATGCTGTTCCTTCTCAAATTCTTCTCTCTCCTTAACTTCACTGATCTGTCCCTGGAGTCCAGTGCACCAGTCACCTGAGTGGGCTTTTGGCAGCTGCTCTTGTTTTTCCCTGCCAAAACTGTTATCCACACAGAAGGAGGATGATTGCTGTTATGAAGATCCCATCATCCCTGCCCCTTTGCCCCTTGTGCAGCTGCTGATTCTCCTGTGCTCTCATGACAAGGATCTAAATCTTTTAACTGCCAATCCCTGTGCTTTTTCGCAGCTCCTTATAAATGTCTTCTGTCTCCACCTTTTACATTTATTGTCTGTAGTTCATTCCTTCAGCCTCCAGACCACAGACTCTAAGGACTTATGGAGATGAATAAGCCTATCTTCTCTTCAGTGAGCTCACAATCCAGTAGGGACAAAAGACAGATGATTGGATACGTTGAGGTAACATATGTAGATATTATACTAGAAATATGCCCACAGGGCTTTTAAGGCATAGAGAAGAGACAGTTTGGAAACATGCCTATCAAAATTGAAAATGATGGGAAGGCAATGACTTACTTTTCTTTAGGGAATCTTGCCTTGCTTTAAAAACACATAATTTTTTCCTGCAAAAACAAAACAGAGAAAAGTAAATTGGTTTTTTTGATATTCAGAAGCTCTCCAAAGAAATTACAATAACCTATGCAATTTAATTCTAAATCTTTAAGTTGTTAAATTTATATGACTTTTATGATGACTTTTCAGCTTCTAGGAATCAGAGGATAAGAAAGAGAAAATGAAAGATGAGACCAGATAGACATATATCTCCCTGCTCCCTTTTTCTCTTTGTCCCCTTTCTTCCCTTTTCTAAACCTGATATGGAATTTACGTATAGGGGAACTATGGTTGTTTGGAGGTTTATTTCTAATACAATAATAGTTTATTTTATATCATGTGAGTGGGGGAGCCAGGATAATTGCCATTCCCAGTCCTAATCTATGATCCCCTAAACATTTTCCATTAGAACACACTGTAGAGAAGGTCTCCTGGAAAAATGGAATATAAATGTAGTGGACATCCATTACCATCTCCGGAGACAAGGACGCATTGCTCTGAGGAGGATCACCATATTGCCCTGGTTTGCTCAGTGGTTAATGTCATTACCAATCACTTAGCAGTTATTAACTATGTTTAGCATATTCATCATTTCCAAAGGTGTCCCAGTTTGGATAGTAAATTATATTAGTAAACTGTCTGTAAATTATCTGTGCAAGGAATAGAAAGGTGTGCTTCTACACATGGAGACCCTGGAATTTTCAGCGTGAAAAAAAGTCTTCATATTAGTAGCCAGTTTCGCTCTCGTTTCTGAGGCTTGCCAGTTTGAGGAGAGTGTACCACTCATGAGACAACTGTTCCTCTTTCTCACCCAATTCTGAGGGTTGCTTCCCAGATCGACTCTAAGTGACTGCGGTCTGGGATTGGTGCCAGGATTGCACTGTGGCCACGGACAGCCCAGAGTTCACAGGTAACTTAGAGCAAACATCACACTGAAACCACACTTAGGGAAATCACTCATAAGAGTGATTCTCCACTTACCACGGGAGGCAGAAACACTCTTCTGTGTCGTGGCAATCCCAGCATCTGAAATACCCAAGAGAAACTCACAGTCACAAGACTGGTTTATGCAGCTTTGTTAAGGTGGCTGCCTACCCTTCACCATTTCTGTAGAAAACCCTTTGTTTCCCCAGGCACGCCTTCACCTTAGGTGACTTGGACACATCCCTCTGAAGATGAAGATGACATCATTGGTTCCAAATCAGGGGAAAGAACATTTACTGTATTCCCAGCAAAGGAAAAAGTTTTCTCACACCCCATACTAGTGATTTGCTTTGTTCCTTTGTGATGAGGAACACATAGGATTATCTTCAGAAAATCAAGATACAGGCATGTGGACATCTTTAAAGGTCATTTCATTCCAGTGTGGGTTTGGCATATCTACACATAATTTCAGGGCACTCTGAATTTCTCCTTTTCGTACTACATTTTAATGGTCTGCTCCTCTGTCTATATTCTTTACTAGAATGTGAGCTTCACCAGATTGGTGAGTCATATTTGCTTCATTTATCATGATACACGTCACCAGCATGTGCCACATCTGACATAGACTAAATGTTTTCAGTAGATACTTGATAAGAATATGAATAAGAAATGAGTAGCCAAGAACAAAGTAATACTAGCTGGCACCTAAGATCATCTACCTCCTGACTCCAGTGGCATAGCTAGATAGCCAGACATGTCATTGACAGTAGATAAAATAAAAATCCCCTCTGCACACAGATATTGGATTAAAAATCTAAATATCATTCTGTGCATCTTTCTGAATTTGAGACATGGTCATCTCCCCCCCCCACCCATGGTTGGATGTGAAAGCCTTCTATAAATTATTACATTAGTTAAGAATATTTGGAAAACACTGTCCAAAAAAGGTCTCTCTGATGACCTTTCCCAGGGAATATTGTCAGAGGGGATGGTGGAGGAGTGGCTAGCTGCACTGTAACAGTGGCTGTGGCCACCATGTTGGCTGAGGGTAGTGACAGCCTTCAGGGGCTGTGTGTCATCAGAGCCTTTGAGGCTGAAGGGCACGGCCTCCAGCTCTTCCTCTTCTTTGGCCGCCTTAGGTTCCCTTTAAGCCATTTGTTTCCATCTCCTTCTTCTGTAACTAAAAGGCATCATAAGGAAACTACTGAGTCAAACCAATGCTAAGAAAAAAGTTCACAAAAGGGATATGAGAGTGAGATAAAAGGAGATGGTAGATTTCAAACTACGGGATCTATATATCTGAACTCCTTGAACCACAGTTTTTAAATATTAAAATGAGGAGATATATATACTGTTTAGCTAATGGGTTTGTAAGAATCAGATAAAGTTGACTATAGGAAAAAGCTACTTGTAAGTTCTTTCCTCTATTAAGCCTTTTCTGAAACGTATTCTTGCATTTCAATGAGAATGTTTTTGGATTAGGATGAGATCCAATAATTTCCATGTCTCAAATCAAATTTCTATAACCTCACCTACAAGTCAGAGATTGTAGGTTCCTGTTTTTCCACAGAGACTTCCCTTGCTCCCAGGTCTACCCGATCTCTCCCTTGTTTTAATGGTCCTGGCCCTTCTTATTTATTTCATCATTTGGATTATATGCTTTAGCATATTTGAACTATATGATTCTCAGCTTGCACTGAAGAATGTGGTCTGTTGGCCAATCACTGGGTTGGCAGCCCCCACACAGCCTTGGCCCAGCAGTTGATTTTTAGTTCCACTCTTTCAAAAGATCCTTCTGAAACTATGAGAAAAATGCAAATAATTCCATAGGAAACAGGACAACAGATTTTACCATACTTTGGGATTCTTAGACATTGGGACGCAAATTCCACATTGTGGTGATTCTTTTCCTGGAGGAAATTCTTTAGAGTTGGGCACTCAGAAGGTTAGGAAGAATAGATGAGGCTCTGTTTAACAGCATCAGGGTAAACTCAAGGATTTCTTCATAAACCTTCCAAGAATTGTCATGGTGTGAGGAATGGGATCACTTCAGAAACAGAAAAAGTTTCAAATGGAAGTTCTAGATGGAACTTGGGCACAAAGGATTTGAGACAGGCAAACAAAGACACAATAGGATATAGGACCCCTTATTTTATAACAGGGTAGGAGAGAGTCTGACACTGTCTTGTTGACTGTTGCTCACAGTTACTTCAGACTCCTAGCAAAGCAGCACAAGTCCCATCCAAGGTTTCCCCATTGTCTATTATCCTGTCTTCACATTAAGTACACTTATGCTGATGCAGGGTGTGTGTGTGTGTGTGTGTGTGTGTGTGTGATGGGTACTTGAGGGCTAGGACCTGTCAGGCTACCTTTTTCTTGAGCAGAAGCTGGGAGGAGTCTGGTACAGAGTCGGGTACACGGTTCTCTCACCTGGATGTTCTCTGCTTGGTGTTTTGGAGTCTGAGTTTCCAAGGCATCTCTTGAGTGTCCCGCTGCCACCTAAAACTCAATGTATCAGAAATGAGCTCAGCAATTCCTCTCCAGGATTTTCACTCTTTCTGTTTTCCCCACTTTGCTCACTTGTGCTGTTTGTGTAATCCTGGAATCGCTTCAGCTTTCCCAGCCCTTCTTGCAGTTGCTAACACTCCCTCCTAATGACACGCCACAGCTGTCTCTGACCTGATATTCTTTCCATTGCCTCAGAAAAGCCCCTAGACATGCACCTCTGGTCCTAAATCATTTGTTCCCAAATGTCCAGGAACCCTCATCACATTCCCTAAAGTGTCAGTGTACAGAGAGAGGCCTGGGCTCCTCAGCTGTCATTAACTGGTGGGGTTCCAGGGGCTGCACACAAGCAGTGGGTTCCTGTAAATCACCATCTTTCACGGAAAGCAAGGAGGCAGACAGAGAACAGGGCTAAAAGGAGAGGAAAAGAATTAAATAAAGACAATGAATAGGTTCATTGTTTGGGTTGTATATCTGCAAAATCATGTTTTCATTTGCTGGAAGTTGAGAGTATGAAGAAAAAGAAACTAACAAACACTGCTTACTTTGTGCCAGTCATTTTATGCTCCATATTTCACTTAATCCCAGAATATAACCGCCATGAAGTTCATATTATCACACTATTACTTACCAATCGATGAAGAAAGTGAGGCCGAAATAGGCAATTTGTTTAAGGATCCACAACCAGTAACAGAGAGAGTCTGGGTTTCCCTGGGGCAGATTTTTTCCTTCAGAAACCCAGAGCTCTTCTCCTGAAAGTATAGGTGCCCTTCTATCCCAGTTTTTGTAACAAATTTAATCAGGAAAGACAAGGTAAGGGGCGTGCTGACAGGGTGGGAACTGGGTGATGGGGTAAAGTAAAAACCTTAGTTCCCAGTCAATACAAGACTTTTGAATGTGTCAAGGAAAAAATTTTAAATCAGCATAAGAATGAGGATCCTAGGCCAACTGATTAACCATTTGAAAAAACATTATAAATCAGCATGAGAATGAGGATCCTAGGCCAACTGATCAACCATTTGAAAAAACATTTATCTGAAAGCATATGTTGAATATATAGGGCTAAACATAAAACAAAACCACACAAAGCATGTATGTGTGGATTGGTCTTATCTTAGAAGGGGGAAAGAATTAAAGCACAAATGCAAGAAACCTAAATACTTTCTACATTTAATTCAATCATCTTTAAAATATAACAAACATACAACTATAAAAGTTAGCATGGCCCAAGACACACAAACTGAAAAATATACATGTATGTATGTATGTATGTATGTATATATATATACATACATACATACACACACATATACATACATACATATATATTTGCAATATTTATGTAAGGACTAATTTCTTTAAAGTACAAATAACTTTTACCATCAATAACACAAAAGAAACCAAAATCCAAAACAAAAATAGGGAAAAGACATTATTGGCTCTTTCACATAAAGAAATCAAATGACTTCTAGAACTTAAAATAAATATAATGCATCTAATGTTATAACCATGATTAGAAGTTTGTCTCAAGAATTTTTTTACAATGTTTACATGTTAATGTCATAATCCACCACCCTCATACTGAAGTCCTGCAAAAATTACCCTTGTGACATCAATCTCTACTTTCTTGTTCACAACATATCTATATTTTGTTTCTATTTTCAAGACAGTTTTTTCTTTGTTTTCAACCATTCATCTAATGCTTATGAAGTGCCTGTTATGATCCAGGAACAGTGCTAGGACCCAGGAATTTAAGAAACAGTGAATAAACAATGAAAAATAATCCCTACATTCAAAGATCTCACATCCACATTTAAAAACAGTGATGTATACTCTTTCAGAAGACTGTTAGAGCAGAAGACTGACAAAGGGTTCTGAATATCCAGGGAGGAGGAGTCTCAGACAATACTGATCCTCAAGAAGGAACATGAGACATTCCATACGATTTCCAAGCCTTCTTTTGGTAAGTGGTATTTTGGGATACGCCCTTTTTCTGTACTCCACTTTCCAGTGGCATGATCTGAGACCTTGGACACCAAAAAATCCCATAAACAATACCATCCTGCAAGCTCCCTCTCCCTAGACCATGATACTTTACACCCTAAAGATCCCCTTAGTTTGGGTGGTACTAATTTTTACATCATTTACTTTGATGCGAATGAAGACTGGTTCAAAAAATTTTACTTCTGATTACTGAATCATTTTATGTGTCAGACATTAAGTTAGCATTATGCACATGAGAGGCTTCCATAGTAGGTATCATTTAATTTTTTTCCATTTAAAATGAGGAAACTGAGGTCTAGAAAAGTTAAACCAAACATTCTACCTATGTACATGACCTCTGCTTACCTGTTTTAAATCCAGGAAGTCTGCAGTACATGAGGCTTCATGGTGGCAGGAAACTTGCTAATTGTTTTGAACTTAAAATAGTGACAGAAAGAGTAGGTGTCTTGGAGCTCCTTGTAGAGCATTGTGCTCAAGGGAGCATTCCCTTCCCAGGACCTCAGAAAACTGCTCCTTTCTTAGGTGGTGGCCTAGCACAGAGGCCTCTCTGGATGAAGTTGTTCCGCATTTCACAGCAGTTGCTCACTAGGATTCTGGGCCAAGTTGTATTTAAGGAACTTGGTAGGGTGTCTGACACATAGAAGGAACTGAATTCTTATCAGATTCCTTATTCAATTCCCTTCACCCGCAAGAACAGCCCTCTTTTTCTCATGTTGCCCTCACCCTCTCCCCTGCTCCCTTGTAGGGAGTCTGGACTCACCTGTTTTCCCTCTGTAGATGGTTCCCCATCCTCTCAGTCCTCTCAGCACCTCTCAGCCAACCGTCCCTTTACCACTTCCTTCTCACCCCTTGCACTCTGACAGGGCAACTCCTGACTTAGAGAATGGGCTGCATGGCTCTGGCCACCTGTGCAGAGCAGAAAAGAGAAGGGTATCTGTCTAGGGGAGGAAGAGGCCGGGGGAGGAGTGTTAGAGGCACACACGCAGAACGTGCTGAAATGTCAAAGCCTTTGTGCACTGGACTATTAGCCAAAACCAGAATCTGCTGGTCAGTGCAAGCCCTGAGAACCTGGGGAACCCCCGGTCTGCAATTACAAGTGGGTTGTGAGGTTTTTTCCATTTCAGATACCTATTAAATCATGTTGTCTTAGAAAAGTCAGGGGGGGAAATTTTGTTTTAAAAGAGAAAAGGTTAAACCAAAGGGTTAAACCACAGGCTAGTAGAAAATATATAAAGGATTCTCAGAACTCACTCATGAGAAAACAAACGTCCAGTAACAAAAATGGCAAACTATTTGAACAGACTCTTCACCAAAGACACTGTATGGATAGCAAATAAATGCCTGAAAAGATGCTCACCATCACAGTCATTAGGATGATGTAGCTCAAACCCAAAAGCAATACCTTTGCACACTCTTTAGAAGGGCTGATGTTGAAAAATGAAAACAGAACCTGACAATACTGAGTGCCGACAAGGGATGGAGTACAAGTGAGAGTGTTACACATTGCTCTTGGCAATCTGAAATGGTACAGCCTCTTTGTAAACCAAATGGCAGTTACGTGTAAAGTTAGACTTATGCAATGCAGTAATCCTGCTTATCTGAGTTTCACAAAAACTCCCTCATCAGAAAATTAAATGAAATAGCAAAGAAAGTAAATTCTTAACAAAGTTTATGTTACCCAAGTGAAACCTACATCCTCTAAGAACCTGTATGTAAAGTTGTATATCTGCCCCCCAAATTGGAAATAGCCCAAATAATCTTCAACTGGTGAATGGCTGAACAAACTATGGAGTAGAATACCAATTGGTGCAACAACTTGATGAATCTCAAATGCATTATTTGAAAAAAACAGACATAAAACTGACATTTTGTGACATTCAGGACAAGACAAAACCAAAGTCTGCCAGAAGCAAGGGATAGGGAAGAAAGTGATTTTCAAAGATATGGAGGGAATTTCTGCTCTTTTCTTTATCCTGATAGTAGTGGTGGTGGTATGTCTCTTTGCATTCCTTGTCACAGAACTGTAGATTATAAAGGGTATATTAGTTTTATATATATCTCAAGAGGAAGAAAAGAAAGAAATTTGGGGATAGGAATCATGGATTTATTTTGCATATTCTTTTATTTTTTATTTGTTCTTTTTTAGATCTACATGACTGTAGAGTGTATTTTGACATATTATACATGCATGAGTAGTGTAACTTATTCTAATTAGGATCCATTCTTGTGGTGTATATGTTGTGGAGTTACACTGATCATGTATTCATACATGAACATAGGAAAGTTATGTCTGATTCATTCTACTGTCTTTCCTATTCTATGCCCCCTCCCTACTCTTCATTTCCCTTTGTCTAATTCAATGAACTTCTATCCTCTTCTTGTGGGTTATCATCAGAGAGAACATTCAGCCTTTGGATTTTGATGATTAGCTTATTTCACTTAGCATGATAGTCTCCAGTTCCATCCATTTTACGAGCAAATGCTATGATTTCATTCTTCTTTAAAGATGAGTAATATTGCATTGTGTATATATACCATGTTTTCTTTATCCATTCATCTGTTAAAGGGCACCTAGTTCAGTTCCATAGTTCAGCTATTGTAAATTGATCTGCTATAAACATTGACGTGACATAACACATAACATCACTGGTATGTGGAGTGGAATAACTGGGTCAAATGGTGGTTCCATTCAAAGTTTTCTGAGGAATCTCCATACTGCTTTCCATAGTGGTTGCACATATATGCAGTCCCACCAGCAATGTGTGAGTGTGACAGTCAAGCCAAAGTCACTCCATTTTGTTTAGTAACTCCATTTTATAAAACAACCATTCCAAGTAGAAGGGTCATGACCAGGGCAAGATGTTCTTTTCCTTTTGCTATAGAAACCTTTAAGAACACAGAACTACCTAATAGAGCATTGTTTCTGTAACTAGGGTAATGGGGCTATGTTTCTGTAACTGGGGTGTCTGGGCTAGTTGTGATTGGCTAAGCGTCCTGCTGCCTGACTGCACTCTCTCACTACTGCAACTTGGCTTGCTTGCATTGGCTAGACCCCCAAACGTCCCTTTTGTGATTTTCAAGCTTATAAGGAGCATCCTTACAATTGTTCAGGGCTGATCAGGGAAACAGGTTTATGTTCTGATCAGTCGAGACCAGTGTGCTTCAATAAAGGCTTGATTCAATTATACATGAGTGGTCTGGAAGTCAATTTATGAAACCCCAGGATGAAGCTTTAACTATAACATGAGTATACCTTTTTCCCCACATGTATTGTTCTTGGCATTTTTGCATTATTCTTGTATGTGACAGCTCTTTGTAGTGTGGTCACTCATTAGTTCATTCCTTCAACAATTATATATTGAATATTTACTATTTGCTGGGCACTGTGGATTCAATGGTAAGCAAAGCAGATGCCTGCCTGCCCTTATGGAGGAAATAAAACAAAGGGCAAAATACTTTTTTATTCGATCTTGGATAATACAGAGTTATATGTATAGGCAGAAACGGGCAGGGGAGAGGCTTGGAAGAAACAATTTGACAGAAACTAGGGAACTAGTTGAGCAACATCGGATCCATCCAGAGCATTCTTATCCAGCTGCTCTCCAGACTGAGTCTAGCTCTGGGAGGAATTTCCAGGTAAATGGATAGAGAGGCAGACAATCCCTACCTAGGAGAACAAAGTATTCCAGAGGCAGGTCAGCCTGTGAAGGAAAGGAGGTAATGCCAATCCAGAAGTCCTGATGCATGAAGGAAACTATATTATTATCTGCAATGTTTTAGTCTTATATGCATAAAGACAAATTTAAAATAAGTCTAATTTTCACTATTGAAAATAAGGGAAGAGATTGTCCTTTGTCTTAGAGTATTTACTCTACAAAACTTGTTTTTTTTTTGCTCTGTCTTTGAAATGCATGTACTTTTATATTTTTTTAAGGCAAAATATGCAACCCAGCAAATTTTCTCTAAGAACCTAGGGGGTTTCTCTTGGAAAAGTAACTATGGAGGAAGACAGTGACCCTATCTTCCAGTTTCCCTGGGAGGCCAGGAGCTTAACTTCAGTTGAAACCCAGCTCCAAATTGCAAATCTACCTGCAATTAAAGATAAATGAGAACTATATTTTTCTTTTAAAGGTAATTAGTGAACACATTAACCAAAGAGTGGAGGATGAACCACATGGAACAAATGTCCTCTTATATGAAAACTAATCCTTTTTTATGTTTTGAGAATGTATGCAATAGATTGTTTGCCTGGCTATATAAAAGGACAAGATTACTCTTTTAGGGATTGTGATATGCATTGCATTTATTCCAATTTAATATCTGTAAAAATTAAGGGTTTTCTTTCTCTTCTACCTTTGTGGAGAGGTTTAAAGGAGAGACAGGAGAATTTGGTTTAAATTATCTCTAATAGTCATTTTATTAAAATTTTTATTAATCCCTCAGATAATTAACTCTAGGAAAAATGTTATGGTAGAAAATTTTCTTATTTTGTGAACATCTTAAAAATCACAAAATCCCTCTTCCTAGTAAATTAGATAGTTAAATAAGAAAATATATAACAAAGTTTACTTTTAAAATTAGGGTGTTCATTGTATATAGGTTTAAGAAATCTAGGACTACCTTAATCTGTTTCTTCCATTCTTCACTTCTAAAGCCATTTCCTTCCCCAGGCTGGATAATTGCAATAAATATTAAAGGATATCTTCTAAGTTACCTAAATCATCTATGTGTAGAAAATTTGGGATAGCAACCATGGCCTACCATTTTGTGTGTGGACAAAATGTAGCGTGTGTGTGTGTAATAATCTAACTTTTACTTACTTTGTGCTGAAGAAGAGGAGCTGATTAGGAGTCCTGATTGATGTCTGAAAACCACAGCTACTCATTGCTAATAGTCCTCATTAAAGAATGTTTTTAAAAAGGTGATAACTGTTTGTCCCAGTAATTCTGGTTGGGCTTTTGCATTTTGCTCCAATGGCTGGTCAAGAACAATGAGTAACCTAGAGGGTTGATTGGAAAGGCCATTTTCTGAAAGCAAAGTGGGAGTTTATTCAGTTCACTGAAACTCTCTTATAGATGTGACTGGAAGGAGGGTAGCACAGTACTTCTTTGTTAATGAGTGACCCTTGAGAAAAATGTTTCTTCTTTTACAAAGTTTCTCATTAAAAAAAAAAAGTAACATAGAATATAAAAGATAAATAACTACAGGAAAAAAATACAAAACAGGAGGGCAGGCATTGTAAAAGTTCAAGAACTCAGCTAAATTTTTAAAAATCAAAGTGAAAGGCCCTTTTATCAAAATATCATTAAAAAACAAGCAATGTTATGGACATTGTAAACAAATTAAGTGGGTTACCTCTGACAGTCAAATGGAAGCAAGCTCTAAGCGCCCTCTTCAGGCCAAAATCTGTGCATGACATTCTTTCAGATAGAAGTGAAGTCCTGGGCACAGAGCCCCCATTCCTGCACACCAGGCGGGTGCACACCAGCACACATGGTCCAGGGTTATTTCGTGTTTCAGTGCCTTGTGTAGGGAGACGTTTACAATCCAGTCCAAAAACCTAGCAGACATTGACAGCCCCTAATACTGTGGAGTGTGTGCTTCTCCAATAGCTTAGATTTTATTTGGAAACCTAGGCCACCTAAAAACTTTGTAAATTATGCTGTTTGGAGTCTTTCTGATTCCAGAGAAAAGAAAAGAAAGCAATCACATTCTCTTAGGTCAGTAATAAAGGGGT